GACAGCGTGCGCTCGTGGCTGGAGTCCGCAGGCATTGCCCCTGATCGTATTACCCAGTCGACAAACAAACAATGGCTCCAGTTTGATGCGGGCGCCGATGAGGTCGAACAGCTTCTGAAGACAGAGTTTTACCGTTACTCGCACGCTGGCACTGGTCGGTCCCATGTGGCTTGCCGGGAGTAAGTAATCCCGCTGGTCATGGGAGAGGCGCTCTCTAATTAATTAACAGATACCACGTCCCGGAAAGTGTGCAATCGCACATCGACTATATCACGCCCGGTATCAAGCATCTGGAGATTCGAGAGGAGCGACCGGCTGAAAAGCGTAGCCTTGACAAACGATCATTTGGCATTCTCCCACCAATCCTCCGACCATTGACCCTGCCTTTGGAGGAGTTACTAGGCCAGCTGCTGTTCTTGTGTGATGTCGCTGTCACGCCTGCTTGCATTCAGGGTAAGTCCACATCCACCCCAACCTCCGTGATGACTCGCACTGACGGACTAGCCATGTACAACGTAACCGACGGTGACAAGGCAACCAAGGGTAATGAGCTCGGTATCTTCGAGGATCTAGGTGACGTCTACAGCCAGGATGACCTGGACCTCTTCTTCTCGACTCTCGCCCAGTACGCTCCTCCCGAACCCCCTTTAGCATAGACTCTAACCCGCTTCCCAGTAAGATCCCCTCCGGCACACACCCAATCCTCAACGCCATCGACGGCGCCCAAGCACCAGCCGACACCACCAACGCCGGCACAGAATCAGACCTCGACTTCGAGATCTCGTACCCACTGATCTGGCCCCAGAACTCTGTCCTCTTCCAAACCGACGACCCCATCTACCAGAACAACTACACCTTCAACGGGTTCCTCAACAACTTCCTCGACGCCATCGACGGGTCCTACTGCAGCGAGACCTCCCCACTCGACCCACCCTACCCCAACCCAGCCGACGGCGGCTACAAATCCCCGCGCCAATGCGGCGTCTACAAGCCCACAAACGTCATCTCGATCTCCTACGGCGGCGCCGAATCCGACCTCCCGATCGCCTATCAGCGCCGCCAATGCCAAGAGTTCATGAAACTGGGCCTGCAAGGCGTATCCATCGTCGTGGCCTCGGGCGACTCCGGGGTGCAGGGCCGCGGCGGCTCGCCCACCCCCAGCGGCTGCCTCGGCAAAGATAACAAGGTCTTCGCCCCGGATTTCCCAGCAACATGTCCCTACCTCACCACGGCGGGAGGCACATACCTGCCCCCCGGGGCGGACGTCCATGCCCACGCAGAACAAGCCACAACCAGCTTCCCGTCCGGCGGCGGGTTCAGCAATATCTACCAACGACCAGACTACCAGAACGCCGCCGTCGAGGAATACTTCAACACCGCCCAGCTCTCGTACCCGTACTACGAAAGCGTCGATAACAGCAGCTTTGCCGCCAACGGCGGAATCTATAACCGCATCGGCAGGGCTTATCCCGACGTTGCTGCTATTGCGGATAATGTGCTGGTGTTTAATAAGGGGTTGCCGACGTTGGTCGGGGGCACGTCTGCCGCAGCGCCGGTCTTTGCGGCCCTGTTGACTAGGATTAATGAGGAAAGACTGGCGGCTGGGAAGAAGACGGTCGGGTTTGTCAATCCCGTGTTGTATGCTAATCCCGAGGTGTTCTTTGATGTGACGAAGGGGAGTAATCCGGGCTGTGGGACAGATGGCTTCCCGGCTACGAAGGGGTGGGATCCCGTTACTGGGCTTGGGACGCCGAATTATCCGAAGTTGTTGGAGTTGTTTATGGGATTGGATTGAGGTTGTTGTCGTTGTGAAGGTTATATGGATGCACCGTGTTAATTGTATGTACTAGTGTCCGAGGGAATTAATGCAGATATGTCGAGTGTAGCTGATGAAGGGCACTACGCCAGGAAATGTTGTGATGTATACATTTTAGCTTTTATTCATATATACTATGTATATGCACCAATCTATCCTCCTTATGGATATACAAAAAAAAACATCAATCATTAAACGTGACCAGCACATCAACAAGACCCTTAAACAATGACCTTGTGGTCAGCAGGAGCCTCCTCGGGCTCACCGAAGACATTAATGTTCCAGCGAGGCTTGTTAGCAACGTAGGGGACGTTGTAGCGGCGCTCGGTGCCAAGGGCGGTGACCTTGGCCACCTCGTCGGCGGTGAGCTCGATCTCCTCGAAGTTGGCGGCGATACGAGAGGGAGTGACAGACTTGGGGATGACACTGTGGCCACCGACCTGGGACCAGGCGAGGATGACCTGGGCGGGGGAGACGGGCTTGCCAAGACGCTGGCCGGCCTCCTCGGCGATGGCCTTGATCTCGGGGCGGGTGATGAGGAGGGGCTCGCCGATCATGTTGTTACCAAAGGCGGAGTAGGCAGTGACGTGGATGCCCTTCTCCTTGCAGTACTGGATCAGCTTGGGGCTCTGGAGGACGGGGTGACGCTCGATCTGGTTGGCGGCGGGGACGACACCGGTGGCATTGATGATGGCCTCGAGCTAGAACAGGCAATTATCAGTATCAACTATTTATGCAGGTGGGGCGGTTCAAAGTGGACTCACGTGCTCGACCATGTGGTTGGAGACACCGATGGCGCGGGCCTTGCTCTTGGGGAGCTTGGTCATGGCCTTCCAGGTGTCAACGATGGAGATGCTGTCGTCGATGATGCAATCGCCACCGGGGACGGTGCTGCCCTCGACGAGAGGGAAGTACTCGTTGCCGGTCTTGAAGGCAACGGGCCAGTGGACGAGGTAGAGCTATCATTGCTTCGGTTAGTGCCTCTGAATCCCAGATAGGAAGGTGTAACCCCATCACATACATCAAGGTACTCGAGGCCGCACTCGGCAAGGCAGTCGTCGAGAGCCTTCTCGACCACATCGGGGTGGTGCTGGCTGTTCCAGAGCTTGGAGGTGATGAAGACGTCCTCACGCTTGATGTTGAACTCCTGGAAGGCACGCTTGATACCGACGGCGATTTCCTTCTGGTTCTGGTAGATGGTGGCCAGATCCAGGTGACGGTAACCGGCCTTCAGGGCCTGGTAGACGGCCTCACCGACCTCACCGGGGGCAGACTGCCAAGTACCGAATCCCAGGGTACTGCGGAGATGGTCAGTGTTGACATTCCTTCATGTGTTCGTTTCCATGTAAACATACGGGATTTCGGCGCCGGAGTTGAGGGTAACCTTCTTGTGGAGAGACATGATGACGGTGGGTGATAGGAATAGGAGGAAGTGGTATAGATATCAGAGAAGAATGAAAGATGAATGAAGAGAAAGGGAGGAAAGCGAGAGACAAGGACAAGAATAAGTAAGTTTCTCAACTCCGGTGGGGGAAAACCGTCGGAAAATTGCTGGATTAAATTATCCGTTATTATCCTCAGGCGGTACCCCGCCAGTCCCCGTGCCCGCTAAACCTCTTTGAGGCTACCCCTCGGTGGGGTTTCTGGCCACGAGTACCTTTCGGGTAATTCGAGCCACCACTTGACATTTTGTTTTCATTCATGTTGTTTTCTGTTTCTATACAAGAAAAGAAATATGTACGTCGATGGGTACCTTGCGACAGACTTTGGTACATTTCCACGTGTCGTTACCATCGATGCGATGTCTATTGTTACGTTTTCTGTACGGCAAGTAAACCATATCAACTGAGGCACAATGCAATTGTCGGCGGAGACATGCATGACGTCAAGCGGCAGACACTCCTCCGGAACAATCAATTGTTACCAAATCAATTTCCCCTTTTTGTGCAAAGCTTCTGGAGACTTCCATCCGTTCAATCTTTTTTTCTAGTCGGGAACCCGATACAGTAACTGGGGTTCGCTTCCCCCGACCTCCGGACCTTCTCCGACCGCTCAATGTAGCAAAATACGGAGTCTGCCGAGTATCAAAGATGCCGCGTCACGGGAGTTGCTGCATCTGCACCCCCACATCCTGTACCTGGCCTCCACTCCACACTCTCATGGCTGGCCTGAGTGCCTCCGATTACCAATCTTGATGGGAAACCCTGGTCTAAGACCTATTACCAGTACGAGAAGGTATCGTGTCATTATCTTGGATGCGTGAGGTCCTCCCCAAGTCAAAAAAGCTGCTCCCAATTGAGATTTCTACCTCCTATATGCTTCGACCGCGACTATACTGTTTGCCTATTAACATTCCAACGCGTCGACCTTTTTCTAGACGGGTACCATATGACTGTTACCTCATACTACTTATGATGCGGACTGTAGACAAGGTTGGGAGATATATCATCCTCGCAATTAAGTGTCTGCAGTTACTGCCTGTCAAAGGGCATATCAAATCAAACCTTGCAGGCATGCAAATCCTCTAATTTGAACAAATGCTCCGAATGATATGGAGATATATTTGGTGACAGGACGGACGTATGCACAAACAGCTCCCGGTTCTGTATATATTTGTTCTTATTTTCTTCTTGGCTTGTTGGTCATTCTTGATTGCTCGAGGTCAGAATAAACTCCAGAGAATGAAGAATGACTTAGCACTATCATAGTCGTCAAGGGTGACTTTACGTCTCCTGACGGCAACGTGGGATTAAGACACAGACACCCTTTTGGCGACACAGACGTAAAGGATCAAGAGGAGCTAGATAAGGAAGTAGGCGGGTGTAGAGCCTCAGGGACAGTAAGGGAATATATATCCAGTTTGGTCAATTACTATTGAGCCAGAATCTGCCAAAGGGAACTTACTAGTGCCTCCAAACATATATTTAAGCGTAAGGGCTATATCTACACCCAGTACTAGTGGTCACACAACTCAGTGAGGGCGTTGAATGGCATTTGACCCTAACAGAACCAATCATATCGATGCTATTCCAGCTTTGTGGCTTCATAGTGAATTAATTCTACCTCTAGGGCACTAGTTTCTTTCTAATTGTCAGTGTCTCTTCATGAGCCTTCTAGAATATTGGACATTCAATCCCTTAGGACACATCATGCACCCGCTTCATATATGCCAGCTAGAGCAATATCACAGCAATTTGGCAAATCCTGTCCACAAACCACGCGAGGTGAAGACACCGCGTGGATCAACTGCCCGTTGGATGTCCATCAACCTCTGTATATTCTTTTCCCCGTAGCCTGCAAAGACTCCCGAGGCCTGCGCTGCTGATGCATAGTTGAGATAAAGAAATGGGTGCGCAACATCGAGGGTCTCAGCGGCTTCCCTGATTCTACGGGTAGTATTCTCCGTCATTGTATTAACAGCAGCATCGTCTTGCGCATCAGTCCAAGCCGTAGATATCAAGATGACTGAGACATTGTCAGAAGGATAGACCACAAGTAAGCTCGAATAGGAAGCAGTAGCTTACGAAAGAGAGGTTGATCCCCCTGTATACCGAGCGAGTTCCCTCCCCTCTGAGCCATGGCTGCAATTGTGGCTCGTGAAATCGCATAGGAGATGAGGTTGGGAACCAAGCCATCCACTGATTTGATTGCCCGGACCTCTTGTTCGAAGATCTCTACTGCTTGGGTGAGGAGAGAACGGGAGGGTAGCACGGTTAGGGTGGCGAACAGGTGCCTGGGACATGACGGTTCAGTATGAATGCCAGAGAAGGACCAAAGAATTCGCATCCGACAGGCGCCGTACATACCTTGTGGTACCCAATGGCGCAGAGTCCCGAGTCAGGTTGCCCATGTTCGTTATGGTAGTGCTTCTTGCTAATGTTGGTATATGGTTAATAGCTCTGAATACAGGTGGGTTCCGTATAGGCTTCGCGTAGCGCTGGGTGCCCGATAGGATGAAGCTGTCATCTGATGAGACATATGTATAGTACATATCATAGCCCATGTCTACATCGCTAGTGAGAGACTCATCCGTGAAGAGCTCAAAAATCTGGTCGAGGACCAGTTCAGTCTGATTCTGGGAATAGGTTGTCGTAGTCGTAGAGACAGGACCCTGGGTGAATGTACGGACAGTGAAAGCTGTCACGATGCCGAAGTTATTCCCACCCCCTCTCAGAGCGAAGTACAGGTCCTGATTGTGAGTCTCGTTTGCGGTGGCGATTGTACCGTTTGCAAGGACCACCTGTGCTTGTGAGTATATCGCTCAGGAGGCGGGTAAAGACCTGACAACATGGCAGCAATGCTCTTCCAGAATGTTGCAAAGATTGACGCACCTCATATTCATAAACATTATCCAACGCCCAGCCGTACTTGCCCGAGAATGGTGATGTACCACCACCCAGTGTGAACCCGCCAACACCGACCGTGCCGACTCTTCCACCAACAAAGGACAGATTATGAGCATCCAAAGCTTCGTACACGTGGTACGAGGTTGCACCGCCGCCAACACGCGCCCTATCACCAGGGTCTAATATATCGACTTGTATCATGCGGTTCAGGTCCACTGTAACACCTCCTACAGAATTAGAGTCCCCTGGGTTCCGTGAGTGACCACCGCCCTTAACCGAAAAGTAACACCAGTGGTGTACAAGAATGTCGAGCACCTGGGAAACCTCCGATGCAGTGGATGGCTCGACCCGGCATGCTGGGCGAACCTCCTGTTGCTTCGCGTCCCAGATCGTGAAGCTGTCATTACCGGGGTAGTGGAGAGCTGATCCAAAGACAGTGGATAGTGTGGCACACTGATTACTGTTAGACTCGAAGAAGGGGGCAAATCGGCCGACATCAATAGGAACTTACTGCTTGCTTGCAGTTTGCGGATACTGTGCTGTTTAGCTGAGTGCCATGTTGCATGGAAGAGAGGCCATAAGCTGTGGCGTTAACTCCAGCCAGGATGTAGGCCACTGAAACCATTGCTCTCATCATGATGGATGCCTTGTGAGGTGATGGAAACATGCAACAGCTGGCGCATACACCGTCTTTATACCTGTCTGAATGACAAGTTGGCCATCGTAGCCGGCAGGGGCAACAACTAATGTTCGGTGCGGTATTAGAAACCCATCTATAGAAGCCGACTGGGAATGTAGATCCCTTCCAAGCACGACTCAATTGAACAGGGCCTCCCTCAAATCATCAAAGTCCTGCTCCCTGCGATCCCGATCGGAAAATGCGTGGGATAATTGTCGTCCTCATCCCGTGTTTCGTAAGCTATCTCTCGGCGTGCAATACCCGGACGCCATTATTCTTGATGTTCATAGGGGTTATCGGACTGAATAAGTGCCCTAGGCACCAGGGATAGACACGGTTGGCTTGGCGTCAAGTTGTCCGCATTCTTGAATCCTCGTCCCAAGGTTGATCCATCGAGTAAAGTGGGTATCACATCCCAAGATGGTTAAGCTTCATGCAGGTGTATGACAGGACGGGTCGATGAGATCGTTTTAACTGGGCCGTTTGGCGGTCCTGGGCCCGCTCAGCCAAGCTCTCTTATCAACTTCAATGACGCAGCATACTCTAATCGCACCCAGGGGCCATTGACTACCTGCTAACTTTTCAGCAGAAGCCTGGGTGCAATAGCTTGGATTTCCTTTTGCACTTCGAGTTTCTCTAACTATATAGTGCAAATTGTTCATGGTTCTGTCAGCCGGCTGCATCAACGCCACCCAGGATCACTCCAACCGCAAATATGGACTGTCCAAATGTTAATACGCCATCCCTGATTGAACGAAACACAGGGTCTGAGACAGGAGCACTGGGCAAGAGGATTTGTGTACGACAATTTTCCGAGCGCATTGCAACATGGCCAGAGGAAGACTGGTCAGGCATTTCTGATTCTAAGCAGCGCAGGAGGCTGCAGAATCGGCTAAACCAGAGAGCCCGACGTAAGTAGTAAAGCCTAGAGCCCCCGCTATAGACAATAGCGCATTCTTTCCAGAAAAGCAAATGATTGATAGATCATCAATACAGGCCTACGGAACAAACAGGACACTCAAGCCCCACCTGATGACCAGGCGAGTGATAGGAGTAACCGTTCGTCGGCCGACAAGGGAGAACATGCTCTGGCGGTGGCGACGAGTCCAAAGTATCGTAAACAACTTTCGAATAGAGCTTGCATTAGTGACAGTGCGTCCGCGATCTCTCTGGCAGCAATCGAGCACGTACATATTCTTGAACCAGACTCGGCTCACACTAAGAGGGTGTTGCAGCAGCTAGAAGTCATAGCGCACACCTACTACGTGCTGGGTTCCCCGCGTACGGACCTGCTGCTCCACCTCATCCAGTTCAACTTTACAAAAGCTTTAATAGAGAACACGAGGGTTCTCGGGCTCACCTCGGAGCAATTACACGACGATGCAATTTCGCCGTTTAATATCGCCGGCCCTTGGCCGTATAACTTCGAAGCTTCGCTTCCTTCTAGTCTCCAACCTACCACCATCCAGCGCACGATACTTCATCATCCATGGCTAGATCTACTCCCAGTCCCGGAAATGAGGAATAACCTGATTCTTGCTGAAGATTCATATGACGAAACTCAGCTTTGCCTTGACATGAAAGGAGCTGTAAGCGTGAGCACGAGCCAAACAGGCATTATTGTTTGGAGGGACCCATGGGACGCATCGGGATGGGAAGTGACCGAACCCTTCGCTCGTTCTTGGGGATGGGTGATTCGAGGCTGTCGGGACCTCCGTCGCTCCACAAACGCTTGGAGAGCACGAAGAAATGAAAGACCGCTTTTTCGGGTATCATAGGACGTGGAGATGATTTCGATCTACAATCTGTGATGTACATCTCACCCTAGCAAGCGGGGAGGCTAAAGTAGATTCGCCTTCCATAGTAGCATTCACTCTTTTGGAGATGAATTTCAAGCGTTATTTGCTACACATGCTACCTATCTCTACCCTCGTACGCATCTTACTCAATAGTTTTAACCCTGAGCGAGTGACGCATGCAGTAAGATCATCACTCCAGCGTCGTAGGCTATCCGTTCTTCGTGCGACAGCTGAAGCAGCTTTTCTTTGGTCATCGATCCCATGGACTCCTCCCAGGCATGGCGAATGAGCATGCCTGGAAGGTAAAGGGGGAAATTCAATTAATATAACACCAGTGGACTTGATTCCTGATGGTCCTTTGCGATGTCTAGAACTTGCTCGACGGTCAGTGTATTAGAGTGGAGGCTCCACCGGTACCAGGCCGGAGATACCGGAGGAGATAGTTTGGCTGCCACCCAAGCGATCCACGGTATTAAGGTCTTAGCTCCACCAATAAATCCGTTGTCATCATTGTGCAGATCTGCTTAACCCGATCCGTGAGACACTAGGATATGTCATCGCAGCATTTGCTGGGGCGAAAGGTTCAATCCCCCCACCACAAAGCATTCTTCCAGAATGTATCCTCTCGGTTAGAGGCTATGCCGAATGAATTATACTTCTCCACCACGAATGGTCTGGTTCAGTGTTAGCAGGAACCTTAGTTAGAGCGACGAAAATCGACTTGAACTTTCATTGCCACTAGTTTCATCAACGACATATATAAAGGGGCCATTCTACCTGTTTCCGAGCTTGAAAGTCACTCCCATCTACTCTCATCCAATTCTTCAATATCATCATGTCTATCTTTGCCCCTGCACCAAAGCCCCCAAGCCTGCTGGGCTACCACCGTGTGTTAGCACCATCCGCAGGTGTAAAGGTCTCACCCCTATGCCTCGGAACAATGAACTTCGGAACTACGTGGTATGACCACCTATTCGTGCTGTGATGGCTGGAGTTTAACAGTGGCTTCTTGATATAGGAAGGATTTCATGGGTGAATGTAGCAAGGAGCAGTCATTTGCACTGCTCGATGCCTTTTACAAACTGGGGGGCAATTTCCTGGACACGTAAGTTCAATTCATGCCATTCAACATGTGATCTCACTGACCTCAGTGGCCATACAGAGCGAATAACTACCAGCAGGAAGAATCCGAGATTTGGATAGGAGAATGGATGAAAGAGCGCCGTAACCGTGATCAGATGGTGTATGTACCCCGCAACCCATCACCCATGAAATCTGTATATCAATTGACTTCCATTCAGAATCGCAACCAAGTACACAACTGGCTTCCGTACCTCACATCGCGACACAGAGCCAATCCAGTCCAATTTCGTGGGAAATTCCGTGAAAAGCATGCGAATCTCGGTCGAGCAAAGTCTAAAAAAGCTCCAGACCGAATATATCGACCTCCTATATGTCCACTGGTGGGACTTCACCTCATCCGTCGCAGAGGTCATGCATGGACTAAACAACTTGGTCAACTCGGGCAAGGTGCTCTATCTTGGTGTTTCTGATACCCCGGCTTGGGTGGTTGTAAAGGCAAACGAATACGCCCGAGTTCACGGGCTGCGGCCGTTCTCTGTGTACCAGGGCAAATGGAATGCCGGCTTCAGAGACCTTGAGAGAGAGATCATCCCTATGTGTCGGGATCAGGGAATGGCAATCGCACCATGGGCACCGCTTGGTCAAGGCAAATTCAAGTCTTCGGAGGCGCGTAGCGGCGCTAACACGGACGGCAGTGGGCGAGCGTCTAACATGAGCGAGGCTGATATCAAAGTATCTGATGCGTTGGAGAAAGTCGCTAAGAGAAAGAAGACTACTCTGCATGCAATTGTGAGTATCTATCTGGTTCCCTCCACATCTAGCATTTCAAAAACAGTTATAGGGAATATGGGCTAACCACACATGTACGACCATTAGGCACTAGCTTACGTGATGCATAAGACGCCTTACGTTTTTCCTATTGTCGGCCAACGGAAGGTCGAGCATCTCAAGGCGAATGTGGAGGCATTGAGCGTGAGCTTGTCTGACGAGGACTTGACCGAAATCGACAGTGCATCCTCGTTCGATATTGGGTTTCCAATGAACTTCATCTTCCGCGACAATTACACAACGAATAACACTGCTGCCGATGTCTCTTTGACCCGTGTGTCGGCTCATATTGATGCGCCTCCTAATCCTGCCCCTGTTCGGCCTCGATACCTGGTATGAAGTGCAATTTGGTCTACATGGTCACTGCCTCCAGTGAGGGCTCTTAGAATCCCAGGCACCATCTGTAAGACGCATGCTAGGAAATAAAACAGGGACAGATTATCAAATTTTCTTCAATAATAACATGAGCAGTTAAGGTAACATACCTTTTGGTCGGAAAGCAAACCATGTCAGGGAACCTCTATATCTATATATATTGCAAGGGGTTGTCATAAATTGAACCCTTCTGTACTGCAACTTGCTGAATAGCTTGAGTATGGTAAAGGGCGCGGGAAACGGATATCTTTCTTGATTCCATAAACCCATCCAATAGTGACGGTGGCTGCAGTTGACCACCCATCTATCTTCTGTAGCGTCCTTGGTAATGTCACTTAACGAGATAATTACGTCTTCTATGGAAAGATATGAGTCTCGGAGTAGTTTGGACATGGTTTTCGAAAGCAACGCTAATTATTTATAATTCTCCAACCACAATTGTCGACTGACTAGTACATCGAAATCATATATCGTCTAATGCCGACTAAACCGGAGAATGATATTATTGTGGTAGGATTTGGTGAACTAGCTAGGTACCCGAATAACAACCTGAATAGGATCTCTTCAAAAGCCTTGCTAGCAATTATCCTATCTCTTTCTTTTTCTTTTTTTTTTTTTTTTTTTTTTTTTTTTTTTTTTTTTTTTTTTTTTTTTTTTTTTTTTTTATATATATTTGAAAGGAAACATATTGGACGTCCGTTTGTTGGTTCAAAATTAGAGTGATTTATAAATTTTTTTTTGTTGAGCCTACGTACGGAGTATATCGGAATAATATCTTGCATGAAATGTAACCTCGGGATCCCGTACTCGGAGACCGCTGATCCCCTACGGAGCACACCACCGGAATATTCTCTGACAACTCTTAATCGGTCACCGAACCCTCTTTGTATGTCGTGTGCATAGATTGGTTTCCTCGGTAAATGAATTCCATATACCGTACTTGTGGAATATAGAATCAATTTATGTCCCTTTTGCCTATTGCAATTTCTATACTTGAGTGGAGGGCATCCTTAAAATTTAGGATCGACAAGGATAAAAGTTTTTGAAGACTAACCAGACACGGCGCAAACAAAAACGGGTTGTTGGGTATGAACAGAAACCTTACGTTGGGGGGCATAATACTACACCTACGAAGATCTAGAACGACAAGGGTTTCTGCACCGTAGCTGCATAGTTCAAGTGGATCTCTACTAAGTAGACTAATCTGTTAGGTAATTAGTGCACTCTACACTTGTGACTAGGACATTCCGATGCATCTGACAGTGTTTGGAGCAGAGACGTACGGGTGGGGCGTGCCATTAGTCTTTCTCCCAAGCATATCTTAGCTATCTTAGCTGCGCGTCTCCCGCCAGGCAAAGAACGATCAACACTCTCCCGTCTGTGCACCCCTTGCACGTGCAAGTATGTCGCCATGAGAGCCATTCTCACTGTTCTCACTTCTAACCGCTACTACGCGCACGACCAGCCTTGGCAGTGGACCCGTTATGCAGGATTTGTCTCAAGTTTCGAGACGGACTGCATACCCTGCATATGGTCCAGTCATCTTCTAGCTCTTTTGCTCATCGTTATCATGGCGAGCTGGAAGAGTTTTATGATTTGATCGTGGCTGCTGATGATTGCCGAATTATCCCGGCTTCTAGTTCTATCCGTCAAGCCCCTGTGGATCCCAAGTATGTAGATTATGAAGAATCCCGATACACATATTCGATGTTCTCATCCTACTAACTGCTTTGGCTATAGCTGTGGCTCTCTGTACTTCACATATCTCAGCACATCTTCCGGTGCTATGTCGATCATTCCCGGTCATTGTCCACTGTGTCTTGCCCTTCGCTCAGCGTGCTTCGTGTTGCAGTAGAGGGTCAGCAAGTGAAATTACAGTGGGTCAGATAATTCATCACGTCCAGGCATATCCAAGGCGAACGGCATTGCCGGCTTTGGACCTTTCTGTAGAACTACAGGGATACTCGTGGAGCCCTAACAAGACCCCCTATGTGATGGTAAACCACATGGCCAAGACCCCAGTCGTTATTGGGCATACTACTCTTATCATGACTTTCTAAGTATCGTCCATATTCTCTATCTGTTGCCCTAGGATGGTGGACCTACTTGATAATCTTTCCCAGCTCGTCAGTCGATAATCTCGTCATCGCCTTCCTGGTGGATTAATAATGTGGGATGGTGGGGGATAGATGTAAAGGCATATAAGGCTCTAAATATCCAGAGGTGGTCGTAGTTGCATTAGTAACAAATCAGTTAACAACAGCTTTACTGAAATGTGCAATATTCAATTCATTAAATATCATTGTCTCTTCTTGCACTCGTATCCTCAGTCCGCATTATCAAGCGCTTCAGAAATATACACCCACCTTCTGAAATGGGGCAACTCAATGAGACCAAGGCTCCTAAGGTAGCCAGTGTCACAGTGTCTCCAACGCACAGTATCGGTAAACATTCACCTCCTTCGGAGGATTCTCTCGAAGTCCAGCAAGTATCGCCCCCAGTCTATCACATCTTCTCCCGATCTCGCAAGTTAGAGATGGTGGTTATTGTCTCGCTTGCGGCGATCTTTTCACCATTGTCCTCCAATATCTATTTTCCCGCCCTTGGAGATATCTCAAGAGTAGGTTAACCCTTGAGTGTACAAGTCTATTTCCAGCCATAATTAAATGGTCAACTGTCAGGATCTTCATACAAGCATGACCCTAACAACTTTGACCGTCACCATATATATGATCGTTCAGGGAATTGCACCGACCTTTTGGGGCTCTATATCAGACACCTCTGGCCGGCGGCCCGTGTTCATTGGGACCATGATTGTCTACATCATTGCCAACATTGCCCTTGGTGTATCTACTAACTACGGCGAGCTTATGGCATTCCGTGCCTTGCAGGCTGCTGGAAGCGCGGCTACAATATCAATAGGTTCGTCATTCGCCGACTAGGCCTGGCTTCGGCCAGAACTAAACAATGCCTACAGGAGCAGGTGTCATTGGTGATATCACAACTTCGGCGGAACGAGGAAGTCTGGTAGGGATTTTTGGTGGCGGTGAGTTGCACACTACCTCGAGACTCTGTACAAGAGCTGACAGTATATCAAGTCCGCATGCTGGGTCAAGGAATTGGCCCGGTCTTTGGCGGTCTTCTCTCGCAGTATCTTGGATTCCGATCGATCTTCTGGTTCCTCACGATTTGCGCCGGCGTCAGTCTGTTAACTATCCTCGTACTACTTCCTGAGACCCTGCGGTCGATTGCCGGCGACGGGTCGGTCCCTCTTCATGGCCTGCAGAAGCCATGGCTATACTATATCATTGGACAGCCAGGTGCGGAAGAGGGCGCTGAGCCCAGTCTCAAAAAGACCAGGGTGACTCTTGGAACTGTCTTCGCGCCTCTCAAATTCCTGGTAGAGATTGATGTGTTTATTACTCTTTTCTTCGGAAGTATTGTCTACACAGTGTGGAGTATGGTCACATCCAGTACCTCTGACCTGTTTGAGCGAACATACAACTTGACCACCCTTCAGGTCGGACTCACGTTTTTGGGCAATGGTAAGCCAGTTAATCTCAACTCCGATAAATACCACAGCTAATACTTACACGCACCAGGCTTAGGATGCATGTCAGGATCCTACACAATCGGCTACCTAATGGACTACAACCACCGTCTCACCGAGCGCGAATACTGCGAGCGACATAACTACCCACCCGGCACACGAGTGAACCTGAAAACACACCCGGACTTTCCAATTGAGACTGCTCGTATGCGTAACACTTGGTGGATTACAATTCTGTTTATTGTGTGTGTCGCGGTCTATGGTGTTTCGTTGCAAACTCATCTCGCGGTCCCTATCATCCTGCAATACATCATCGCGTACTGCTCAACTGGCATCTTCACGATTAATAGTGCATTGGTAATTGATCTCTATCCGGGTGCCAGTGCTAGCGCCACCGCTGTCAATAATCTTATGCGGTGTCTCATTGGTGCTGCGGGAGTTGCGGCCGTACAGCCTATTATTGATGCGCTGGGCCCGGTGTATACTTTCATTTTACTTGCTGGGATCACTTTGGCTCTGTTCCCTTTACTCTGGGTGGAGACGAAATATGGAGCCGGATGGCGACTTGCTCGACATCAGCGGTTGAACAGCCCTCGGGCTAGGTAAGGGTACATAGCGAGAAGCTGGATGTGTGGAACTGTGGTTGAAAAGGTTTTGGGTAAAAAGTGTTTATTGTTTTGCGTGATATGGTTTCTCTAGTATTTTGTCACACCATACTTCTTTCTAGTTCAATATAGACATAGATGATTCAAGCTTTACGCATGTCCTCTGATGATGCACTTGAGAATAGGCTAGCTATCTCTGTCGACATCCACAGTGCCCTCGCTTCATGTACAAAATCTCAATTTTGGTGCACCTTTGGTTGATCGCCTTTGATGGCATCGCACTTAGTATTCCATGTCCATCAAGAAAGATATAGAATACTATAGGGGTGTATATTTGAGCTGTTTCCCGGCGGTAGGTGGCCATACTTTCCTCCGAGGGCGGGGTAAGTAGGCTACCTTTCACTTGGTACTCCGTCTCCCAGCCACTTCGTCATTCTGCTCTTTTATGACCACAGGAACTTGATAACCGTACAAAGCCTGGGCTATAATAGAGGGGATAAGGGTTGAATAGCCAATGGATCATTTTCGGTACGAGACTAGTGAAACCTAGGGGCCACGCGGCCGACCACTCCTGCCTCTAGAAATGCAGTTCTTACGCCTACGATCTACATACTATCAGCTACTCTACATGAAACATGATCCATGAATCATGCATACTATGTACTGTGAACTTTGTAATGCTTCCTGAAAGCTCCATTGGTCGTACCTTTCTGCATTCCCGATTAAACACATGACACATATATACTATCTAGACATAGCCATGCCCGATTTCTCCATACGTTAGCTGGAATTCACTTGCCCAAAGTAAATTCCGATAGCCTCCCGAACTGTGAGTGTTTGGATGTCGGGAAAAATTGCGTTCAAAGTGCCCTCTGTGGGTAAATCCAGACCTCCATCAACAGCCCAGCTTCCACAAACAGCGAGGATCTTCATGAAAGCCCCCAAGTCAATTTGGGGAGGCAGGCTGGCGGCTACGGCGGGGAGAATTGTGCATTCCCCCTTAAGAAGAGTCGCCATTGTGTCATCGTGTCTCTCAAAAGTGACTCCTTTGATCTCCTCAGCAATACGCAGAAAGTCATTCAAGGTCAGTCTGTCCCCAATGAGATAATATCTTTTTTCCCATCTACTGAGACCAAGAGCCTTGACAACGAAACGGCTGATGTCCTTCGAATGTGTCAAGACTAACGGGGTGTCTCCATTACCGGGGATTGCGGCAAAGTTATTGTCCAGATCAACCCAAGAAGGCGCATTGAAAGCGAAGGCGGATGGTATGTTGGGCGAGAACCAATAGTCCATAAATAATCCGTTGGAAAAGAGTGTGTACTCTAGACTTGATGCCTCGAGAAGTTCAATCGCTTTGAACTTGAAAGCATAGAGAGGTAATGCTGCAAGATGACTGGTGAATGATAATCAGCATAGCTTGCGCAATACGGGAATGTATGTATGGTACCTTGAATCGTATTTCGCACCGAATTCACTTGGCATGAATCTCTTGGTGGCTTTTGACCGATCGGCTGCCTCAATGAGATTCAGTTGAGACTGTCCGCTAGCTTCAGTCTGCAACGAGACCGCCGAGATGACCGTATGAATCTCATGTTCTTCGAGAGCACTTTGTAGACCTTTGGGGTCCGAGTAGTCCACGGCGAGAACCTTGGAATCATTTGAGACGTTCCGGCTGAGGATAATACATTGATGGGAACCATCTTTCTCGAGTGCCTTGACGATGGCCCTGCCGATACCGGTGGTGCCGCCTGCCACTGCGACCTTGACCATGATGGAATGGAAAGTTGTTCTGGAAGTGTTTGATGGGTATTGCCAGTTGCCTTAATTCATATGATATAGTAGAGTTGATGTCAGGAATAGTTAACTTAGGCCTCATAATTGAGAGCTCTGATGAAGAGCATCTTTATACTAAGTGGCCAGCCAATGAAACCGCCCGCCGGAATGCGGGTAACTGGGAGCCGGCCGGGCCGGAAGGTTGGCTGGCGCTAAAAGTCGGCTGCGGGGCTCCCGGCGGCGTTGTTATTCTCCGGCAGATCCGCCCTCGGTCCATGGGCTCGACGGTACTGCGGCTCTAGAGCTGGAGTCAGGCTAATGTTAGCCTGCGTCAAGACGCAGCGTAGATAAAATAACATATGCGGCCCTTCCCATTGTCTCTAATACAGTCCTATTCAAAGACAACGACTTCCGTTAGGGATCTTCTTTGTGGTATTGGAATATGGATTATTCTTCTGAGCCCCTCAGTTGATTCACCACTTCCCCTCCGTGCCATGAATCCAACATTAGACCTTAGTTGATACCATGGTCTAACGCTGATTTTTGCATTCTCTTCAGTCTCTCCCTGCTTGGCATAGCCTGGATCTGAGCCTTCAAGCTAATCTGTCACTGCTCAGCCGCTACTTCATACACTCCTTGATCGATTCCAAGCTGATTGACTGCCAGATTTTTTCGAAATTTCATAACTCCCAGTTCTCCGGATGCTGACGCCAGTTCCAATCCTCTTCTGGTCGCTTAGCGAGTCCGTACGCCATGTACCGGGTATCTGACCATTGGAATTTGGAACGGATTGGCCATCCCATTCGAAAATCCGAAATGCGACTGAAATTGTTAGCAAATCTCCCCAGCATGATCTTGCTGGCATTTGTAGATCCCTTGACGTACACATTGCCTGTAGTCTGATCGTAGATGATCTTAGAAATTCTGGACATCTGTGGCACTACACGGCATCGTAGAATCTCTCTATTGAGTATGTTAGCATCCATTCCATCTGCTTTCCTAGACTCCTAAAAATCCGCAGACAAACTGACTCGTAAGCAACGCGAAACTTAGCGCGGATATCATCACGTGTAGAGCGATCTAAGCTCCAAAAGAATTCCTCTGTAAGGGACTCCCCAGGAACCTTTTCCCATACGAGGTACTTAGTATAGCCACCAGGAATAAGTTCATTCTCTGCTTGTATCTTTTCGTCGTAGCCAAGGAAACGTGGAACGGAGTTGCAGCCTTGACGCATCAACAGCTTAAACGCTTCTCGTTCACCACAAATCTTATCTAGACCAGCAGGATCTTTACCGGCCTGCTGGGCTCGTGTGTCCGGATTTGCCCACTCAGTCCCAGTGATAGGAATCTGATGATAGATTCGCATAAAGGCTAACTGCGCCGGATCCTCCTCTAGGTGGCATAGGAATGTACCAACTGTCATAGGCGTCCCAATGCCCCACTCGACGTCTTCCTCTGTGAGATTGACTGCTCTCTCAGAGAGCTTTTCAGTAATAACCCACGTGCAGCAGATCCTCCGGAGCAGCGAGCCAGGGCCGGAAAGGCTAGGAGCTGTGGCGGTTGATACCGTAGGAGGATGACCAGTCTCATGCGAGGTCGTGGTATGCGAGGCTGGAGGAAGTGAGGCTGGAGTAAGCGAGACTGCAGGGGGGAAGATCCCGGGAGGAGAAATTCCAGGGGGAGAATCCGCAGACAGGGAAGCCATAGAGGCAGTGGACACGGCCGATGGCTCCTGTGGAGGGTCGATGTCGTCAAAGGTAGTGACCTTAGTCCCTACCAAGCGGTCGAGGAATCGAGCATCAAAGTCACTCGATCTTGTGACAGGTGCCATGATAAATGTCGAAGTAACTTGGAAGTCCGAAGAGTGTTGCCAGATGGCCAACGAGATTCGTGTACTAGTAGTAGAAGGCGTAGAGTAAGGACTAAGGAGCAACGAATGACGCGCAGTGCCAAGCTTTAGGAAGCGGGGCGATTTCCGGGAACTAGTCCCGATCAGGAACTTAGCCGCTTCCCAGTGCCCACAAAGAAAGACCTCGAAACTATTGATCCGAGGAAGATCGTCTCGTCGTAGTTGCTTAGAAACCCATACACACACCTGAGGCGTTGCATGTACATGATGGGTTGGGCGAGTATCCTCCTCAGTTCCCAATCTTCATCGAGCTTGCCATCAATGTTGTGGTCGGAAACCCAGGGTACCTTGAGCTCCCCAACAACTTTCAACTGGTGATTTCTATCCTTCAAAATCACATCGGGTATGCCGCTGTAAGTAGTTTGCACGGTTTTGAAATCCGCAAAGCGTATACCCTTTGACTGTGATTCGAAGATGGCGTTCAGGACGTCACCGAAGTACTTATGAAAGCGACCTTGCATGCCATGCTCATCCCCAATCTCAACGTTTCCATAAGAGTAAGGGTCCCGTGTGTGGAGGTTGAGGCCTAGGCATTCATTTCTCCAGGTATGAGTCTCGTGCATATTCTTCACAGCATCCAGAAAGTCTGGCCAAAGCTTAAGATCCCCTTGAAAGATCAGATCATGTAAGGCACTTGAGGTGGTGTGGTATTCGCCCAGTGTAAGCTTCGGCGCGGGGGACTCGGCCAATCTCTTCGGGCTAATATGGATCGCGGAGCGGGGCATCTTGAGAAATCGTGGTTTTGGGATGACCAAGGCTATCGGTGACTTTCTGTGTTAGCGAACCACGCTACCACATATTGTAGAGAAGGCGTACAGAGGTGATAGATTGACGTGCGTAGTGACTTAAGCAGGGATTTTTCAAGCAGGGAGAGACCGAAAACGATAAAATAAATTGGTGCTGGACAACTTTTCAAGGATATATTAGACAGGTTGAGAGGCACACGTATCTAAACAGACACGATAGAGTAGACGAGACTCACCCACGCTTGGATGGACGGGACTCTTCAGCGGAGCGGACTATTGGCAAAGTTGGCAACCAAGATTTTCTCAATCTAGTAGGACATGTCCCGCTAATACAAGAAGATACCTAAAGAAGGGCTTTCGAGAATTTACATGTCATCATGACTTGCTCCGGTTTCCAGATATAGCGACCTCCGCGTATATTCTGATCTCGAGAACTGCTGTCGAACTAACCGTGGACCACTATTCGTGAGGCAGACATTTGCTAGATAGTCATAGCTAGGACCAGCTTCCCCCAATCATCCAAGAGAACGCCGGGTTTGAAACAGGAAGAGATCGTGATAAAGCTGACTTTGCCTGTCAGAAACACTCCCAGACCCCAAACTGGAAGGAAATCTCGTGGATGTGTCCTGATGATGCGGATAATCTATATAAAGCACAGTGTGTGAGCCTGGCAGCGGAGGACAGGAGAGCGGGTGTGGATGTGGCGCTATCAGAAAATTTATCTCTGATTTCGACCATCGATTTAGGCGAGGATATTTGGTTTCGGTCGTACTCATGAAGTGGCTTATTGAACAATGAAGAAGCGCAAGGACAAGGCTGGATTATTTGGTTGGGTCTCACCATTGATTGCTGCTTTTGAACAGCTGAGCATTAATTTTTTTGCTTGCTTTGGGCAGCCATATTTCTCTTTATCAGCTACGAAGTCCGTTGTTAATGTTCTCAATTCATGTCACCAGACTAGAATCCGACCATCACACTGAAGTTGACTGAACTTCCCGCATCCATTGCTGGATGTGTTCCTTCGATAAGTCTTCATATGTGCGATTTTCACGGGGTGGAAGGTAGGAGGTGGCATTGTGCTTAAGTCTCTTGAAAGCCAAACCGATGACTACCCACCTTGGGGATACAAACCCTCATTCTCTTCGACACTGAAATCCCGTCAGTTTCTTTCTCGCCATTTTCGCCAGATACGATGGACGCTGGATTCAATATCGGCATCGAACTCAAACTGCTCTTGCGGCCATTTCGCAGGAGCAAAGATGACTTCGATGACCTGCATGATTTTGCCCAATTCATAGTTACCTACTGCAATGCTGCCTATCTTCCAGCCCCACGACTCTCCCACGACGTGGATAATACCTAGAACAAAAAATGCCTTCTCTAGATATATGAAGCGGCCGGATGGTGTAGTTGGTTATCACGTATCGTTGTGTTTACTATATTAAAAGGAAAGAGTGAATAGTACAGCGTACAGATAGTGAGGCGCTCCTTACATAGGTTAAAGATAGGATAAATCGACCAGTAGCTAGTAGCTATAATAATTATATAGTAAAATAGTAGTTATATTTATATATATTTTAATATTATTAATTAATTTTATTTTTTTAAATTTAATCTACTAGTTTTTTTAATTAATATATTAATATTATAATTATAATTTAAATAAAAAGATTATATATAAAATACCTAATTTTATAGCTAAGTATTGTATAAATTATATAGTAATAGATAATCTAACATTTATACTATTTAGGATTTAATTAAGAGCTTACAGATTTATTATAGATCTCTATACTAGGCCCAAGGCCTATTATAGGCCCTAGACTCGGGCCCAAAGTCCAACCCACCGTGGGCTTGGGCCGGGGTTGGGCCTGGGCCGGGATGGGCCGTGAAGAAGCCTAGGTGGAATCCCCTAGCTAACATAATTCAATGCCCAAACTCCGACGTATCATAGGGATAGTGTAGACTTTGCCAGTCACCGAGTAAACACCTTCAATTCGCCAGTATATTCCCTTAGATACTTTGTGAAAGACAGGGTATTTCCCTTTATGAGTTCCAATGAATAATCTCGGAGAGTTAAGTATTCATGTCATTAACTGTTACACCCTCCCCTTATAAGTACGAGCCACATATGTACATATACAATCCTATCTCCACTTATCTCCAGAGCTAACCTGTAACTCAAATTGACCAAAGCTGTATCTCACCGCAGAGCCCTGGGCCGAGCTGAAGCCCTTACTCCCACTATGTGCGAACATAAGCGAGGACTCCTAGCAAATATGTTGTCTCTATCTATTCTTCCCTCATGAAAGAAATATAGCTCATGACTCTATGTGGGCCTTCCTCACCAACTTCATTCTATCTCTCTTCCTGGAATCTCCTAACCATCAAACATTGGTATCCTGTAAGTATCATACTATCTGGCTTCATGTTTTGAAGCCATATATACTAACCCGCCAGCCACCGCTATAGGCTCCTCCCTACCCGCCAAGGAACCAAATCACTACCACCCTGTGATTTTGAAAGCTCATTCCCTCCTACTCTTCTTGCTGTATCCCTGTTACGGGGACGGGCCATGCTCATTCGTCGGACCAAGGAACCTACCATGAGACACGGAAGAACCAATTGTAGATATCAGCTGGTTTTCATGAAGTCCTATAGAGCAGACCAGCTGCTATCGAGCCATACTCCTGGATAAATCTCTCCTTCCCAAGGGCCCTGGAATATATGATACCAATGCCAGAGTCATGGACCCCTGAGTGTCTCACGGTCAAGGCCCAAGCTAGCCGCTAGATGGGTGTGGAAAGCTACACCGGTTGAATATTCCTGACTCAACTCTGCGAACTGTACGACCTCTGTGATTCTGTCAAGTCCCTCAATTCTGCCAGGTGGCTCCATCAGCCGACACCGCTTCTAAGGCATGTCATGACTTCAGTAGATACGCGAGCGAAGTCCTGGAAACTCAAGACACCTGTCGTTTTTGTACTGGGCTTCACGTTATGTGGCCCAAGAGAGAGTGATTGCTTCAGCACACACTCACATGTGTGTGTGTGTGTGTGTGTGTGTCTTTCCTGTCAGCGTTTCGATCGACGCTTGTACTAAGAGGTCTACTTCACCCCAGGTGATAATGGATGGAACTGGGACGATATGCATTCATATTGTCTTTAACCCTTGAGGTCACAAAGGGCAGCTCGCGTTGACGGGCCAGAAATCGGAGACTCTGCCTCAGGGCGGGGAACAAGTTAAGCATTCAACTGTCGAATGGGGACCCAGGGGTTCAGAAGCAGACATTGGCATTGTCATGTTAACCAACAACTCGGCAAAATGCTTGCTTAGATCTCAGCGGCTCAGTGCGGTCCCTGTAGGGAAATGGCTGAGAGCAAAACTCGGATTGGTTAGCATACCCACGGCTGATATGTAGCTGAGCACTGGGTATTTCTGCTGGATGTGATCTTAGAAATACCCAAGAGGAGCTATAGGAAACGCAACACATTATGGATCTCAGTGCTCCCAGTCAGTGGACTATAAGCACTATACACTTGACAGTATAAGAGATACTTTACCATGTTGAGTTTCCTGAAAACTACCAAGTCTGCTACGCAACAAAGAAAGTGCATCGGATTTAAGCGCCGTCAAGGCTTTGTGCAGATGGGACGTGCAACTCCAATTGTTTGATCTGGGTTGCCCGTCTGTTGGTATCACACCCTGTTGTTCCGTTTGGCGGTTTCTCAACACCCCTCATTTTGCATTCTATTCAATACTCAAAGTATCTACATACATTCTATCCACTGCTGTTGGCATTGGCTCGTCCTGTTCGTTGCGTCTAGGTAATGCCCTGGTTCCTGATGACAAATCTGCGTCATTCAGTCCGCCCGCAGTTGTGTACCTGTTCATCTTCTGCTCCCAGTAGTTCTAACCTGGCTGAACAGTCCGTCAACATGGTTCACCTCTTCCTCGCTCCTGAGACCTACGTTAACTGACCATCCTGTGCGCGAAGGGCCCATTTCCTACCCGTATTTCTGAGATCCCTCAAAGTGACCAAGATTACGTTCTAGTCTTGGGCTCACACACTAGTGGGAGAATATCTACGGGCAACATGGGCTCGGCGTGTGTGCAAATGGACTGCCATGTAATGTATTCCGGTCGAGGCCTGAGTTTGAAACACTCACCGAAGCGGTGCCTCCGGTTACTAGATATATTGAGGATATTATCCAATCCACCTCTTGAGTGAGGCCTGCACGGCCGTGCGTGTTCTCGAGCCGATTCGTGCCCTGGATTGGGCTGTCGATCATACTATGGAGTCCGTTGTCAACCCTGTTAACTATTTTCTTTATATCGCACGAGCTACTGGTCACGTTTCTGACTGTTGGTTTTCTCCATTACGAGATCCAGATACTCAGCCCCAGCAGTATGCAGTGCTATATCAACGGAGCCTACGACTATGTCTTGGACAGGGTAATCAAGCAACCGCGCTTACAAGACACCATACCAACCAACCCGTTATAGTCTCCCGTGAAACTTCCAGAACGCCTTTAGTTGCAAAGGCATCTTGCTATTGGCCATCCGCCAGCTACACCCAAGGGTAAAAATTCAGTATGGCTTATGGGGAATTCAAGCTGGCTATACTCCACTTGGGAAAGCGCAATACTCTGCTCTAGGAAGAAACGGTATTATCAAGAGTTGATGCTTCTTTGCGTTAGGTCCCTAGGAAAATCCTTTGGAAGAACGGCGAATGCAATCTATATACACTCTAAACACACCATGGATTGCAGAAGCAATGGAACAGGATTATTATCTGGCGAAGGTCTATCGCAAGGTAAATATTGGCGGCGGACGTGGCTATCGTTGTACTTCCGGTGATTATGCGCATGGTTTGCCTTACATGGAACAAAACGGACCCTCTATCACACGGCCAACGATCTGAACATCATAAAAGCGGCAACCAATACTGCGTTTACATTAACGGTGGAGATTCGAGATCAGTTTTGGGTATCTCCGGGTAAATATCTGACATCGCAAAGACGCAGCCGCAACGAATCAGGCAGCTCACCGCATGGATTCGCAGCCTGCTACCATTTGCCGTGTTGGCCATAGACAGAGTCTTATCACACTCAGCCGATGTGCTCAACCCTGAAAGCCCTGGCCCGCAATGTTTCAGGCTTGGGACTTCCACCCTCTCTTATATCATAGACGGTCAACTAATCCAAGTCAACATCTACTGTCAACTTCGAAGAGGGCCGTGATGGTGGGGGACTACAAACAACCGTGGCCCCCAACTTTGAACAGGGAGCGAGAATGTGGAATAGCTCTGCATTGGAGAGATTGAAGAGGGCAGTTTCTCTATCGGTAATGCTGGATATCCAATATTGCTCACACGGCAGACTCTACAGTCGATAGAGCAATTCCGATAGGTAGAATCACTCCGTCTCGTATTTATTCTGGGAGTTTGGATTTCTTTCATATGCGGAGCCAATTTCCAGAGACGCGTCGCGCCCGGATTTAACAACGGAGGCAGAGATCGCAGTTTATTTGACCTCTGTTATCATGAAATATATCCGCAATTTCCTTACCATATCACCCTACAAAGCGCAAGTAGCGTTAGCCGCGCAGAAATGGGAGATACGCGGTAGACCGACGAACACGGGAATTGACGAGGAAGTTAACGACAAGATTCCAGTCTTCTATCCATTCGATAGCCTCTAACTGGCTACTATCTCAGGTAATACTTCCGGGAAATGCTGCTCAACCTGTGAGAGTAAGTCTTAGAATTCTTTCAGCAATAGCTGGTGATTCACTAGGTGGTTCTCAAGGATTCTATGTCAAGCAGTGCGGACTATACCTAGGATCTAGAGACCCAGCGCCAGGGCTACCACTCAATCGCTCTCCAGGCGTTGTGTGGATATATTGATGGGCACTCCCTGAACTCAAGGCTCTGCTCGAAGTCTGCGCCCGATTGGAGAGTTCATTGCTTATAAATACTTGAGCACGCCACATCCAAGCCGTTGATGGTGTTCAGGGGGCAAAGGCCGACATTGTAATAGTCATGCTACCTAGGAAAAATGTGTATGCAGATGTCATGGGCTCCCCATGCCGTCCAAACTTTGTGATATCCAGGGGCAGGTGTGGTGTTTACTACCTGAAGCCGATTGTATTAGAACATTCTTTGAATGCTTAGAAGAAGGGCCGTCTGAGGGACAGAGCAATATGTGCTGGTGACAATGAACCCCAACCAGCAACGATCAGTCGCATCTGACCAAGAACTTTCAAATTTCTTTAACTACAACACGTACAATAATGCCACTCGATCAGCACAGAATCTTGGGAGGCATGTCTCCGGCAGGACATTGCCCTGCAAATTGAGCTTCGGCTGAAAGTTCCATGAAGACCAGTCGGCGACATTTGAAAGAAAGGCCAGCAGTACTAATAGTTACAAGGTTCAAAATACAGCCACAGTTTAGGGTGTTTCTGAACTCATACAATGGTTATCCAGACGTCCTTTCAACCCCCCACTTCATACGTCTCTGTCATGGTGCGCTGTAGCACTATTACTACCATAGCCTATCTCTCCAGAGAAAGATTTAGTCCGAAAATATACAGTTCGCGTGCGCCAGTCAAATATCGACAGTACGGGTAACGATGCAATATCCAACTGCAGCTAGTGATGTCTCTTCGATAATACTGGGGCACAGTTGTACTCTCTACAAGTTTCCCTAAAGAACGCAGACGCTAAGTGTATCACACAAATCTACATTGCATGCCATTACTGGTTTTCTGTTTCATTTGCAGAGGGCACTGCCCTTCTAAGAAAGAGAGTCATCTGCCATACGTCCTGCTTCATAGTGACATGACCATTGGCCATAGTGAAAGACAAGGATACAAGCCTATTAAGAGACTGGCTGGAAGCGTGGATCCGGGGAGGGCTACGGCAAAGACGAGTGGATACACTAAACCTACCCATCAATGGCAAAGGACATGGGTTTTGCATCGTAGTATATAATACTACAGCTTCCCTTGACCGTTATGAAGCACGGGTTGATGGGCGATTCGAGCCTTCAGCTTTCTGAAACCTCCTTCCCCCAGTAAAGACTCACTCGAATTGGGATGGATATTGGCTTAAAGCTGTCTGGGTGAATGAACATAACCTAAACAATCCAATGAACGAGACTGCTAAATTTCGACATGTTCTAGGTATGTCTCTAATCTTATTAAACTGGCTCTCGCTGTTATCTGAGTGCACTAACTGCTGTGTATAGGTCGAATAGTCGAATACATGCACGACCTCGACGTCGCATATAGGATTCTTTCGAATTATGAATAGACCCTCTTTCTTCGACTGAATGAGGATGTCTATGACAGGCTGGCAAGTTCAATATAGTCCAGTAATTTACCACGACGCATCATATTCCCAAGGATATGTCACTGTGCGTCAATGTATTTGGCCCCTTGCCAAACGCGCCAGGTGGAGAAAAGGACATTAAGCATTTTCACCGGACGATGGGTATGATATCGACATGACAGCATCGGGAGTTGGATAGCCGCCAACTACCGCCTCACAACTGCGGACGATGCCAGGAGAACCTATCTTTAAAGACTGTGTGGTCGTGCCTGGGGTTCAGCACGGAGCGCGTGCGCTATCTGTGGTTATTCCCCAGCCGTGTACCCTCTATGACAAGCTGGAGGCTGCCAGACCTTCCTGGATTATTTTTAGCAGTCTCGGCCCAGTGCCTCTAGGACCAACAAAGCGAATGTCATATGACCCAATCACTGCTGGCTTCTCACGGGGGTAATGCAAGGTCATCAGCGGCTCATATCTCATTGAGCCGTCGACAAATCCCACTAGGGGACTACGTGTCAGAAGTTGATATTGATCAATCGATCACGCCTGGGTGGAACCTCAAACGCAAGGCAGTTGCCGTGTGTATCCTCTTGCTTTGAGGTTGAGGCAAGAATCAAACATACGCCCTACAAGACAAAAGTACCTGTAGAGGTCGAGATCCTTGCACCACGTGCTTTGTTTGAGAATCCCTATGCCATCGTGTCCTAGCCCTATATGGCACGACAGACATAGAGAGTGCCGCTAGCCCAAGTGAAGATGGGTGGTTCATATCGGACTTTTACTTGTTCCATTATCTCTTGCCCCGGGTATTCCCCGGTATTACTGGCGCAGTTCGATTACTTTTGGAACACCTTCGTAGCACCAACTGAGTAAGATGCATTATGCAACCATTCATTCACCCGCCTGTCCCGGGTCACATCACCATGACCGTGACCATTGCGTCAACCAAACGTTGAGAACCTCAGTTGCTCAGGGCTGTTGCTTGTGGCTTCCTCATTCGACTTTCCCCTGTATTCTTGGATTTGTTTGTCAACCATTCTCGAAAGACTTACAGCAATGGGTGCCAGCTTCACAAAAACGCTTACTGTTACCAAGGCCATCAACGATCAGGCGAGCCCGCCCACTTTCCACATCATGGGGGGCAAGTGTCGCCACGAGCATATAGAAGAGTTAAGTAAATATTGTTGTTTATGCTCTCAGTTCAAAGCCTCAGTTTCCCCAAACTCAGCATCAAAGACGCAGCGGACAAACCATGCTCTCACTGTGGACATAGTGAATCAGTACACGATGACGCTTCTCAGGATATCCTCACTAGCACTCCAGCCAACGATACACTAGAGGATGGTTAGATTCTGCCTCGCTCACTCACTTCATGCGATAACTGATGATGTATATGACAAACAGACTTCGACTCGCGTTTCATATCTCTACGTGAAGATACTGTGGTTCAGCTACCAAATCTCCTCGAGAAGGAGAAAGTTGTTCATGCGATTTCTGCTACGACGCCGATATTATTATCAGAGACACGGGTTCAGAATTTGAAGCTGAGCTGATGTATGCAGTAATTACTACTAGCACGAATAAATAACTTTCCTCAAACTATAATCATATCTAATCAAGAATTGTGGAAATCCACGGAGAACGCTATTCCAACATTGCAGCTTAAAACACAGCTGCTAAGTGAAGCCCTGAAGCACCACTTGCTGAGAGCACTTCAGCGCATCACCCTATTAATGTAGACATATTAGGTGTTGAATATGTCCTGCTGCTTGTCTTGCACTTACAAAGTCAATCGTTGTGCATAGATGCGCTTGGTTGATTTTCAGACTCTACCAGTAGATCTTACATATTAGATTGAGCGTACACCGTTAGGGAATGATATCGAAGAATAAGTGACCCCTGACCAACGGGTCCCCTCCCTGAATGCTAATCAAACCCAAACACCCCTTTTCCCTCCCGGCCAGCGAAGACGAAAGACAAAGGCTATCATGAATACCATGCAAAAAATAACTCCGGGATCCATGCGTTCGTGAGACATGATCGTGCTCGTCTGTTAGCGAGCTGGGAATTGCACGCGAGTCTCGCAGTGCAGACTGAGTCCTATCCTGTATGGTGGGCCTTGCACTTGATAGCGTAGCAAAAGTGGAAACCTCCACTACCAAGATTGAGCAAGACGTCGGACTCCATCCCAATGAGGATATCCAAAAGTTTGGCCATTGCCTTTGTTCAATCGATCAAAGGCTTCTTCTGGTTACCGACAATGGCTACTCCGAGATGACGAAGAGCGTTAGGGTCACTGGGTCGTACTATCGAGGGTAAGGGCAACATGGGGTTATCTGGGTTCACATGGACAGCATCTCGAGCGGCCTGCTCAATGGCATCCATTTCTTCTTTGCACCCGGCGTGATCAAGAGGACAAACAACTATTGGCTGTCGAATAACAATATCCCTTGCAGATGTCAAGTGGGCCTATGGCGAGTGAGCTTCATCCTACTAAATATTCGGGAGGGTGTGGGCGAACTGAATACGAACCTTTACCGTTAAGTAGTACTCTATCTTGTAAAGGCTTGCGGTGGTCGTGAACCCGCTCACTGCATACATCGGAAAGGCAGCTTTCCCTCTAGGAAGGATTCCCTCCGTATCTCGCATATCCTTCGCTGGAAACACTAAGCCGAGGTTTGTCAAGAAACCAGAAGGCGGCAGCTTCATTCCAATGTGCTCAGTCCTCTTTGTTAAGGTTTTCACTTTCCTCTGCGGCTCATCACCTTCGTGGTTATATATGATTTCTTCGTCGATGCCAATAGTAATTTTACTTATTGTAACCTTTCGAGCCTTACTCATCCAGTCCGGGTTTGGAGATAGTTTGATATAGACGCTCACTGGGTCCAGTGGGCCATAAGACCACCGTGGTAATGAGATGCCCAGAGTGACCAGGTGATCTGTTACCCGTTCTGCTGACTCGGGACGGTTATACATCCCGAACGTAGAAAGTGTATCATAGCGTGCGATTGGCACTGGAAAAGTGTATTTTCTCTGATCCGAATGTCCTTGTTGGACCATCACCACAATCTCGTAGTATGTCTCCGCCGTTCGACTCGGAAGTTGTAGACTCGCCGGAGGGACTCGCCGAGACGCATCTAGCCCACTGCGCCCGAAGGGGATGAAAAGCACGAAAGGTAGGTCCATAGAGATAACCTCCTCATATTCTCGACCGGCAGGGCAGCGAAAGAGCAACATCTCCTTGCCCACGATATCTGTAATCTCTTTCCGAGGAGGGGCCAGGTGTTTCTTAGTAACGGAGTCCGCCGAAGGGTGTATTGTCTCACGACGGTGGAGGGAAATGGTAACGAGCGATACATTGACGGGAGCCGTGATGCCGACACTGGGCCTAATCTCAACCTTGCCTTCAATCCGAGGCTAGTCAACCGGTTATTGCGACGCTCATGGCATATCAAGGGGAGGGAAGCCTAACACTCACCATAGTTGCGGATATACCTGGATACCCGATCAGAAAGTTGCCATTCGGCGGCCCCGACACTCGCACGAAGGCGGCCATGCTGAGAGCGCTACACCCGCACCACCATGGGGCGGCTGAGAGGGATGCGCTCCGGGGCTTATCCGGGGGGTATGCGACCTCGACGACCTCAAACTCCTTGAAAGGCTCATAGAGACCGGCTGAACCAGCGGTTTCCGCTTGAACGCCTTGCGCCGAAGCTTTTGCGACGGCGCAGTTGCGGTAAGCGGCTCGTGTTGTCCTGGAGAAGCGCTCGGACGACCCAGGAAACGGAGCACGTCCCAGTGGATCGCAAGAGGATGGACGGATTAACGATTGGCAAGGACCGAAGCCAAAGGCGCAGATGTCTCAGGTTTCTTGGAAAGTGAAACCGGGGAATTTTCAAATAAGCGTAAAAGGGCACAGGAATAGGTGTCGAATAGCCGCCTATGTGGGGGTGGGTGGAAGTTGTGATTGAGGAGCAAGTCGATTGCGGCGGCTACAACAAGTACCTCTTGTCGAGCCTCGATTCGATCGGCGGCCTTGCCAACCCTTTCCGGTTTAACATGCACTCTCCTCCGTCAGCGGATCGGCAACAACTCATTTCCATGAATACGAGAGTCTTACCTTTTCACGTTCAAGTTTAATACCTTACTCTCCTTTTCTTTTACTCCTATCTCTTTCGGTTCGTCAATATGATCGTTCACGCGAGGTTAAGCAATACTGCCATCCTGCACAGGCCCTATTTATAAATAAGACTTGGTGAACCACTGGTACACTTCACATCTCGAACCCACTAGACCCAACAAGGCTGTGTCTCATTGGCCTCGACCGCCTGTCACTGCCCTGTGAACAGCCCCCCTTCATTTCATGTACATATGTATGTCTCGGGAAACAGAGACAAACAACGTGGTAATCTTATTTACATAGCGACCCATCAGGCTACAGTGGGAAGTATCTAGTTATTGGAACACCCGTTTAGAGCCTAGTGGCCGATTTAGTGACCGCCTACTAAATAGGTCTATTCTGCCACCCAGAAACCTCCTGAGTTCACCTGGCAACTATCTAATACTATAGTGAAATGGTAGGCGGTAGGACTGGTGCACAGCTCCCTCCTGGCCGTGTTCCAATAACTAACGGAATCGAGTGCTGTCCACTTCTTCACTGTTTGGCGCTTACGTCATTATCGATATATGTATAATTTCCTGCAAATGACAAGATCAATTAAATTTGTCCAGCCAACAGGAAGATATCACACTCAATCTTGAAACAATCTTTATTATAGTAGGGGTACGGTACTACACATGTTTCACATAGTGAGCGCGGCCGCTCGGTTGAACTTGCTCCTCTGCTGGAATGTCAGCGAGAGTGCGGCTGCTAACAGCCACCTTGGAGGGATAAGGAGAGTATCGGAAGCCGATTGATGCTGAAGCCCGGACACTCTAATAAATCCCCGGAACTATAATCATTATACGACTATTCGAATGCGGGGTGGCATAGTATTATCGTAGATAATTTGAGAACGGGACATTGCTGTCGATTCTGATAGACTGGTATTGAGAATTAAATGACTTGTTTCGAGTTTTGGAATCTGCGTAGGATTAGAATATAGGAATGTGCGGGACTACATAGTCCTATGTCAATAATTGAAAGTGTCTGTTTAGAGATGATAAAGGTGAGAGATAGAGTTGGCGACAAGGGTTTATTTATGATAAGATATATATATTCTCTACCTACTCAAAGCCGGAGTCTGCCGGGCACGTTGTCAAGGCTACCACTCAATATTTGACGATATTAGATAGCCTATCTAGGGCTCCCAGTACTGATTCAATTGATACCTGTCACTAGTATCTTTATTTTTTTTGCTCGAAATAATCAGATAGAGCTGTGACTCTTTCCGAGTAGCCGCATTCGGACAAGACAAAATAACTAGTGCTGCTGGGAACTGCCGCAGCTATGTATAACCTAGAGGGCAGAAAAAGAAAAATAAAAGCGAGCAACGTAAAAATAAAAGAAAGAGAACTGGATGCTTCTGAGTATATCTTGTAGAAGAGGAAGAGCAATACTATTTATTATATTGTTATTCATGAAATCTATTGGTTGCTCTCGCCCAACGGCCGTCCCTGATGTAAATGTAGATTAAGGGTTTCGGTTGCCATGTGCAACAACCAAGCCAAACTTTATGACATCGATGTCCCCACTATCGTCGAACTACACAATACCGGTTTGACCCCAGATCAGACCGTTCTCTCCACCCTGCATCTTAGCACGTTGTTGGTCCCGACTATCTTTCTTCAACGTATCCATTCTTAATCGCAAAGATATCGCAAAAATGCCTCCCACTCGTCGTCGCGGCGGCCAGGCTGCGGGCACCCGCTCGAACCAGGCTACCCTCTCATTCGGATCTAAGTCCAGGGTTACCAAGCCATCGGTGACACCGACGCAAACGCAGAAGACCAAAGACCTTGAACCGCTTATCGCCTCTATTGCCGAGAAAACTCCAGAGCCTGAACAAGTGTCGGTCACACCCACTGAGCCTTCGCAGCCGCATGTGGCGGAGCTTGCTGTGAGGCAACAAGCCCAGGAGGAAGTTGAACAGCCCTTGTCGAAAGAAGATAAAAAGGCGATCAATATTACCGAGAAGGACCTACAGCAATACTGGAGGAAAGAGGAAGAAAAGATAAGGGGACCTCGGTGTTAGTGTTCCCCCTGTTCATCCCCGATAACAGCTACACATTGCAGGGCCAAAACGCTAACAGTATGCGCGACAGTTCACCAGCAAGACCTCACACTACATGAAAAGATTCTTCGACATTTCGATCTATCCAGTCAATTTGGGGTATGTTTGCTTCGTGCATCATAAGTTCCAATGTGTCCAGCATTTTCTGGTGCCCAAGGAGAACATCTAGCTGACTGATATCTAGCCTTGCATTGGAATTGCTCGGTTGAAGCGATGGAGACGTGCGAATTCTTTAAATCTTAACCCCCCAATTGAGGTCTTGACCGTACTACTCAAACACAAAGATGATGTGAAACAGAGGGCATACGTCGACGAGCTTCTGTCCTGAGCCACCATTCCACTGTACAAATAGCCTTATCAGGCGCTTGGGAATTGGCGTGCAGGATGGAGATACGAAGGCAAAGAACGAAACATCAGAAAACTAGGCGGAGAGAGGATGGAAGCTTCTGGGCTATCCATGCTTAGATGCGGTATTCCCGGCCTCCCACAGATGAGTGTCGAAGCTATATGGCATTGGGTTTATTATTCGGAGCAGGGCGTTGGGAAAACATTGTATATACATACCCTCGATTGCGGTAACTTAGGTGTTCACAGTATAGGTGTGACCCAAGTTACAACGGATTTGGTCTTTCACTTTCTCTGACATTGCGCATCTATACCTTGATAGCGTAGAAATTCCTATCCAACTATGTAAATGGGCTAGGGATTCTGGATTTCCCATTGGTGAGTTCCCAAGATTCCACCAAGGGGGAGACAAAGACAAATTCCTCTACCACAAAGAACCCCTTTAGAGACAGCCACACGCAAACAGACAGTGACTCGCCTAGGTTACACTCGCTTTGTTCTCGGCCACGTCCCATTGCACAAGATCCTAGTAGATGTCTTACTTTTCGGGTGGGTGGAAACCTATCAGCAAAGTCCCGAAGCCGTCTCACTGGACTTTGTGTTCTTGGTATAGGTTGTTTTGATTCGTCACTTGTGACACGTTGACCCATGCCTCGATGGCTCCGCCATGTCTTACCTTTGCCCTTATAGCAAATGAATGGCAGGAAGAGTAAGATTACATCTACCGGCCAGAGTGCTAAATATGTGGTCCAGTCAGATTGAGTGGCTACTGCAAACCAATACGTGCTTGGTTACGTCTCTAGCCCTAATGCGTCTACTGTCCATGGGAATTGTCCTACTTCAGGTCTCTGATATTGAAAACTTTAGAGTCTTGTTGTCTTTCGATTAGCAAAATATCGAAATTGTTTGCACGGACTTCACCAATACCCGAGCCAGAGACCTGTATAGCCCCTCATCCAAGTGGAAATCCAGCGTATAAGTGCAGAACACCCTGGTCCGAGCCTACGTATGCCTTCTGCAATAGTGAAGTCAATAGGCCAAAGGGGCATCATCATTAGCATTGCTTACGCCCCTGCTCCGCACCTTGATCACTCTCAGGGTGTACGGAGTACGTATTGGGGGCACCGCCAACAGCAATAAGGTCTTACTCCCCAGATGTACCAGAGAATGAACTCATGTAGGGTTCATGTTGCATGTCACATGGCGTGACAGTCCAGGAACGATTGGATAGACATCTCCCAACCAGAAGAATCGCACCGTCCTGACCAGAGAAGCTTGTAATGGAACAAGCTCTAATCTTAAAGCTAATAAGCATGTGATGCAATTCCCTGAATCTGGTGAAACGTTCCCCCTCATGGCTTATAAAAAGACGTCCATTTCTCCCGAGCCATGTAACTCTCTGTCTCCGTCACCGCTCGTTAAAATCTCGACACTCGTTTTGATATCGCTCCAACATCCCTTCTTTCCTCTTGACAGAAACCTCTACGTCGCCACAATGCAGCTCGTTCACTACTTGATCGTTCTGTTGGCCAATCTGGCCGTCGCCCAGAACCTCCCCAACATTCCACCTTGCGCAGTAAAGTCCACCATGCCCCCCCATCACAACCACCCAGCACCACTAACCAATCCTACAGGTGTCGTGTCTCATCACCGCTCTGCAAGGCGATGGATGCCCATCCATAACCGATTTCGCCTGCCACTGCCAGAAACCCGAGCTCGTCCCGAAAGTCACTCCATGCGTCGCACAAGCCTGCCCTCTCGCCGAGCAATCGTGTACGTCTTCCACTACCTTCTATCAAGTCCGGGAACTAACAGAATAACTCTTTTTTGAAAAGCTGTCTCTAGGGTCGTCGTTTCCGCATGCTCCTCAGCTGGCCATCCCATCAGTGTCCCCAACCCAGGACCCTCAAGTACCCCCCAAGCAACCACCACCACAACCGCAACGACAACAAGCACCGGCACCGGCACAGGGGCATCGCCCACAGGCTCCATGACCATCCCCACCGTATCCTCCAGCCCCAAGCCCTCGTCTTCGGCCGCTAGCTCTTCCCATGCCTCCTCGTCCCCGGGAGCATCCACTCGCACTGGTGGTGCTGGCGGTGGTGGTGGTGCAGGTGGTGCTTCGCCTTCGGGTTCAGCTACGACCGGCTCAGCTACCCCGCCTCTCAAGACGAACGGGGCAGCGCAAGTCACGGGGAGCTTTGCTGGTATGGCTATTGCTGCCGTGGCTGCGTATTACCACCTTTGATTCCTTTAGTTGGGGTCGATGTTACCCATCAGAGGAAGGGATGTGTCTCCCGATGATTGTCGTCCCTGCAAGGATTGAATGAGAGTATGATGGCTTAGGCTTGGGGTTTGTAATAATATACTTTTAATCATTGTCTTGCTTAGTTTTTTACCTTCTGTCTGGGCTTTTGGTACTTTATTGCGGGGATTGTTTGTCTTTTGTTGCTCGCTGGCTGGCTTACTTTCTACCTACCTTTGTTGATACGGAAATAGGGTTGGTTAATCTTAAACCACGTTGGATGATATGCGGTAGTACTATTCCTTTTGTAGTCTTTAAGTATAATGAAGTATGTGAAGATAGCATATTTTACATGGAAACGGAAATCAGAACGAAGAGAAGTGATGATGTAGTAATATGTATGTATTGGTATGTCCATCAGGATAACGCCGTCGTAGAAGAACATTAAAAGAGTAATAGAATTGAATTGGAAAAAAAGAAGTCTATGGTACCCATAGTCGCACGAATCCTCCAACGTCCTGGCGGCAAGTCACACAGCTCCCAAAATTGTTCATTGCGAGGCTCACCCTACACTCTTCGCAGACGCAGAGACATCGGCATGGCCATGTAATGACTGAACGTGGGTTTGTCTGACAGATAACACATGGTGGCCCGCTTGGCCCCAATCCCGAAGCACCAGATTCCCATGACTGCTCGTCAGCACGGACGGATGTGCTTGAGCGTCGGGAGAGGATAAGTTTCTCAAGTATCTCACTCTCCTCTTCCATGGTAGGCTTTCGTTTCTCGGGTCTTATTTCCCGCGACATTCGAGATGACAATAATACCTGTGCCCTTTCATGCTCCATCTGTTGTTGAAAGCGACGTCGAGTCAGTATCCGACCTTCTTGACCGGCAGCGAGATGGGCAGCTAGGATGCGTGCCTCCTGTCTGCTTTCCTGATCACGCGGATCGAGCAAGCGCGCGAAAGAGCCAATATCCATCATTGATTCTTGTACGGTAGTGCTTTCGCGGGAGAAGCCCGAAGGGAAAGGATTATCGTGGGTGGGTGTACGACGACCGTCCGATTCGTCCTCCCACTCAGAGTCTGCGGTCGTGGACATGGAGACGACACTGGTCGTGTCGTCATTGTCGTTTTCGGGAGGTGAGTAGTCTGAGCTCAAGTCCCGGTCACCCCATGAGCCCCCAGCCTTCCACCAGCCATAAAGCTTGTCATCAAGTCGCTGCTCATCTGACTGTTCCCAAAGCGTTGCGCCTGATAGTTCCCGCTTCCTCATTTCTGTTTCTACGTCGAATTCGTAGTCCGCGGGTAGCACCAACTCGCCAGTATCTGTCAAGATCCAGAAATCGAGGGACGCCGCTTCTTTGGCCTTCTGCCCCTGAGGTCGACTCTTACGTGGTCTTACTATTGTTTTCAGCCATTGTGGCCGGGCACTAATTCCCACCTTGCTCAACAGCTTGTCCAAGCCAAAAGCAGTCCATCTAAGGAGGAGATAGGAAATTCCACGAAAGAAAGCAAAGCCGTGGTAGCACCGGACCATGCCTCGGAAAGCCCCAACACCACCTGGATCTGTCTGAGTTCGAAGGGATCTGGATCCGTTCTTGGGTTTCTCGATCTTCTTCTCCCGGCCATATCCGCTTTCCCAATCGGAAGGCGCTTCTGGTAGATCAAAGTCCACAGATTCACCACCGCCAAAAGGAACATCGCTCGTATGGCTGACAGGGTCCCGTAAAGATCGCTTTTCTCGTGATGATTCGATCTCCGCCAACCTATCTTCTTCTAGCCATGTCATACTCCGAGCAACAACTCCTTTACCTTCGTTCAGAAACACCGCCTCGCTGGCTGCAGTCAGGGCGGTGTATCCAATTCTCAACAGAGTGGTATAGAAGTCTTCGTGTCTATTAAATCGAATATTGTGAAACTGGGTAGCACCTTGCATATTCTCATGTGCCAAAGCGAATCTCTCTCGAAGCGATAATGGCTGAGGAGTATCGGCAGGAAGGGAAAAAGCTGTGACGAGGAGAGCAAGCATATAGATCACAGCACATGTGATAATGCCCGATAGGATTAGCAGATGTGGTACGAATCCCACGATACAAACTGTGGGAAATTTCAGGACCACGTTCTCACTTCCCACAGACGAGCCTTTCAGCAAGCCCCACGCCATGGTAGACATGAAGCAAAGGCCCCAGAATGCCGTATTGAATAATCGGTACCGGCTCTGTTTACCAAACACATCTAGGACGTTCGAGGTGAGGCTATTGCAACATGATATCAAAGCGATCAGAAGTAACTCTGGGGTCACATTCATCCGCTCGAGAACTTGAGCTCTACTCAGTAGATGAAGGGTGGATTGGGCACTTTCTCCCAAGTCATCTTTGCTAGCACTTTGTTTGGGAAGACCAAACAGTCCTAGCCCAAGAGTTTGGCTGATTGTAGACTCCGCCTCGGCAAATGCAAGAGAGTGCTCGAAAATAGACATACCCGCCTCCGTGACCACTGGTCTTCCCTGTAGCGCGCACGAAAGTGTTTCTACGAAGTGACTGAGGCACAGCCGGATGAACACCGGCCAGAGAAGCACAAACGATCCATAGGAGATATCCGAGGAGCTAGCGGGCCGGGCCATGTTCATTGCACTGCAAGACTGCTCATCCGTCTCCCATGGCAAAAGCGTGGAGCCGAGCGAGTATAGAAACCCTCCACCACCAGCATGATCAAACAACAAACGTTTCCCGGGAGTGCCGTACCGAATGAGCGAGTAATTGGTCGACGTCTGGCAACGGATTGCGCGGAGTAGCGAGTGGATCTGGGATATAAAGAGAAGGATCGGTATAATTCGTAAAGCTAGTCGCCGGCTCCAATCAAGATGCAGATGTCGCCGGGTAGACGCATATATGGTGATCCTATTTAAAACAAGGGCCTTTGATCTATTAGGACAAGAACATCATGGGAACTATCTGGCAGGTAGAACTTTACCACGGTGAAGCAAGCCAAAGACCATCGACTAGTCAAGTAGGAAAAGAAACCACTGAACTTGATAACAGCCTGGAAGATGTCGGTGAGATGGTAACCCGAGTCGGCCTGCGCGGCGGCTTCAACGATGCCTTCTCTGGCAGCATCCGCTGCTGTCTGTGTCGCTTCTATCACTGCACCCCTTGCTGGTCCTGCAACTTCTGAGGCCCCCAAATATGTTGTCATACTCGATAACCCCACTAGCCGGTTGACATGAGACGAGAGGGCGGAGAAACGGCGGAACGGGGCGGCGAGCAGTTCGCGCGCGGACGAGGATAGTGCAGAGGTAGCGGGAGCCGGGATCGTTGTATTTAGAGATTGCGCAGCGGATGTAGTCACAGGTGCGTTCACTGTCCCTTGCAAGACAGACATGGCTGGCTGCTTGGTTGGACGGCACTTGCCGGCCTGCTGGGCTGGATCCGAAGTGTTCAGACTTCAAGTACAAGACATTCGCAGCGAGATCAGCCGTTCGCGGTAAGATGAGGTTACCCGAGTGAATAGTGGTATTAGAGTGACGGAGATCCTGAGTGCATCATGTCCTAGAACATGAGCCTAGATGTCAGCGAGAGTATTGAAGATAGGTCGCAGTTCCCTTTAGTTGTTGTCAACTCCCTAAGTCCGGCGCTAATCCAATCTGGGAGAATCCGCTGGTTCCGCACGTGCCTCGCTGTAGCTGACCAACGCCAAGACGACGGAGTACGATATCTAATTGTCAGTAATAGTATCTCTCTCGAGGAGAAGGGTTTCATTAAATTACGCAAAAATACTCAAATGGCATTTAATCAACGAGGTAGTATCTCTAAAAGTCTATTCTTGTCATTTTCAAAGCTACCATCTGATCAGTTAACAAAATAGCTGTTTGACCCTTTTTCGTGGAGTGTTGCTAGCTTTCCCGATTGCCAATATCATCATAAACGACCGAAAAAAGAAAAAGAGAAAATCAAGAAATTAAATGGTGTCTTCCATAGACCTCATTAACTTTTGGAGAATAAACATACTATCCGTGATGTCTCCCTTTCTCACAGACTCGCCAGATGCAAGTTGATACAACTCTCCATCTCGTACTACCCAACTGTTGAGTAGACCCTTTCCACCTTTCGAAATTGAAGGGAAAATGAAACCCTCACCGAGGTCTGCAATTAAACCGGGAAGGGCTTTCCGTTCACTGCGCGAAACAAGTTCTTGGTCAAAGGAGGACTCAAGTCGATATTCATAGACGAACGTCATACGCTCCTGGCCGAGTCGACTTACTCGTCCAATAGCCTGGTTAATAATTGACTTGGACAAGCCCACTGAGAGGAGATGAACGTTGCGGCAGAGATTTTGTAGATTAATGCCAGCAGCATTGACATTATACGTACAAATCAATACCATGCATTCATCGCGTTTCTGTGTAAACCGCTCGACGAGATTCATCCTCTCATCACGAGTCAGTCCAGCATGGAAAACCTCCGCATCAATATTGGCCTCTTTGAGAATGGCTGCAACATAGATCTGCTCAGCAGGAAACTGGGTCCAAACAATTGCTTTTTCGCCATGAACAATTACCTGATCACGCAAGACGGGAAGCATAGCCCTCATTTTGGGCGACCCCTTGAGGAGATACTCGAGAACCCAGGTTCTCCGCGTTTCGACTATCGATTCGATGCTCTGGTAGATAGACTTTGGGTATTGAGAATTCATTTTCCTCAATATGGTTCGTGCGAAGACAGTCCCTAAAGTCCCTTCTTCCAACTTCCCGCAGGCATTGGGTATCTTGGTTGCGTAGAGCGTATGCTTGAGATATTCGAAACCTAACCATGAGGTTAAAAGACAAAGGTTGCGGAGTTTAGCCATGTTCCAAACCACTTTGGTCGGATCGTCCGGATCCTTCATGAAAAGCCCATCGAAATGAGGAGCAGAAGCTCTAGTATACATCTCTTGTTCCTCTCGGCTGAACACCACGGTGCAGACTCTGCGATGCGTTGGTGGTATGTCACTCCCTATCATCCTTGAACCGAATGACTGCAAACGAGATGTTAAGGCTCTTCTAATCATGGTCAGTCCAAAGACCACACGTAAGCGCTCGCCTGCCGCCATTGGCGGCACTTTTCTGTCCAGAATGTACTCTTCCACTGCCTCCCCCGTGCAGCAAATATACCTCGCAGGGTTTTCAGGAGGGAGTTTGAATACATCCCTCCCTAACTTCTTTAATATATCCTTGTCCGCTTGGGAAGGTGGATGAAATAGTAGTGGAATATATCCACGCATGTCTTCACGAGAGTTGTAAATAGGAGTGGCAGTCAATAGTAGATAGAAGCTCGCCTTCAACCAGTAGACCACCTGGGACTGTGAGGTATCCGAATTTCGAAGTGTATGGGCCTCATCAATAATCACATCGGAAAAGCACCCTTCAAGGAGATGCGGAAAATCCGGTAGGGAAGCTGGTATATCCTTCTTATAATCCCGACCTGTTTTTCTACACCATATCTTGACCGCGGCGGGCCCATGGCGGTTGCTCAGTGTTTGATAAGAAGTAATAACCACTGTCCGACCATTGACTGGTGAACCATCAAACAGCTCATGTTCCTTATGCAGTATAGTCTTCAGTGGCTGCATGCCCTCTTTAGATGTCTTGTTGCCATAATACAATACAACTCGCAGCTTGTCTGTAACCCGAGTGATCTCTGCACACCATTGCATGATGAGTGACGGAGGCAAGACGACGAGGAATGGTTTACTTGGCGGGAGTTCCTTTCCTTCACTCACTGCCCTTTTAACAGATTGATTATAATCTTCCCATATCTATAAGCACGGTTAGTTATTCGTTGGTTAGCTTATTGGGTGAACATGTTGGAGGCAGTGCAGACCTTCAGCATTAAGGCAATGGCCTCCCACGTCTTTCCTAACCCCACAGAATCGCCAAGGATAGCACCCCGAACCATAGTGTTTGCACGAATATCAAGCAAACGGGCTATGGCAACCGGTTGCCAGAACTTTAGAACAGCTGATCGGTTCATAGATCTCATTCGTGGTACCCTAGGATTTGCGATTTTGAGAATCTGACAGGCCTCTTTGTGATTGTCTATCTGATATTCAGGGTTGTCTAGCATCTTTCGATGCTTTTCAAATTGTTCCAATGATTCTTCCGTTGGAATGATCAACATGGAGGACTCAAAGTCACTCGTGTCAATCTCTGCAGCCATACTTGCTTCTAGGTCTGCCGTCTTTTCAATTTTCATTGGGTCAAAATGATCAGTCTGGCTGTTCACTGACGGATATAAGCCATCAACAGAATGGTCCAGAGTAGGTTCCCAAGCGGTGTTTAGGTTGATTGATAGCTGTCCTAGATTTTCAATCTGTTCATCCACAGACGACGTCTCAACTCTCTGTAGGGCTTCGGATATATGTTGGAACTGCCAGTACTTTTCCTGCGGATTGTAACATGGGGAAGATCTGGTCAAGATAATCCGCTCTCTTGGATGAAACATCTCCTCGCGCCACTTGTCTATCGTTAGATCTATCAGCTCAGGCTCTTCGGTGCTTAAGTGATCCGATTCCTGCTCGTCTGCGTCTAGATCCACGCAAAATAATGGGTCTTCTTCGGACTTCTGATAACGCGGGCGCTTGCCTATTACAGAGTTTCCATTAGTGCTTCTCAAGTAGCTCAGAAGAGCCCAGACGATGGCTTCCATGAATGACTCGGGAAGGTTTTTCCTGAAGAAAACGCCCTGATTAGACCTGTGATTCTCGGTCTTAACCATACACACAAAGCGTGCTAGATGATCAGCAAGGTCCCATTCGTCTTTCTCAGGAAATCGCGCGCTATATCTCGTTTGTCCGTTTGCCTCCCCCCGAGCCAGCTTCTCTAAAACCACTTTTCGCCGGACTCTGACGGGCTTTCCTGACTTTGGCTTGGATAGACAGTCGCTGTATAGCTCTTTCCACCAGGGGGCAACTAATGAACTCCTTAGCCACTCAAGCCATTCACTATGAGTTTCAAGCTTGAGGATCTTTTGGAGCGCATTCTTTCCTCTTCCTGGTGTGAACTTTTTGTGGACTCCGTCATTTTCCTCTACTTTTCGTTAGCATATGGAAAGGTTAGGAACGTGCTTTTTCTTACCATGTTCGGTATGACCAAGGTCAAGATCGGAATCCGTGTCAGACGTCATGGTGCAATTTCGAAAACCAGTAAACCAAATCGGTGTCAGTGTATCGGTCACAGTAATGGGGAAGTGATCAAGTAGCCATGGGAAGACAGTGATAAACTAAAGCCGGGGGCGTTGCAGTCTGAGGCTTTGGATATGGTAGGAGTATGGAATCAGGAGTGAGAGGTGTAGAGATTTAGAATACTTTCGGAATGTTGTGACAGTTAAAATTTAATTCATAGGGATATCAGTCATGTAAGATTGAGGAAAGAGACGATCTGAGGGATTTAGAAAAGCTGTGATTAAGCACGATAGAATGAATAGTGTCTATGGATCCTGAAATGCATAAAATGGTTGAAGATTAGATTAAGACAGTGGGAAAGGGTTGCAGGTAAGCTTGATGACAAGGAAATATGTAGTCTGGGCTAGGTGTATCAGAGGTGAAGTGATGATGATCTCGTGGAAGAGAGAAAGTGAGAATCATCAGTGGAAGAGGAAGGTGAGAGATCATAGAATACCATTGAAACATTCTATGAGTGTAGGACACATTAAGAATATCATAAGGTATGAGAGGAAGATGGTACGAAGTGATCACCTGGGAATTAAGAATTGACAGGCAAGGGTGAGGTTGCAGATCTCCTGGGAGAGATAGTAAAAGACTGAGTGACCAAGATTTGAAGCACTTAAATACTGTCTTGAGATTCAGGAGATATATGTATAGCTTTTCCTCCTCATCACTTCTGGCACGTTCACATCTCCGAATAGGCTCGATATATTGTATAGAACTACGCGGCGTTCTTCTAGGTTTTGTGCACGGAAACTGCCTGGGGTTGACTGCCATATGCAATGATTCTAACCATATGTCGGCGGTCACCATCCTCGAAGTCTGGCACAGCTGAGTGGGCAACTGCTCTCTAATACGAAGGTCAGCAAACTCTTCACGCTGATGTATGATGCTGCGGCACGTACTTGATCCCATACGACAACAGTTCCTTTCTCCCATGAAACCCGACAACTGAAATCCAATGATCGAATATGATTATGCAGAAACGCTAGCAGGTTTTCCGACTCCTCGGGTTTATAGCCAACGACCTGTCTTGCGATGGTCGGGTTCACAAATAACACGGACTCACGGGTGACAGGATGCTCGATAATAAGCGGATGTTCAGTTTGTACTGCCTCCTTCAGTGCTCTTTCCTGCCCAATACGTGCAACTTCCCCCACACTGGCACTGGTGTGTAGGAGTTTCAACGGATGTAGGCCTTCACGAAAAGTGGGTGAGAGGGCTTGATAGGCAGCTGTCAGTGATGTGAATGCGGTATCCCCGCCGCCAGACGCAGGTGTCTCAAGAACCCAGAAGAATGTTACTCCAGGTGTGTTGGGCGTGAATGTCTGGTCGATGTGCCAAAGATCATAGCTTGTACGTGTTCCAAGCAAATTGCGAAGATTTCCACTAGAAGTCAATCAGCTGGTGGGAGATACCGTTCGGAGGGAAGACTTTCATACACTTTTTCGTCTGCATACACCACCTGGAACTCAGGACTAGTTCCTTGTGGGTATCCCATTGTCGGATGCTATGCAACTAGGGCATCAGTTTATGTGAATTGCACGTCATTGCGAAGCTTATCATGGGCGAACCTGATGGAGTGGCCCATAATGAGCTGCGATATCCCGCTGTCGGTTTGTCCCAATGTCGGCAAAGTCTTGGTCTCTCTGCACCACTCGTTAGTTAATATTCGGTTAATATAAACAGTAAAGAGTGGCGCGCTATATTATGGAAGGGATTGAAGTTAGGTCATCATACAAATACGAGCACGCCTCTCTGGGCAGCCAACAGTGCTATTTGATCCAAGCCTTCGGTACTTAATTGGCTTAGCTGCACTCCTCGTATTTCCGTTCCAATACGTGGGGTTATGTTCTTAAGTTGGCTATCTTTAGTGTAGATCTCTGGTAAGGAGGGATCTGCGCGACATCCTGCTTCGGGAATATCCTGTAGTGGAACCCTCAGAGTTGGAGTGAACCCTTCCGGACGGACAGGGAGGTAAGAGGGGTAGAGAGGGGCAGAATCGTTGTTAGGCATGATATCTAAGATCTATTAGACATTGATATTACAGATCTGGCCACTAGATAATAGTAGCAGAACTTGATGTTACAGTCTATGCCGATCAGGCTAGGGTCAGGTTATATAGACGGTTATTATATGCTGTGGCGCCACTACAACGATTATACCCCTCCATTCTCTATGACCCCAGTCGAATCCTTGTTGCTTCTGAAGGGATTTAATAAGATTAAACCGGAGGGATTCCGAAAAAAATTACCTATTGTGGTCACCACCTTAGAACCTGTGTCAAATGATACAACGATCCGACATGATGATGCCTTTCAAGCCAAGAAATACACCATCAACACCCACTCACATGTGGTGTATTGCAGAGACGCAAGCTCTTCCAAGTTCCAACACTAAGCGAGGACGTGCATATCATTTTCTAACTTCCAATTCTTGGCCATCTTAAACCTTTGGTCTTTTGCAAAAGCCCAATCAGACTTTGTATTAACCACTGGGCTACAGGCGGCCAACGCCGCAGACCATCGATGATACCTATCGCGCCATAGACAAATGAGTGATTCCTTTCAGCATATAAACATTCTGTCTCCGATTCTATTCCAACTGGGTACGACGTATCATGCTAAAGGCTTATATACCCAGTTGAAGGATGGCGACGACCAAAAACAGTGTGGTTATTGAACAATGCCCTTCAAATGATGAGAGTCCACGCGTTACAAAAAGCCGAGGATGGGAAAACTCAATTTTATCAAAACTCTGCAATGACAGAGAGCGTCTGGTGGTTCTTAAAATTGATTTCCTGCTGTTGACATGGGCGTTTGTTTCTGGTTTGACCAAGGTCGGTTTCCCTTGATGCGCGACCTAATCCGGACGAATGTTTTCTTTTAAAAGTAAAACTAACCAGGTGAACTGCAGGACATGGACCAGTCTGCAACTACTCAGGCATACGTTTCAGGAATGAAGGAGTCCCTCAGTCTTTATGGCAATGAACTCGTGGAATTCACAACATTCTTTTCTATCGGATACGCTATAGCAATCGTGCCTTCGCAGCTGACGCAAACGAAGATTAGGCCATCTGTATGGCTTCCAACCTGCGAAATTATTTGGGGTGCATTGAATCTGGCGTAAGAGTCCCTTCTCTAATCTTTCTAAAGCATGCTAATGCTCATAGCAGTACATTTGCCGCAAAGAATGCAAGAACAGTATATGCATTGAGATTCTTTTTGGGGGTCTTCGAGTCCGTAAGTACCATCCCACCATTTTAAGCTAGAGATATAGACACTGAAAAGGGTAGACCTCTTGGCCGGGCCTTGCCAGTCTGCTGTTCAACTGGTGTATGTCAAAGGATATCGCATTCGTATCTCTGTTTCAAACTAAGAAGAAATCTAGATACTCCCCAGGAATTGGGAACACGCCTGGCAATCTTCGGTGTCAGTGGCACGGCAGGCAATATGTTCCTTGGAATTTTACAGGCAGCCTTATACAAGAATCTAGATGGCGCAGGCGGACTACAGGGATGGCAATGGCTGTTCATAGTCACGGGCTGTATAACGATGGCATGGGGCATGCTTGGCCTGTTCATTATCCCCGATTCTCCAAGTATTACCCGGGCGTTATGGTTAACAAAACAGGAACGCATAATTGCTGTAGACCGCATGGCGAGCCATGGGATTAAGACGAACGAACTTGTCAATCGAAAAGTTGTTCTTGAGAAAATTCGTGCTCTCCTAAAAACCCCACTGAGTTGGCTCTATATCGCTGCATATCTTCAATATGCATGGAGTCAGAGGTGCAACTCATATTTCCTGCTATACCTAAAGGTATATCTCTCTTACTTGTGATGGTGGCAAAGTTGGATGCTAATCCGCATAGGGCCTAAAAAATGATAATGGTGAACAGCTATATAGGTAAGCTACATAATGCCGTCCATAGCTGTGAAGATAGTCTTTTAACGGAAGCAGCACGTACACTGTCAACCTCATTCCATTGGGCGGATACGCAATTTCTATCGTCACCAATGTCGGTTTCAATTATCTGAGTGACAAGAAGCAATGGCGATGGCAAGTGGCCGTCTCTACAGCGGTAGGTGGATTTTCACACTGATTTACACATTATAATCGCCTTTCTATCAGCAGTTTGTCTAACACTACCAAAGCTGCTGCAAGTTCTCTGCTGTTCTGTCTTATCCGCCTGGCCCGATTCCACACCGACAGTCATGGCCTTCTACTTCATGACCTTTGCTACCAGTGGGTGGGGGTATGTCCTGCGCCTCTAGCTCTCATATTCCGCATCCTGTTAAGCTAAAATTATCTGTTAGGTATGCACTACTAGCTTGGATCGGCGAGATCCTTCGCAAAGAGCCCGAAGTCCGATCAATTCTCGTAGCTCTAACTGTTACGCTTGTGTGTATGTTTAGCTCATCGAGTTCTGTGTTTTCATCCTCTCTTTTTATTCCCTTCCTTGATGCCACTGAATATGTTATTATCACTTGCTAATTTCAAAAGACGTCGGCCATGCGACAATTCCACTTCGTATTTGGAGAACGTCAGATAGTCCGCGGTATCCTATTGGATTCCCGTTGTCGGCTGCTTGGGCAGCTGGAAGTATTGTTTCAATGCTAGGAATTGAATTTTATATCAGGAGGTAAGGATTTCGTAACTAAATTACCTGGTTAGAAGTCCTGTAGCTAACGTATGGATTGATCAGGCACCAGGAAATTCTGGAGAATGGTCTTAGTGGGGTTCCACTGGAAGAGGATCAGAGATCAGCTAGGGATATCTTAAAGGATACTTGATGATATGAATGCATAGTGGATGCTTACGGAGGCTTATAGCGGCCACTCCGCAACAACAGGTCTTATCAATTTCTGCCAGCAGAATTGATAATAATTTAATTTTCTTAATGTTATGGTGGTATTATGACTTCGAAACCTGTTAGCGTAGTTATGTAAATGTAAAGTAGGTGTCCCTGAACTCATATCAAGTTGGCCAGTTTTTGCGAGCAGAGTAATATTGAACTTCGTCCTAAACTATCGAATTGATGACACTCATCATCTTCCTTTTCATATCTCATACAGGGGATATTGGAGTTAAATGCCAGTTGTCGACTAGTTCGACGACCAAGCGCTCCGTTGGTTTCCAGGAATAAATACAAGGTATGAGTCCTTGCAGATGTAAATAGTGCATAGAATAACTTGTCAATTAATGCTGCTCAGACCTGGTCCATTGGCTGAATCAGCTTGTAGCTGTGACAATTTTTAAAGTCTTAGTCTGTACTCTGTAGAATGACAAGCAGAACTTTAAGCTGCTAAGCAAATGAAGGAAATAACATTTATACCCAGTCATTGATGTGAATCCTTGAACCTTAATCCACATCAAATACCTGTCACAGTCTATCTAGTTACGTTGATCCACTTTCTATATCCTTATATTTGTCTAAGCATACACTGAGTTTATTAAGAATATTAATATTTACATTAAATTAGCCTCACTGTCTGATCATTAATATATTACTTAGTGAGGTTAGGGGCTAGTGGGCTCCTGCCTACTTTAGTGAATATAACTTTATCTCACTTCCTATTACTGTTCTCTCACCTCACTAAAAGATCATAATGACACCCACTTGAACACCTAACTTTTAGGCATCAGTTCAAATACCCCTTTCTCCATCCCCATCCTGATTCTTTCTTCCTTCTTCACCTCCCGGGTCATTATCACTTCCATCATCTCGCAACCTTTGAACGTGGAATAGAGCATACTGAGTGCTGAGCTAAGGCTCCCGTAATCAATATTCGGTCTTTTCTAAAGTAATTCGAAAGAAGCTAGTACTTGGACCTCTCTATTACACTTTACCTAGCAGGGTATCCAAATATCTCAAGTTCACAATAACAGATACGATTCGCCCTGATAGTATCGCGGATTTCAATGCAGTTGGCCGCACGACAGAAACAACAGCGGACCTGGCAAGTATGGAATTCTTGATCCACTGCCCCCCCGACCTCCCTCCAAGAAGCCGGATCGTTTCGCTTTGTGGAATTACGGACTGGGGCGATGGTGCCAGCCCCCAAAACGATGGGTGGTTCATATCAGACTTTTACCTCTTTCACCATCTCCTACATCGTCGTGGTAAATTCGTCTCTTTCCTTGGTGATTGCTCTCTTTTAATATGAAACTTAGCTAACTGAAAGCTACCTAGATCCTCTATCAACTAACCAAATCTGGTTGACCTCAGAGCCCCGACGATTTGGTCCGAAAATATACAGAATATGCACACGGGGATCCCCACGGGTAGAGACGAGTCGTCTTAGAGACACAGTTGTTGGATGAAATCTCCTCTGCGGGGAACTTGCGTGTTGTCGCCAGAAAGGACCTCCTTGAGAGGTTTCTCAACACCGTTCGCGAACAGGCCCTGATTGCGGAACACCAAAGCGAACAGCTAGTTATTATGATATTCGGCCATGGAGATACTGAGACCTCTGGGGTCCTCGTTGGCGGCGAACGAGGCTCTAAGAGCGCTCCGCGACTCTGCATGCAAAACATCAGCAGATTGCTTCCCAGCGAGGGTGTGGTAAGAAATGACGCGGTCATTACCCGCCGACGGGCATTTTTGGAAACAGTTAAGAGGATGGGTTGGAAGGTCACTGAGAGGAATGAGTCATGGTGAGCTAGGTTTGAGCCCACTAGGCTTGATGCTTAGTGATTTCGACTGGGGCCAAGATTCGTAGGTGCCGGACCATGACTGAAATGTTACCCCAGGATCCAGGTACTGACAGACAGCATGTGACCAGGTCACGTGATTATTGCTACATCCCAAATGTCAGTGCCCTCTTTGTACCTTAGCTAGTCGAGTACTACGACATGACAAAGTTCGCGTAAGCCGTGACACAGGAAATATCCATAATGTACACTGGAAGCGAGTTTATGACAGTTGAAAGTCGGGAACAGCCCCAGCAGAGGAACTACTCGTGGGAGAAGAATATTCCAATTCATAAATTCATTTCATTGTAGATTGACTCCTTAGGCGAACTCTGCCATAGCTGCTCAGTGCACAACCGCATCACAATGTGTACATCTCGCTACGGCTTCGCACTCCATCGAAAATGCATGTGTTATCCAGCGGTACATACTGCCGTGTGATAACTTTGAGTGCTTCCTGCGCGACCAAGCCACCAGTAAGAGACGAGATATTATGCAGCTCGCCGCCCTCTGTCCGGCGTAGTTCTTGGGTGGCTTCCAAAATGCGCTCCCGGGCGTCCTGGTCAACTGTAGATTGGTCGTCGGTCGTGAGCGCAGAGAGGACACGATCAATCTGAGCGTCCCACGCCACCTCGTCATCAATTGATCCACTGGGGATTTTTCCTCCTTGGAGGTCGGTAACAACATTGTCCAGGACTTGGAAGGCGACGAAGGCAGGGATGAGAGAGTCAGGTATACTTATATTGTTGCGGATCGCCTTAAGTGTCTGTACTTCGCCATCAATTTCAGGGATATTGCGTCCACGAATAACCTTGATGTGAGCGGCATTCTTGCAGAATATTTCGATGTCCTTCTCTAGAACCTCACCAGACCGAGATCCTATTCGGGACTCGATTCTTCTGACTATATTTGTGACTTCCTCTACATCTTTTCTCGCCTTCGACTTATAGATGTTCTGAAGAGAGACATAGTCTGCCGACTGGGCTTTCATATCGGGCAGTGAGCCGGGCAGAGGTAACACATTATGCTGCTGGAAAAACTCCTGAACTGCAGATGCGATAATCCAGAAATCGGCCGAGTCGGCTCGGGGGTTTTTGCACTCATCCATCTCAAAGATCTCGCGAGTCGAGCTGCGTAAGCTAAAGGGGTTCAACGATTTCAGTACTGCCGCAACAGCCTCATCATAGTTCTCTTCGCCGCCTTCGGGGTTACTCGTTCTTGCGCTAGAGCGCACCATCTCCCTGAACTCAGACTTTTCCTTGTAATTCGCTGGAACGTTGCCGTTGTGTGTCTCCTTCCATTTCTCAAGGTAGTGGAGAAGTAGTAATAGGTATGGAACATGACCATGTTGGTGATCATCCAAGGTCTCCAAATCACTGATTCGAGAAGCAGCTTCTACCAGCTCTGGCCAAGGGTTGAGCAGACGGAGATCCTGTGTTGTCTCCGGATCTGGATGAGTCTCTACTATAGGAAACAGGGGCGGTAATTGGAGTGAGAAGGCGGAGTAGAATCCAACAGAGCGTGTATACAAGACTGGTATGTTTAGCTCATTGGCAGCCTTGCAAAGAGCATCTAAAGAGGGTCGCTTCATAGGACCAGAAACTAACACCAGCCTATGCTGTGCGAGGAATTCTGGATCCTGTCTCAGAAGTTCCGTAATTGACTGAAGATAATGTATCAGCATATAAAGCTATTTAAGGACAGATCCCCCTATCCCATACCTTTGACTGGAAGCTCCCTTCTACGTCTGGGTTCAATTCTTTTAGTAATCGGCAGGTCTCTGCGGCCCTAGGCTTCCCCAGGCTCTGTTCTTCGAGGAAGAAATTAACTCCAAGGTCCGCCTCAGTGACAGTAGCAGGATCCACGATAGTAAATCCTCCAATTCCAGGAAGGACAAGGTTCTTCAGTGTTTCGACACCCACTACACCTGATACGCCAGTGCTCTGGTTGCTCCATGGGCCATCAGAGTTGACCAAAAGTACACGAGACTCCTCTAGAGCCTTCTGACCACTTGCAGCCCATAACCGCAGTTGTCGATCATATTTTCTTTCTTTGGATGATGGCCCAGTCAGGGCACTAGGAAAGGCATCAGTCATGAGGGCGGGGAAGTGAAAGAGAAATGGTGAGGAATAGGTGAGAGTAGCAGAGACACGCTATCAAGTCACTAGTACGACCAGATTACTAGTACTGCCTCAGACAGGCGATATAATATCAAGCATCTGACAATTGTTGAAAGCCAGTAGTAGCGGTTGACAATGGTTCTGCAGTAATCCGTAGTAGACGCTGCATGCCCACGTGACGGGTAGCTAACACCCTGGGAACGGTTAAGTGCGTGGAGTCGGAGGGGCAGAGCGTTCCTGGACCTCTGTGACATGACGGGCAGAAATGGGGACCGCCAAGTTGACCGCCGGGCACATCTTGCTATTGCAATCGTTTTTCAGGTAAGCTAGTTGATTAAAACGAGATAATGATAATAATCAATTTTCCGTCCTTTGGCATCAATTGCTTAGACTAGTGGCATCCCCACGATCAGTATCTGCCCCGTACAGAGTGATGCATCTCTAAAAATGAAGTAGGTTGGGTGAAGCAGACTCTCAAGCCATGCTCCCGAGCATGGACAAGCAAACATCTCGAGCCATGTCAATTTTCTCAACAGACTAGAGGGTTCAGAAAACCAGCGGGCGATCGATTTCGGAACAGCCATGGCCAAAATTTCACATACGAACCCCAAGATCGGACACACGATGAAATTATCCGGTCTTCCGCATGTATCACATCAGGCGGCCCTGGGAGATGTTTTGGGCTATACTCCCCTTTCAATATAGAGAACGGGCTCCGTAGGTCTATAGATACTTGGGCTATTTGTCCATCCGGACCAAAATTCTCGTTGAACATTCGGTGTCAAGGTCATGCCAGGGTGACTGGTGGGTTGCTCTTGTCATTTGGCGCAGAGAAAAGTCTTAATAGGACAGAGTTGACGCTATAGTTGAACTTACAGATTATAGCTTTACAATACCGAGGGTCGCGATGATTGAGGGGCAACTGGCCTCATACATGGACAGATCTAGCTAGCATTTGTAGAAGCTCAATCTGACAGTATAATAAGGCCTGGCTTTACTTCTAGTGGTTTATATGGCCTACATACTGAGCACAGGTCAGCTAATTATTCGTCTAGTAGCAATATTCTACAGTTAATATATTCTCTTAGTTTATCTAGACTCGTATGTACTCAGAGTTGGAGCTGTAGTAAGTTTTAATTCAAAAAGATGAAATCTCTCTTTTCTTACCCGGTTCAAGCTGTTCCGATGGTAAATCTATTCAGACCACCAGGTCACGCTGGCCTTTATTCTAACCACACTGGTGTTTCAGTCTGGATTACTGTACTGGGTAATCCTAACCGCTGACAACTGAGGCCTTGCATGGCGGCCTGAGGCCGTCTAAAGCACTATGACGACACAACCCCACCACTAGTCAAAAGTCACCTTTATCATTGCGACAATCAACATAAACTCGGCAATTCGCAGGGACGTTATCATTAGGTGTGTTTGGTACAGGTGTTACATATCCATTGAGCCTCAATTGCTGTGCCATGTTCCTAGTAATTTCACGTGGCTGCCAATTTACTGCGTAAGTCACGATTACCGGGACGTTCCTTGGGATCGTATTTTGAATCCCCACCTTCAGGGCAATTGCGGTTCTTACCCCCCAGTTAATTCCTGCCGCTAAAGCACTTTAACCTCCGGTATAGCCCGCCTAATCATATTTATACAGATTGCGATCCTCGTTCCCCTCATCCTTCTCCGCTCACCCTCGTCTGCGCCTTCATACCTTTCGTCCCTCGTCTCCCACAGTCTTTCCTGCAAACTTTCGTCTTAAATCCGCAATGGCCGATCTTATCGAATCCGCAAAGCGCGCAGCCGGTCAGGCTGCTGTGAAGAACCACTATCCTAAGGATGCCAAGTATGTGGGCATTGGCAGTGGTTCCACCATCGTCTACGTTGTTGAGGCCATCAAGGAGTCTGGTGTCGATACCTCTCAAACCAAATATGTGCCTACAGGCTATCTTTCCAAACAGCTCATCGTCTCCAATGGCTTGACAGCCGTTGAATTTGACTCTCTTCCCGAAGGAACCGTGCTGGACATTGCCTTTGATGGAGCGGATGAGGTCGATGACGACCTCAACCTGATCAAGGGCGGCGGCGCCTGTTTGTTCCAGGAGAAGATTGTCGCCCTCCAGGCCAAGGAATTTGTCTGCGTTGCTGGTCAGTGGACCTGATATTGAATAAAAATCCTCCTATCAAGACTAACCACAAGCAGACTCCCGCAAACTTCAGTCTCGTCTCCTTTCGAACTGGAAATACATCCCCATCGAGGTGGCCCCCATCGCTGCCAGCCGTGTCCTTAGAGAACTCAAGGAACTTGGTAGCATCTCGCCTGCTCTTCGTTTGAACCCTACTGCTCCGGAAGGCGCACCCAAGCCCACCCCTCTGAAGACCGACCAGGCCTTCAACCTCATTGACGCTCCCTTCAAGACCCTTCTTACCAAGGCAGATATTGCAGCCGGGCAAGATGGCAGCGGAAAGGATGGAGTTTGGGAGGTCGAAGCCCTTTCTCGGGCCATCAAGCAGATTCCCGGTGTCTTGGATGTTGGTATCTTCTCCGGTGAAACTGGCCCTCAGGCGCAGGCTCGTGGGGGTACTGGAGGTCAGAAGCCTATCGCCGCGTACTTCGGCATGCCTGACGGCTCCGTGTCCGTTAGGAAGGCTTCTGCTTAACCACTTATTTCCCGAGACGATCTAGACATGTATACATAACAGTGGAACTAAAAATGATACCATTTGATGCTAGCGTAATCAGATTCCTTACACTGTCTACCTAGACAAGGGTTCAAATTCCATTTCCAGTCGTGATAATTAGATGTTCATAGTAAAGCTACGTAGTTCTATTTCGCACCCTTGCCCTTGGCCTCTGTCTCACCAAGTTCGCGCACATAAATCTTGACCGCCCCCTCAACAACGTCATCTTTCCCATCTTCAAATCCTGGGCTGACAGCAATGGCCAGGTACTTCCCATTACCACTGAAATCCACGGCAGCAACACTAGACTGGTACTTCTGATACTGCCTGATTCTCCTCTTCGCAATACCATCCCAGAGAGCAACCACACCATCACCACCTCCGGACGCAAATGTTCCATGTACGGGGTGGAACGCAAGAGTGTTCACGGGGTATACCACATCGACATCATCAGCCGTTTGGCGATGGCACTTGAAAGCGTATTTCCGTGCTTGCGATTCAGCAGAGGGATCAAACCATTCAACAGCGACTCGACCCTCAATGCTCGAAGAAGCGTAACCCGCATCATCAGGCATACATGCCACGCATCGTGTCATAAACTTAAGACTGCTTTCTCTCCGCTGCCACGGCTCGACCTCGACCTTGTTCGGAACAGTACCATCCAACTGAGCCGTGAGGACAGATAGCGCCTTCAGATCATAGATATGCAACGCGCGCGAGGCCATCGCGACGACCAGCTTCGTAGCGGTGAGAGACATGGAGAAGGGCTTGGAAGGGAGAGGAATAATCGAAGGTATGGAGTCCGGGGCATCGATGCGATGTACGTGTAATGTGGAGTCCCAAGATGCCGATATCACCAGTTGGTGTTCTTTGCTGTAAACGACGCTTCGAACGCCAGCTTCATGGCTGCTAAGCACGGTCTGCGTTGATGTTGCTACGTCAATCCTGCAGATTGTTAGCACTGCATTACATTTTCCAATCTCTCGGTATCTTCACTGAGGAAGGAAAATATGGCTGGACTCACTTCCTAACGTCCCAATCCAAACCGGCCGTGTAGATCTCGTCCTCGGTTGCGCCGAAACACACATCAAGTACCGGAGCACGGTGCTCGAATTTCTGTAATAGTTTACCTTCTCCTACATTCCCATTTTCATCGCGCAGCTCGTAAAGGTACACATTTTTGTCCCAGGATGATACAACAACTCGTGTGGAATTAGGGTCGGGAGAGAACTTCAAGGCGGAGATGGCATCAGTCGGTGGAGACGCGACAATGAACTGGTCTACAAGTGCATTAGCCAGGTATGTAAGTTATGCCATAAGAAGATTATACTTACTCGACGCCATGATTGCGCAAGGTCACCGGGAAAAGCCAATTGAAGCAGCAACGGCAGATAGTTGTTGATCGGCCGGCGTCATCGCAGCTTTGGTCCTTCAGATCATTTTCTGCCGCATAACACCGCCCTATAATATTCTCCCCGCCATTATCAATGAATGCAATCGATAAAGTCTCTCAACGTATCTATAGCACGTACTTTTCCGACTATCTTGCATTTCCATCACGGGCGGATCATCATGCCGTTTGCGCAGCTAGTGATAGGGCCTCCCGGCGCGGGAAAGTCGACATATTGCAATGGCATGCATCAGTTCCTTGGGGCAATTGGGCGCAAATGTTCGATCGTGAATCTGGACCCCGCAAATGATAAAACGTCATACCCATGTGCGCTGGATGTTCGCGACCTGGTTACGCTCGAGGAAGTAATGAGTGAAGACAACCTGGGTCCTAATGGCGGTATATTGTATGCACTAGAAGAACTGGAGGAGAATTTTGACTGGTTGGAGGAGGGCATGAAGGAACTTGGAGGTAAGCGTTGGAATTGGTGTGGCACACTTGGTATGACATGCTGAATTGTGAGTCGTTGTTAGATGACTATGTTCTATTTGACTGTCCAGGTCAGGTCGAGATATTTACGCATCACTCTTCCTTACGAAATATTTTCTTCAAGCTCCAAAAGATGGGATATAGAGTATGTCTCTTCCATTCCGTTCTTGCTACACAATAACATACATGGGGCTAATCGCTACTTTAGTTAATTGTAATACACCTAATTGATTCCTACAACCTCACTCTACCTTCTATGTACATATCCGCCCTCATCCTCTCCCTCCGCGCCATGCTCCAGATGGACCTTCCCCACCTCAACGTCCTCACCAAGATCGACAATCTCTCGAACTACGCTCCGCTCCCTTTTAATCTAGACTATTACACGGAAGTCCAAGACCTTTCGTATCTGCTACCGCACCTGGAAGCGGAATCATCTCGACTTTCGCATGATAAGTTCGGGGCCCTCAATCAAGCCATTATAGACCTCGTTGAAGATTTCGGACTCGTTGCATTCGAAACGTTAGCTGTCGAAGACAAGAAGAGCATGATGAGTCTGTTGCATGTTATTGACCGTGCAAGCGGGTATGTGTTCGGACCTGCTGAAGGTGCAAACGACACCGTCTGGCAAGTTGCCGTCCGGGACGGCCTAGGAACGATGGATGTTCGAGATGTACAGGAACGCTGGTTAGATGCCAAAGATGAGCATGATGAACAGGAAAGGCAACAGTTGGAAGCAGAGGCCAAAGCACGAGACGAAGAGGCTGGTGCTACCAAACCCAGTGCTGGCTACGAGGACGACGATGAGTACGACGATCTTGGCAGGGGATTCATACCAGACAGCGGAGTGAAGGTTGTACGAAAGTCATGACATGAATTTTACCATCCTCTACTATACATGTATCATAGGGTATCTCTGATGAATGAAAAAGAAAACCTCGCCAACAACGGCGGACGCACCCAAAACAAAAGCAAACACCTTCATCCTATAGAAGACCATCAATCCTCTCCGTCACTCCCCATATCAACATCCTCCTCGTCATTCTCCATCACACCCTCAACAACACCAGAGCCCTCCTCATATTCCAACCCACCAACCAAGCCCCCAAGCACCCCAACCTCCTCCGCGCCTCTCAGCCGCACAATCTCCCTCCTTGCCCGCCGAATCGCCTCTTCCTCCGCCTTCCGCATCGTCCCAGAAATCCTAATGACCCGAAAAACACAAGGCCTCGTCAACGGAACATCCGACCGCCTCGACCGATTCGAGTCCCCATACTCCGGCACCCGAGACATATAAGTCAGCGCCGTCCAAACAAGCCGGAACGACGCGCGCGGACAGCGAATAATGGCCGTCGAAGTTGCAGGCGACAAGTATTTAACTGTCCCAATCGAACTCAGGATTAATCACCATCTCAACCCACCCCTCTACCAACATAGGGCGAACAAAATAGAAGGAGGGACTATACGTACCACTAACACCGCCAGCGGTAACACCACCCAGTCTCCCCACACCCCAATCACCAAATATCTCTGCGACTGCCTCCCTCACCATCTTCGCAAGCAAGCTCGGCGTCAGGGCGTCGGATGTGGGCGAGTGGATGCGCAATTGGGATTGTGCGTTTCGTGTTGCATTTTTCGGCGCCGTTGTCGAGGGCGGCCATGAGGTGGGATCTGGGTAGAGGATGTCGAGGAGCAGGTAGCGGTGTTTGACGCGGACCATTTTGGATTCTTTTTTGCGTTTTTTTCCGGGTTGTCTTTTCTACAGTTGGATGGACTTAGCTAGCGCGCTGAGGGTTTTTCGTTTGTGTGAGTTCTTATTTTTCGAGCGACGAATTGGTGTGTGGATTGAGTGATATTGAGCGATTTCGAGCGGTCGAGCGCCCCTTGTGACAAGTAGGTTTTGAGGATTCTCGGAGTTGGCGACGACGGTTTGAGTTGAACCGTAGATGTCCGGATATGTTTTATCGATTCAAGAATTGCAGAAGCTCTAAGGTAGTCCTGCCTATTGCGGTTAGTTCCATTACTTCCCAAAGTTTGATAAAGGGCAATGTGGGGTGCTAGAAGAACCGCTATCTCGGGCATTATGTTTCTCAATTGGACTGAAAGGCAATCGGTAAGTCACCTCATCTGGAATGGATTCTCTTCTTTTGATCTTGCAGTTCGTTGTCTTCGGTTATTTTCCCTCAAATTACCAGGCCGGCAACTTACATGCGCAAAGCGGGCAAAGCGCCGATACCTTTCAGCTAGACGGAGGGAACGAGTTATGTAGGATAGGGACAAACATTCCTCGAAGTTTTAAACGATATGGAAAATATGATTGAAATTATAACCCATTGGATTGTAAATCAGGCTGTCGTAATTCTAACTCTTCTAAACAGGTTCTGCCTTTTCTGCCCTTGCATAGAATTCATCAACCCTATCAGCTAGTCATGCCACATGTGCGCACTGCAGATTGTGAGGTGAAATAAAATGATATAAGAATCGAAACAATGCAACGCAAACCATCATAACTCCAACGTCAAGAACATGACGGGATTTTATGAGATTACCAGTATCCCACACTGGCCACTTCCACGAGTGTAAAGATATAGAGAAAATGAAAAGGTAAGAAATTAATAAGGATATATAAAAGATTAGAGGTTGACCTCGACACGGCCTTCGGATCCACCCTTCTGCAGGGCAGGGAGCAGGTAGGTGATATCGTCCCAAGGATGTCTGTAGAGGCCGGTACGCAGGCGCTTCTGGTCGAGGTAGTGGGCAATCAGACCGATACTGCGACCCAAGACGAAGAGACCGTTAAGGACACCCATCTTCATGTAGTCCTCGACCTCCTCGGGGGAGAAGGCACCGGAGTTGCGCATAAGGTCGACAAAGCAGACAGCAACGCAACCATCGACGTTCAGGATCAGGTTGTCCTTCTTGGAGGTGGTGACGGTCTCAACAGCGATGGCGTAGTCGAGCAGCTTGGTGCTGGGGAAGTGCTTCTTGGCGAACTCCTTGACCAGCTCGACACGAAGATCGGGGTTGTTACGGGACTTGACACGGTGACCGATACCAGGAACTGTGTGCGGTTAGTGATGTGTTTTCAATTGGGAACGTAGTGAATGCGGTAGCAGGGGGACATACTGAGCTTGTTCTCCTTCCTCATGGTGTCAACGAAGTCACGGGGGCTCAGACCCTTGTCGAAGGCCTTGGTGAACTCCTCAGCAGCACCGTCAAGGGCACCACCGAAACGAGAACCAATGGTCAGGAGACCAGAAACGAGAGCACTGATCAGATCCTTGCCGGCACGGGTGGTAATGATGGTGTTCATGGCACCGGACACGGCAGGACCGTGGTCAGCGGTAAGCATGAGAACCATCTCCAAGAACTTGCTAGCATAGGCGGGAAGGCGGCGGCGGAACCAAAGAAGAGACATGACACCACCAATACCAATGTCCTCCCTGAAGACATCGGAGATGGGCATACCAGCGTAGAGGAGCTCCTGGCCACGGTCGTCGGAGATAGTGGAGATGAATGCGGCGGGCTTACGGACGAGACCGAGCTCCTGGGCCCAGGAGTAGTCGATAGGGATCTTAGGGGGAACAGGCTCGGGCTGAGGCTGGATGTTGCCCTTGCTGACCTCCTGGTCGTAGACCTCCTTGAGCACCTTGGGCATGTCCTCAAAGGTCTCGGGGACGTGGATACCAGCCTCCCTCATGGCCTTGTTCTTAGCAACAGCGGTCTCCAGGTCGGAGTTGGCCGAAGCACCAGCGTGACCGAACTGGACCTCGGTCTTGAACATGCTGGCACAGGTACCAATGGCCCAGGCAACAATGGGCTTGGTGATAGTGCCGTTCTTGACGGCCTCGATGACACGGTACTCCTCAACACCACCGACTTCACCGAGCAACACAAGGATCTTGCACTCCGGCTCGTTCTGGTAACGCAACAAGTGGTCGATGAAAGTGGTACCAGGGTAACGATCACCACCAATGGCAACACCCTCGTAGACACCATCGGTATTTTGAGAAACAATGTTGTTCAATTCGTTGGACATACCACCGGACTTGGAGACGTAGCCAACAGAGCCCTTACGGTAGAGCTTGGAAGCCACAATGTTGTCCATCATACCACCAGTGTTACCAATCTTGAAAGCACCAGGCTTGATACCTCCGACGGTAGCGGGTCCAATGATAGTGATGCCCTTCTCCTTGGCAGTGACGAGGATCTCACGAGCGCGCTATTACCACTGTTAGTTGGGGTCTAGTTTGGCAGAGGTAAAGAACCTACTCTTTCTGGGACACCCTCAGCAATGATGGCAATGGACTTAATCTGGGGGCAGTTCATCAACTCCATGGTAGAGCTGTACACGGAACGGGAGGAGGCGAAGTTCACAACAGTGTCAACATCGGGGTGCTTGGCCATGGCCTTGGAAACGTCCTGGTAGACAGGGAGCAAAGTCTCGCTAGTACCCCAGTACATCTTGCTCACGAATTGACCACCGAAAGTGTAGATGATACCGGCGACTGAGGGTGTGCTACGCTTGCAGATGAAATCGAAGTCGAGCATGCCCTGCACGGCCTTGGGCTGCATACCACTACCATAACAGTCAATACCTAGCATTGACCCGCAGAGGACGAAAGTACTCACTATACGAAACATCTGGTCTTGTTGTGGAAGAGGGCATGGTTGAGAGGAGAAAGCACACGGCTGGGGGGTGCGAAGCGGGTGATGTTGTCGTTGGCAGAGCCGCCATTTGCGGTGTTGACAAGAGGAGCGGTAGAAGACATGATGGCTAATTACTCTGTTAATCCGGTTAACATTAGCAAGGTGTTCAAAATTCCAGGTCTGGCGGGAAGACTAGGTCAAGGGGATGGGAAATGGATGATATCAGTATCCGAGCTGATTTCGAAGCATACCTGTCAACAGAGCTCCAAACGTAAAACAATCAAAGGAAACAAGGAAGTATTATTAGGTGTATGTAGGTGAGTTAAATGTTATAGAGGAGAGTAAGTCGCAACAAGTAAAAGCGACCTGGGAGGGAAGGAGAAGATAGATGGGAGGGAAGGATAAGGACGATAACCAAGGAAGGAGGATGGAGAAATTGGAATTGGAGGGGGAATGAAGTGGATTAATCGATGAGTTAAGACGGAGTGGGAGAAGAAAAAAAAATAACAACAGAGGGGAACGATATCGGGTTAAGATTGGGGGTTGGTACGGAGTAAAGAATTATGGAGCTGCTAATAATAATTTTTGAGGTGAAGTACAGAAGCCCGGAGTCTGAAGTATGTACGGCGTATGGTTGGTATGTATCAGGCAGGTAATCGTATGGGTGGGCGGTATGGGGCAGTACTATACGGTCTTGAGAAAACGGCGGGGGGCGCAATGCGGGACCAGTTGGGAAAATAGTAGTCTGGCCTGAGGCTAAGTTCGGACTTCGGGACTGTCCTAATAATCACCTTCAGATGAGGAATCTTTATTGGAAAATCTAGTCTAGCTGATCGGGATTCGGGGAAGCCACAGATACCATCTTGAGGAGAAGCTACGGTGTTGGAATAAAAAGAGCTAGGGCTGACGTGACGGCGTACAGAGTATTGCTTACAGAGTGTGGAGGATGCGACCAGCCAGCCTACAGGGCATTAATTGGGGGAGGTTGATCATATTGCTCAACAAACTCAAGTCTTGTTTTTTTCTGCCTGGCGGTGATCTGAAGTACACCGTATAAACTGGACTGACTCCAGTGGTGACCCGAAGTACACGGTATTCATAATACTGACCCCGATAGTGATCTGAAGTACACCGTATATACAATACTGACTACGGTCAAAAAGGGTAATGGGCAGGATAATCGGGCCATCTTCAAACGAGTCTCGACTCCAGAAAGTTAAAGGTCAAGGCACTAATTCTGTACGGTGATCTGGTCGGCACTAAAGGTGGGGTCGATGAACGTCTGATATTTTTTTTTCTTGTTGGCACAGGGATGGTAGTGTACCTTCCCTAGTATACAAAGTACACGGTAAACCCGAGTACACCTCATGCATCGGCTGCATCTTACTACGTAAAGATGCCGGTTGAGAAAAACATCTGATTCGACTCGGCTCTCTGCTAATAACGATCGCACATGACGATGCTCACCGACTAAACATCATGCAACTCCGACAAAGATGCATTAGAACCGACTATTTCCTTTTACATCCAGGGTGCTAATAAAAGGTAGTATCTATGACTTCATGACAAAATATCTGTAACTACGTCAGGTAAGAGAAGGTGGTAGTACCTTACTCCGTGCAGTGTAGTATCTTGATAGTACCTAGACCACCTCAAGTATGGAGCTATATCCATGGTAATAGTCTAACCTTCTAGAAGATTGTCGAAAGGCGGTGAGGGGGCCTATTGGGTACCTGAGCAGTTAAGGCAATAAAATCATTCACTGACGGATTCTACCTTCCAGTAGGCCTAGTAGCGCCGAGTACTGTAATGTGTAGTAGGTAGATCTTCTCAATGAACACAGTTCCCTGTCCCTGAATATTATTCCGATTTAGACAGTGGTCCACGTGTACGCTGCATATCCTACGTATCAAACTCTCTAGTACTCCCGAGGGGTCACCAACAAAACCTACGCAAAACCCAACAAAACCGATAATGAGAAACCAAAATTACAGATAAAATCTACGATGAAATGCGACTTCCGGAGGGAACCGTCCGAACAGCGCCAGAAGTTGCCATTCATCAAGCCGTACAGTATTGAGGCTACAGCGTAGGGCAGATACTGCGTACTAAATACCCCTTCCCGAAGAACCCCAACGGAGTGGAAAGCGAAGCTCCCAACCGGTAGGAATTAAGGCCGCTTGACACGGTGGGTCCTGGTGTGATCCACATCCTCTGCTGATCCCCACCGTATCTCAACACCTCTCCCGAGCTCGGCCTTTTTTGGTGTGTTTTGGTATTCCCGTATTGTGCTGGTATGGTTGCTCCGGAGGGGCCAGAGTACAGTTTTACCAGCAAAAAAATTCCCCTCCCCCTCCAACTTGTCATCCAAAAGAGTAATAATAATTTCCAGCTGCTGAAATTATTATCATCGCCGAACCCGACGTACTCTTTTTTTCCTCCTTCTTTTTACTGCGCCCCCCGTTTGAAACTGTCCTATACCTCCAATACTCCTCTCTGGTAATTTTTGCCAAGCCAGAAACAACTTATTTTGTTTTCTTTCCTCACTTTTCCCTCTCTCACTCCAATCTATCCTCACATACTTCCCACACCTCTATACTCTTAATCTGGGGTTGACTTCCCTTTCTCTTAACACTTTTATTCCCCCCTATACTATCACTCTATAGCTCCTCACTCCCCTCTTGATCCTCTCCTCCATATCTCTTTCTAGTCCTCTACCCCTCCAATATGTCCGCCAAGTCGATTCTCGAGGCTGATGGCAAGGCCATCCTCAACTACCACCTCACTCGTGCCCCCGTCATCAAGCCGACTCCTCTTCCTCCTTCCTCCACCCACAACCCTCCCGCTCGTCTCGCCTCTCTCTACTTCCCTGAAGACCGTGCCGTCAAGGATGTCCTCGACCAGGCCGAAGTGACCTACCCGTGGTTGTTGGCCGCCGGTGCTAAGTTCGTTGCTAAGCCCGACCAATTGATCAAGAGACGTGGCAAGAGCGGTCTTCTTGCTCTGAACAAGACCTGGGCTGAGGCTAGAGAATGGATTGAGGCTCGCGCCACTAAGGACGTCCAGGTTGAGACCGTCACTGGCGTGCTCCGTCAGTTCCTGGTCGAGCCTTTCGTTCCTCACCCTCAGGAAACTGAGTACTACATCAACATCCACTCCGTGCGTGAGGTAAGAAGCATTGTAGATCCATAGGCAATGGCAGAGGATATCGACTAACATTTGGCAGGGTGACTGGATCCTCTTTACCCACGAAGGTGGTGTCGATGTTGGTGATGTTGACGCCAAGGCCGAGAAGCTTCTCATTCCTGTCCAACTGAAGAACTACCCCTCGAATGAGGAGATTGCTGCCACTCTCTTGAAGAAGGTGCCCAGCGGCGTTCACAATGTCCTCGTGGATTTCATTTCTCGTCTGTACGCCGTTTATGTCGATTGCCAGTTCACCTACCTCGAGATCAACCCTCTCGTGGTCATCCCCAACGCTGATGCCACCTCCGCTGAGGTCCACTTCCTGGACTTGGCTGCCAAGCTGGACCAGACTGCTGAGTTCGAGTGCGGTACCAAGTGGGCTATTGCCCGTAGCCCCGCCAACCTGGGTATTGCTGTTGCTCCTCAGGAGGGCAAGGTCAACATTGACGCTGGCCCGCCCATGGAGTTCCCAGCTCCTTTCGGCCGTGAGATGAGCAAGGAGGAGAAGTTCATCGCCGAGTTGGATGCCAAGACCGGTGCCTCTCTCAAGCTCACTGTCCTCAACCCCAAGGGCCGTGTCTGGACCCTGGTTGCTGGTGGTGGTGCCTCCGTCGTGTACGCGGATGCTATTGCCTCCGCTGGCTTCGTCAGTGAGCTCGCCAACTACGGTGAGTACTCCGGTGCTCCCACCGAGACTCAGACCTACAACTACGCTCACACCGTCCTCGACCTGATGCTGCGTGCTCCTATCCACCCCGACGGCAAGGTTCTCTTCATTGGTGGTGGTATTGCCAACTTCACCAACGTTGCTTCGACCTTCAAGGGTGTCATCCGTGCCCTGCGTGAGGTCGCCCCTGTCCTCAACGAGCACAAGGTCCAGATCTGGGTTCGTCGTGCTGGTCCTAACTACCAGGAGGGTCTCCGTAACATCAAGTCCGTTGGTGAGGAACTTGGTCTCGACATGCACGTCTACGGCCCTGAGATGCACGTCAGTGGTATCGTTCCTCTTGCTCTCCTAGGCAAGAAGTCTGATGTCAAGGAGTTCTCTGCTTAAAGAATTTCCCTTTTCCTTTTTCTTTGATTCTACTTAATTTAATCTTACGTGTGCATTTCGTTTCTGAACGCATGGCATGATATGGTTTCATTTTATTTATATTTTCACCTGTGGGCAAAGAGCGAGCAGTTGGACAAAACCTCGACCTGATTTTCGGGCCAAGGAGACGGGATATCCATTGTATGGAGTTGAAATTTAGACTTGGTCTTGCAGGGCATGAGATACATGATTCTGCGATGTTAGTCGTTAATAAGACACGATTACCAACGTTACGCTATTCGTTTCTACGTAAACTTAACAAATAATGCATAACTAGTAGTCCAAGTCCAAAACTCACATTAGAAGCCAAGGAAACAAGGGTCTACCAGAAAAGAAAAGACAAGGAATAATGCTGGGGGGGAAGTAAAGGAGCAAGAAAAGAAAAAGAAAAAGAAAAAGAAAAAGGAGTTATCCCAGAAAGCGCCAACCGCACATCATAATCCGGCCTAGTTATATATGAGAAGTAAAAAATCAATACCCAGAAATACCACATACATACAGTAACTCCAAAACAGGAGTCAAAATAAACTACATTCAAAAATACCACTAAGAGATAACCTCAATGCCAAACCCCAGATGATCCAGCGATCTCGATCCATGCAGAAACTAGAATAAACTCGTGGAATAAGGTCTGTGTGGTGGAATCGGGCTGTCCTGTTGTGAGTAACTTCCGCACGTCCGAGATGGGGACGTCCCGGATGGACGGAGGACCACTATCTTGGGAATGGTAATAGGGTATGGGCTTGAGACGGAGCCGACGGGACGGGCCTTTGCAGGTGGATGGAGCTTGCGTGTGGATTTGAGGGGCCATTGAGTTTGTGATCTTATCTCTGTCGATTTTTTCTTTTTTTTGGTGGTCTTTTCCTCATGGCTTTGGTTTGTGGTGGTGGTTGTTTTGATATTAGGGCTTTGGAGGTGGGACGTGCTGGTAAGCTGGCTGTGTGTATTGGGTAGGAGAGGGTACGCTTTGGGGTTTTGTACTAGGGTTACTGGGTTGAGCGATTTATATCTTCTACTACCTGTCTATGTTCAAGTTGGTTTATTCCAGTGACAGGGTAGCTCCCTAGAGATTGAATTGAGTGATATTGAAGTAGGTGGGTGCATAGACTCCATCGGACGAATGGAGGAGCTTCAATTTATAACGCCGGTTAGCACACTTCGGAACATCGCGCTTCTTATAGGTAAGATATTTATTTCCTGGTTTCTATATGAATAAATTTCTGAATACTTTGATTTAGCGTACTGGAATTTTCTGAAGACGGTCGACTCTCTGGTCAAATTTCAATGCTGAATACCGTGATAATATATTCAGGGTCTATATATACCGTTGGCCACGAACTATAGTTCGTACAGAAGAATTAAGATAACAGATTGCATCAATTGCAAAGAGATAAAAAGGAGGACTTGCATGGCTTGCATGTGCGTCATTATCTGGTCTGCGAATCTATATCATCGTGCTATCGAAGAAGGTTGTTGTTCCTGGGGGGCCGTTGACCGTTTGACCACGGGTTTGCAATTGTGTGTTTTCCCGATTCGTCGAAGAATGATCAGCAGCAAGAGACCCAGTTGCAATAGGCTCAGCCCGGAATCGCTCAAGCACGACGCTGTTTGGTGGTAAGTGTGGCATTCTTGTGGAAGGAAGTGACTGGCCTGTGAGGCGTGTTCGGTGCTGAGGAGTCACGGGCACCTCCTCTATGCGAATATTAGACAATCCATCAAAGCCACAATAACATACTCACGATGTCTTTGATTTCCTGGGAGACTTGGAGGTGGCATCGCTGAGGTATCCGTTCTTTTCCTTACCCCCTTTGAGCTCCCAGTGCCGCTACGTTGATATCGATGTAATTGCTCCACTCCCTCTTGGTTGACAGGGAAGATGTACTGTTGACGATGAGATGGTGTCTGCAGTGGTATCTGTGGACCCAGTGGTTTGTTCGATGCCGAAGCTGAAGCGTCATTCCGTGACGCTCCTAAAGAATTCAGCGCCTGGGAAACCGAGTCCGAAGCAGCGGTCTGCATATGGGACCTCATTGCCCGAGATTTCAACAAATTATAGAGATTCGTAATTTGGGAGAACTTCTTGCACTTTTCTCGGTATAAGTCAACAAGCTCCTGGTTCTTCTTCTGAAGTTGCTCATGGGTCGCCTGCATATCTGGTCCTTATTCAGATACAGTTCTGGTATACAAGTAGGACACCACGAACCTGATAGCCTTGCCTGTAGAGTCGAAATTTCCGTGTTGGCATTATGAATAACTTTATCCATCTGTGTATTTAAACCCGTATACTTGTCTGTGAGTGTCTTTGCCAGAAATTCCTGGTAGTAGCTGTTGCCCGTCAATACGCAATAGCTTCGAGCAACGATCAGGACTACGCACATTTCTTGGGCTGTTTGATAGGTCCAAAAGAGCAAGGCACGTCCAGCACATTCCATTATGGTGTTTGGATCCAACCCACTCAAAACGCTGGTTTTGTAATCCTCCGTTGGGCTCAAGGCGGTTATCACGACATCATCGGGGTTGATGAGGATTGCCTGACATGCTGGGCAATGACGTTCGCCAGTAGTGGAACTCGAAAGACCAAGGGCACCTGCACAAGTAGGACAGAAGATGTGTCTAATGAGTCCATGCTTAGCATCTACAGAGACAATAGGACAATTGATGTACAATCCATGACGGAGGGGTCCGACTTACGAACAAGTCGTAACAACCGCTTGTTCCTTCAACTGACATCGGCATTTAAGTGCATTGCATCGGAGATAGAAGTCCATCTTGAAACTGTGTAAATATGAGGCAGTCTTGAACGTTTGAAATCAAGGCGATGATATGCGAGTGTGGTGTCGAATGGTATGGAATGGTTAACCGGCAGTGGCCTTCCGCACACATGGCAAGGATCATAAAAAAGACATACGCAGGGAAACCTGGCGACTATACAAAACCAATTCTATACTCTCCCTCATGGTATCTAGTATTATTTGCTGGGTATCTTAACATACAGAATTCAAAGAACAACGCACCCTCTATAGCAATCTATTCATCTTTCCATCATGTGTTTAATCGTCCAATCAAAAGAAGAAGGTGTTTCCTGAAGCATCGCGTCGTGTTGTGCGCATCTTCTCTTCAAATTCAGGCCCTGGCTCGTATTCTCGCCATAGACTAGCAGGGTAAATATGCTTATTCCGCTCATACCACCGTCTATCAACGACCTTCGTAGATACAGGATCCTTATCAGCGCCCTCAAGTTGATCGGTATTCGATCTCGATAGAGGATCATCATTGGCAGGAGCTGTTTCAGGGGGCTTGTTGGAATAGTCGAACAGCAATCCTCCAGCACTTGAGAAGCTGGGTACTCGATTGGCAATAAAGTAGTATAGTTCGTAATGCTTGATGCCGATTAGCGCCTTGGTCGCGATATTATGGGGTTGAAAACAATCACTCACATGTGGAACGATTACATCCCCCTTGACTAGCATCAAATCATCGACACTGACCCTTGCCCATTCGCGCCGATTATCTTTCCGTCCCTTTGAAGCACCACTGTTACCGCCAACTCCCAGTTCAGCGCCCACCTTTCGGCATCGGTCCAAAAACAACCAAACTGGGTCGCCTTTTTTAACCTTGACCGTACCCGCAGGAATATTCGTTCCATCATAGAAAATGAATGGTATTAAGATTTCTGTGTTCTTGACGGCATCCTGCATCGCCAGGAATTCCTTGCGCAAGGCATCCCGCGCTTCAGCTTCTGCCTTCAGCGCAGCTTTTGTCATTGCTTTGGGTGGGGGTGGAGCGTTTGGATTCGGAGTAATCCGACGTGACGGCGGTAAAGAGCTGTCTACTGGCGTTCGTGAAGCGGAACGAGGTATACTGGCCGCGGAATCTTCTCCGGTATTATCATCCTCTTCCTCATCGTCTCCAAAAGAGAGTTTGCTCTTCGCAAGCGGCTTCTTCTTCTTCTTCTTTTTCGGCGGCCCATAGCTTCGAGTCGAGGCGCTAGTGCGTGGCGATTAGTCTGAAAACTGTCGATTTCAAAAGTGCGCTTCGACTTACCTGTCGGTCACATCGCCACCTGATGGAGTTGCGCTTCTCGAGTTACCAGAGGTGAACCTCCCTAGTGACTTATCATGCGCTTCTCGTTCTTTCTGCTCGAGAACCTCTGCGCGACGCTTGCGAAAATCAGAAAGATGGACTAAACCGACAGTCTGTGACTTAAGAAGTTCTTCTGCAGAGACTGTCTGGCTTGTGAAAGACCTAGGTGTCGAGCTATGGCTCGGCTGCTCTGATTGAGACATTATGCTGGATTGAATGCGCAACGCAGGATACCTGACGTAGGTCGAAATCGAAGATCTCACATGTAGTAATCAATTTACTATCGCACGTGACCGCGGAAATCGAGATCCAGTAATCAAATGGAGAGAGATAGTCACGTATTCAATTACATGATAAGTTTGGATTAAATTGACGCCGTTGCCGTATAATTAGGTTGATTACAATCTCTATTTGGTTTCCCTGGTGAAAAATTGCGCATATCACTCATTGCTTGCCCCTCTGCCGTGCCACTTTCTTAATATATATTGTGATGATGCATATCCAACACCTAGAACACTATAGTATAAGTTGTGCTTTGTATGCGTGAGGTGGCGATATCGCCCCATTTATCACGTATAAAAAGGCCAAAAGCGGATACAAAAGCCATATATAGACCAGGCAAAAAATTCCATCAAGGTCGATGTCAATCTGGACGTTCATACGAAAGGCGTGATGTGATATTCGGAGCGGAGCAAACAAGACAAACTCGGCCTTAAGATACGATATCCGCCGTAAACAGTCTGCACGTTGCTCACAGTAGCTATTCCACCCATTACTCAATTATTAAAATGCAGAATCAGGTAATTATGGACGATGATGACGATGATCTCTATGACCCTGCCGATGCAGTGCAGGTAGCTACATCCCAGAATACAGCGCATCACGCCCAAGCGAATGTCAATCAAGAGCCAGATGACGTCGAGGAGGAAGAGATAGAGGTTGAAGAAGATGATGTACGCTCGTGTTAATTATTCCCTTTACGGCTCTTGCTAAAAAAGAAACCTGCTAGGACGATTTTAATATTATCACGGAAGCCCCTCCTGATGCGCCTCCCCCAGAAGTGTGAGTTCGTTCAACAACGCGACAGGGTCGTTTTTCGTCTAACATTGTGTCAAGTCCACATCCACGCCACGCCAGCCTACGAGCTGAGTCGCAGCGACCTCCATCTGTAGATTCTTCCGTAACGAAGTCAGTTACGCCCTCCGTGACACCGAAAGTGGAACATGCAACTCCGGTCCCAGTCGGCGCTCGACCCGCCGTACCGCAGAAACCAGGTTCTGCATATCCTCCTATCCACGCTTCAGATATCGACGTTCATGCAAACCCAACTCACCCAGCTACCGGTAAACCAATTCTGTCGACGGATATGGATGCGGACTTCCCAGAAGATGATAAGCCCTGGAGGCGGCCGGGTTCTGACATCTCGGACTACTTCAACTACGGATTCGATGAATTTACATGGGCAAGCTATGTTTTGAAACAGCAAGAGTTAAGAAAGGAAGTTGGCGACCAGAAGAGACAACTGGATGACATGCAGAGTTTCTTGACCATGGGGCTTCCGCCGATGCCCGGCGGTCCTCAACCTGGACCTGGAGGTCCCGGTGGCGCACCGCCGCCGATGCCTGGCATGCCAGGAATGCCAGACATGTCTCCAGATATGATGCAGGGAATGCTAGCTAGTATGATGGCGCAGGGCTTGGACCCATCATCTATGGATCCAATGTCTTTCATGCAGCACGCCCAGGCAATGATGGGAGGCCAATCCGGCGCAGGCGGCGGACAACAAGGCCAGCCTGGCTATGGTAACCAAGGTGGTGGCCAACCTCAGATGGGCTATGGAGGGGGCTTTGGTGGTGGACGGGGACGGGGCCGGAGATGGTAAAAAGCTACTGAGTTCATGTTTTGGTCACGCTGTAATTTCTATAATGCGCTGTGTAGCATCCTGGGACGGTTCGGTCTGGTGGAGTTCAATGTGTAACAATCAAAGATACGCCAATAGTTAAACCACGACTTTTTTCGAGCTTATGCCTTCGCGTTTATCTAGATCATCATGTTCGGGAGAAAGGAGCTCACGTCTTTGACGACATCCAGGGGAAAGCAATAGATTAGTTAGAAGTCGAGACGGAAAGATTCTCTTAACCAAATCTCTGCGATTTCTATAATCGAAAGCGACCGCATTTAACTGCAATTGAGTCATATTTGTCGGACGGGAATTGAAAGGTGGTAAATAGAAAGTTGAAGCTATACCCTCGGCAGCGGCAATCCGATGGGGAAGTGAAGCTGTCGGTCTTGGCATTCTGGAAATTTCTCGTGTCGACTTGAGTCGAGATCTTCTTTCTTCCCTTCCCCGGTCTTCTTCTTCCTCTTCTTCCTTTCTTGCTCTCCACACTTCAACCTCCCCGTCCTTCTTGACACATTCTGCATCCTTCAATCAATTTCTCATCCACTCATATCTCTCCCGTAAAAATGGTACGTGTTTGCAATTGTTACGTGTTATGGGAAGCTCCGGCTGGAACCTTTCCCGGCAACCGTTGACTTCATCGCCTCCTGCCACTTCGCATCGCTAGCCCGCTGGAGCCGCCTTGAAGATCAACAACTAACGTAATAATATCGATTAGTCTCTCCTCCGCAACATCAAGAGCCTTGCTCCCCTCCTCGACCGCGTCCTGGTCCAGCGCATCAAGCCCGAGACCAAGACCGCCTCCGGTATCTTCCTTCCCGAGAGCAGTGTCAAGGAGCAGAACGAGGCCAAGGTCCTCGCCGTCGGCCCCGGTGCCGTCGACAAGAACGGCTCTCGCCTTCCCATGAGCGTTGCTCCCGGTGACCACGTCTTGATCCCTCAGGTACGTTACTGGTTTGGGTCCTTCTACTTCGCTTCCGGAACCATCCGATGGGCAATAGAAGCAACCAATTCGTTTGATGAGTTCACTGGATATTTCGTTGTACTAATGGTGGTCTCAATAGTTCGGTGGAAGCGCCGTCAAGGTTGGTGAGGAAGAGTTCACTCTTTTCCGGGACCATGAGTAAGTTCCCCCATCTTTGTCCTTCAGCCGGAAACAATGGATTCTAATGCGAATGTAGGCTCCTTGCCAAGATTAAGGAGAACTAGATCGGTTCTTCATCTTGTTCTTCCGCTTTCCGACTGGTTGAAATAATCCAATCGGAGTCTTGTATTATATCACGCAAATCATGAGCTTCTGTCATGCACTCTAAAATAATTTAAAAAAGAGCCATCTACGAAGTGAGGACGGTGTAAGAATCTGTTCCTCGATTTCCGGGCTAATGTTCCCTTTTCCTTATCTTGCATCTGCTACCTAAAGCGTGAATTGTGTCTTGGTTCCTTTGCATACTATGTGATGTACTTTAGCAGTCGTTGTCTCCTGCGCTCTCTGCGGGATGAACACGAGTAATCTGATACGAATGTCTCCTCTCTACTTTGTCTTTACTGTTTGGGTCTGAAGTACTCTACGGGTTTATGCGTTGATATTGCAAGTGCCATATCTCGGCTATTAGACCACGCCGGACCTGGATTGAGAATTATAACATCGACAGTCCGAGGTGATAAGGCATATAGGAGGGCTATTCATCGCAAGGGGTTCACAATCGTTCAATAGTCATATCATTGTACACCTCCCTTGAACTGGCGACAGATTGCGTACCTAAATAACGCGAAAATGACAAACATGGACGCAACTCACATAGTAATCATCCCTTCAAACCGCAGCTTTTAATCAAAATCTAACGCCCAGTCACATTGCCAGTCCTTTTCAAGAATTGCTTCATTCCTCTTCCCAATCAAACCTGGAAAGAGTTCTCGTCGCTGCTCCGGTGACATTTCGATAAATCTGGAGAGGGCACTCGTCTCTTTATCGACATCATGTGGTGTACTGTCATTATATTTGCGTTCGGGTATTTCTCGTTCATATTTCAAGACGGTCAAAATAGTTTGCGCAGCATACGGACTCAACCCTACTCGACGGAGAAATATTTCCCAACGAGTTTCATTCTCCATAGTCTCAATGTCAAACATGTTCTTCGGAGTCGCGTTAACGGGTGTAAATGACATCGTTTGTGGTAAACCAGCAGTATCAGCAGGCAAATGAGAAGCATGTTTGCGAGCTAGTGCCAGAATCCATTCTATTAGTGTATCAGACGATGGAGAAATCAAGATCGGAGAGATAGTTGAATTCGCTGACATCGAATCACAGAAGGCTGTTAGTGATGTGAAAGACGCCAACAACCGTCTATCTGCTGTCAATCGTGGAGCGTTGCCTTGTCCACCTTTCGGAAAATTTGCGCCGTGCGCAACAAATACGTAGAGGTATCTGTATCGCGGAGCTAGGAGGAAGATGCGTTCGCGGAGCGGCGAGTTGATGCACGTAGTACCGTTCGTCTGTGGGTTAGGCTTATGGCCAGGAAGGTATAGCTGTGTTGTAGCTTGTAGAGTAGTCAGTATGATTCCAGCTGTTGGTGAGACGATGATGTCTGCTTCTTTGGGGAGAGTATCTTTTGTGTTTGTTTGAGATGGAGTCCAGATGCGAGGAACGGGCTGATCATAGTCCCTATATATCATAGCTGGAGGGCTCTTTAATCTTTCAAGACCTTGAATAATTGGGAGATGGCTCTTGAGGAGCGCAGTTGATACGAAGAGTAGTGGTTGCTCGTGATTGTGGGCTTGCAGTTGAGGGTATTGAGGGTACTGATGTTTTGTAAGCTCTAACCCTGGAGGATATAGCTCCTCTAGCGTATCTTTTCGTTCTTCATATCTGTGGGGGTTTTCAGCATTTATAGCTGGGTTCTGATGTTCTACAACACCCTCAAACCGCATGTTGTTGGTAAAGTATGGACTGACGGCCGTTACTTGTCGCCTTTCGACCCTGCCTCTAGCCTCCATGAAGGTGGACAAGGAGCCCAATATCGACGACTGTGAGGGCAGCGTATACTTGCATTTGTCGTTAGCTAGGGATGCGGTTAATGGTTGGACAAGTTTGCGGTCTTTCCGCGAGACATCCTGCCCCTCCTCGTGTCTTCGTTTTTGTCCCCCAAGCATTGTATCTGTTGAAACTTCGCAGCATATTAAATTAGACACCATATCTGAGGATGCATTGGTTTCAGGAACTGCGGTATCTGGGGAAGTACACATGGCCGTCTTTCCACTTTCGTGTTGAAGAGCTGCTATGTCAGGCTCCGACAATTGGCGTTGTCCTGTGAATCTCATGTCACTAACATCCTCATGAGTAAACCCCAGTTCCTTGTCAGATGCTGTTTCAGCAATGTCTTCCACACTCCCGTGGTCTTCAACCGTATGTAAATAGCCACCAGCACGGTCTTCCGGTTTCGAATGTTGAGAAGAAGGCATAGTTGACATAGGGTATGGTTGACACCGCGTAGAATCTGGATTGGGCGAGTCTATTACTGAAGAGGAACCAAAAGACGATATAAACTCTGCCGACATGCTTGCGATCTGACAATTCTCGACAAGTATAACCCTGGGTGATTGACTTGATCGCTCCTGAGTCGAGGTGCACGCAGTTGGCATGCACTCATTCTCTTGCGTATGAAATATGGCTGATGAATCTGCATCAATCAAGTTGATAGCATCGCCAATTTGTTGAGAAACACCTAAACCACGTTGTTTTTCACTTCTGTTATACTTGTCTGGAAAAGACTGAGCGGCACTGTCGGCTCCAACTGTGCTTATTTCCGCGTTGTTTCGGTCAAGTGATACTTCATGCTCTAGTCGAGCCTTTTCTTCACTCGTATGGCTACCTTCTCCCTTGTTTGGCGCTACCGCACAATCTGATGTCTTTGAGTCTGAATGACAGACTAATATTTTGTTGCGCTGCAGCTCAAGCTCAAAAGAACCAGAGGAAGCAGGGCTGGGCAACATCAGCGACTCGAGAGCCGGCGAGGGACTCCGATAGTACGTTTCATCAATATCCGATAGAAGTAATGGAGGAGATTTCGAAGGATTGCGGTCTTTCTGCAAGCTCACGAAATGTATAAGTCTAAGTTCCAGCAACATGTCTTTAACATTCATACCTGAACGGACATCATCATATCATTCAAAAGACCTTCTAGGTCTGGGAAGGCAAGACTTCCACAGTCTCTAGCCCTTTGTATTAACAACATTGACTCTCTGCTACAATTTAACTTCTCCGGCATAACATCCTTCAGAACCTGGTCAGCCTTGACTAAAAGGTCAGCAATGATTTCTTCATCCTTAAGTTTCGGGCACGATTCGTCGTGAGGACGGATTTCGACCACGTTCTCGTCGTAACGCAGCGGACTTGTGTACCGCAACGTTTCCATGATGCTGTCCTCGTGAAGGATTGGAAGTGGTAGCTTAAGCTCATCAGCTTGACTGAATTTAGGTAGAAGCTCATCCCAATTTATGTCTAATTTTTCTGCTCTCGCATCTTGAATCACCGATGCTAGCAAACGAGCGCTTTCTTTTCTGACATTGAGCTTTTCTTTGCGAAGCTTATCTTCAACGTTTCTCTGTGTCTCGTAGATATGATCTTGAAATTCCGATAGAGTATCATGAGGTAATGGTGTTTCAGTTGCGACGTCGTCGATGTATGTGAGGGGATCGACTGCCGTGAAATCACGGGCAATACCGTAGAATCGGGCATACTCTAGCAGGGAAGGTTCCTGGGGGTTTTCCATTGAGTCTTCCGTTTTTAGGTGAGTGAAGAGTTAAGCTTTTCGCGGTTTTAGGTATTCAGAGTAAAGTGAGAGAAAGTGATCAGAGCTCCGCACGTGGCCTGATAGGCTGCCAGAAGGTTTCAAATTTTGTCTAGATCTTTAGATTGTACCTATTGCTACAACCTACAAATAGTGAGTGGCTACCTTGTCCGATATGAATTCATCCAGAAGAAAATCTTATTAGCAATGTGTAAATAGTAGTATATACAAATCAATTTCCCGGGTATGTGTAACGCCATATATCAGAATGCTCACAAGTGCTTCGCTCGGCAGTGGAAGAGAAAGAGAAAGAGAAACCAAATCTTAGTCATTGTAATTTGACTGACGAGCACCATCCTTGTTTACCGGTGGCAGATTGTACAGCGCAATGTGCTCCTCCTCTTGTGATTTGCCGGCTGGGTCTAGGTAGGGCCGTTCGGCCTGAGCAGCGACTCGGACTGCATGGCGACGGTGAGGTGCAAAACCATAAGATGCCGTGTGATTCTGTTGAGTTCATCAGAAGTGTTCACTACTTAATTATTACAGTATCGTTACTCACCGTAGTCCGATTGTCCCAGATAGCTAAATCATCCTTGTTCCATTGAAACCGTGCATGCATCTCTTGTGTGGTTGCAATAACATCGGTAAGGTATTTGATAATAGCATCGCTCTCTGTCTTAGGGATTCCAACAATTTTTGTCACAAACCCGGGGTTGAAGAAAAGACTGTTCCAGCCAGTCACTGGGTTGGTGCGGATCAAAGGGTGCTCCGTAGTGACAGGCTCGCGACGGACTGGTCGGCCGAGGGCTCGTGAATCAGAAGCTTGCATGTCCGCTGAGTGGAGTGCGGTCAAGCCCTTCAAATATGTCTGCATATGAGAGGAGAGAGCATCGTATGCTGCATACTGAGAGGTCCAAAGTGTGTCGCCACCCCCTCCACGGGGAGGCCCCGTAAGAACCTTCAGCAATGTGTATGATGGTGGCTGTACCTCGTAGGTCACATCCGAATGCCACAAAAAGCTGGGCGTGAACAATGCCCGCTGGTCACCAGAATTATCTGCACTGTAAACCACATGAACATCCTCCAAGCCTTGCTTCCTCGGAACAGACGTGGTTGCGTGCTGTATGTTGTTAGATCAATCTGAAAGCAGCTAAACCCAGATGGCTCCGTACCTTATGTAGTCTCCCAAAATGTCTACCTAGTTCTCGTTGGGCATCAATGTCCAAGTCTTTTTGATCACGGAAGAACACCACCCCACGGACAGCGACTAGGCGAGCCAAGTCATCCTTCTGTGCTTCATCTAACTTGGCCAAGTTCACACCATGAATCTCAGTTCCGATCTTGGGTGTGTAGTCAAAAACATCGGTGGCATCCCGCAGGAGGTTACGGAATTTAGGATCCCCGCGACGTCCTCTGTCTTCATAGGGAATCTCTTCCAGCGGATCCCAATAAATATCAGGGAATGAAGGCAGAAGTTCTTCATAAGCGTAGTTGTCGTGACGCTCGACGAATGTGCGTCCCGGTGTGTATTGGAACTTGTTGTCGCCGATGATCTCTTTCTTTGGAAGAATAACATGACCCAAGGCTGGAGCCAAGGTCGGGTCCTCAAGTGTAGGCGCCATGTTTTGAGCTGGGCGAGTAGTAAAGAGAACCAAGTGTGGAAGAGTTGTGTTTGGATGAGGAGTTCCTTGGAAGCGTCTATGTAGCTTATTTATCCAACTCAAAGCTCTAGTGGAGGTAGTAGTAGACCGCCATTTTCAAGCCTACTGTTATCATTCCACATCATCATTATCAATGCCCGGGATCGCGGATATGGCACCATCGCTGGCGAAAATCACCCAAGAGGGCTGATGGTTAGGACGGATTAGGGGAAGTGGCCTATGTGGACCAAGTTTCCACAGGTCTTCTGGAATGGATGACAAAACCAGTTGCACATCACGTCATTTTTGCCCTGCAGCATTTTCACTATGGTTATATGTAAGCACGAGCTCGAGCGTAATATGCCTCATAAGATGTGGAATGTAGAAGGAAACTACTGGCTCTTTTGCTTGCCTATAGAATCGATTTGTTCTTTTTCTTTTTTCTTTTTGTTGTTGTTTTTTTTTCATTTATTTTTTTATTTTTTTCATTTTTTTTTTTTTTTTTTTTTTTTTTTTTTTTTTTTTTTTTTTTTTTTTTTTTTTTTTTTTTTACATACTCGGCAAGTAGATGCCGCAAAATTGAGACAAGGAGATCAATAACTTGAAACGTCGACCGTCTCTAAGCCAGGTGCTGATCATGGAAAGTGTGGAAACCTGGGGTTGGAAGTGATTAGGTGCGATCACGCAAACCGGCCAAGCTCTTGCGTGCGACAATCTGGTTCGTCTAACGGTTGGGAAGGTACCCGCAATGGGTAGTCGGTTACATTCTCCAGGGCTACTAGTCAGTCGGCTTGAGACCGAGTATGGGGTACATGCCTCGTAAGCAAACTTGTCAATCGTATATTCTAGACTGCATACTTCGTCACACCGTATTTCGTCATGTTTATCATTGAAGAATAATGAATACTTGAGTCAAACGAGTCTGATGGAAGGGGAATAGCGCCGGTTAACTGATCTACCGCAGAACGCCTGACCTCGAAAATCATGCTCAAGCCAAAACATCCAAGCCCTCTCCTTCCGTTTCAGAGTAAATTAGGGCAAGCTTCATTATATTATACATAACCAGAAAACGATTGATTCATTACAAGTTCAGTCTACCCTCGCCGAGAGATGGCGGCCCCAGCACCACTTCTTGAACTTGTTCTGTAACTCCTCCGAGACGACTGGCAACCCCCAGAATACCAGCTTCAACGTCCCCAAGCACAACCGCAAGATCATTAAGCACCGATTTGGGTGTCCCCGCAGCGGCTCCATCGCGGCTGCGAGACGTCACAAATTCGTGGATCTGTCGCTCCAGGGTAGCCTCGACTCCATGAAGGTGGTCTTCAATCTCTTTCAAGTTCTGTTTGTAACGTTCGAGGACGGTCCCCATCTCGTCAGAACGCTGAGAGAAATAATCGACAAGGTTAACAGGTACTCCATTGACAGTTGTAGAAGAATCGCCTTCGACATCGTCGGGAAGAGCCAAAGTGTTCTTGCGTGTTGACCGCAACGATTGCCGATCCGACAATTTCTGGTCCTGAACAGACCACCACCCAGAGCCCCCTGCAGGCTGAAACTGCAAAGGTAGCTTGAGGGTATCAATCGCCCGGAAGCCCACTTGTGCTTCAGCCGCATCACGAGCCACAAGATTCCGTAACTGATCAATATCGCTGGCATCGTTTTCGAGTGCGTGTTGCATTGTTTCCAATTTTCCTTGGACATACTCTACGTCGTTCGGAATAGTTTCTCCCTGGGCAGCAATGCTAGGGATCATGTTTCCCACTTCGTTGCACATCTTGATTTGCGTAAGAACGTAATTGTCGAATACTTCCAGCTCCTTCTTGATCTCATCGGCACAGCTTTCATACTTGGTTGTCGGCAGAAGATTGCTCAAGTCCACTTTGACCCCTGGGACTACCGTTCCGGCTGCGGCAGTCGGCTGCGCTGGTTGCTGCGTTGTGGTATTCTGGTTTCCAAACAAAGATAATGTAGGCTTTTGAGCTTGCTGCTGTTGCTGCGTGTTGTTTTGATTCGCACCGCCGCTATACCCGCCGATGGTTAGCTCATGAATACGAGAGTATAGGTAAGATTGATATCACACTCACAATAGCGATCCCCCTGTGTTAGTAGATGTTCCCAAGCCACCGAACAGGGGTTTTGATTGAGTCTGTGCGGCAGAAGCACCCCCGAACAAGCCTCCGCCAGTTGTGCCACTCTGCGCTGTGTTTGCATTTGCAGTTCCTGGGAAAAGGCCCCCCGATTGTGGCTGGGAAGTAGTCGCTGTGGAGTTTCCAAACAATCCGCCGCCCCCAGTATTACTTTGTTGTCCGCCTAAGCCTGAAAACATGTTTGTCCCGGAAGACTGATTCTGCTGTGTAGTTCCACTAGTCGCGTTGCCGAACAGACCGGTCGCGGGCTTTGATTGTGTTGTAGAGCTTCCAAGGTTACCAAAAAGTCCCGATGTCGTGCTCGTCGTTCCTGGTGTAGTTGTGGAAGTTGTCTGTGTATTGGCCCCGCCACTAATTGATGCGACTAGACATTAGCTTTTCTGGAACACGATATTTCAGAGTAGAGTGTTTCTTGATAAACAGCAACAGCATTCGATCTCTAAAAAGACCAAAATAAGAACGCGACAAAGAAGTAACAGCGAAGAAGTGCGCGCGCTAGGATGAAAGAGAAGGGTGGACGACCGGCTTCCTTGTAACACAAGGAACAAGTAATCAATGTCAAAACAGAAGTAAAACACAATCAGCCGGCACTAAGTAGACAAGAAAATTAGTGCCTTACAATAGAGAATTGGCAGAATTGGTGTTTATGGAAAGGCCGCCGCCCGCAGGTTTTGCGGAGAACATTATGGAAGGTTATGAGTGCTGCTTGAGCAAAGGGATGGTTCGGAAGGCAGATTATTGTAGGAGACCGAAAAGCCCCAGCCGTTCTCAATAGAGGAGACAACTTCTCTAGAATTAGTTAAAGGAAATTAGCTTAATGAACAATGTTCATGCTGGGGTGAAAACAAAGTGAAGCGGTCCGAAACAGCACTCCAAGCTAGTGATCGATGGAGTAAGATTTTCCGATGCCGGTACACAGCGGCCTCAAACTTATTTTGAACATCATATTTAGATCAGTATAAGCTTTTATTGGACATTATATCCACTGCAAATATCTTGCTAGATGGGATCGTGATTTAGCCATTTACCAAGGCTCTCTGCTGATATATGTCACATATAATTTTGCTCTCTGTGCGATTATCAACTTCGTCCCTGGGATCTTTTCTTCGTAGCCAGAAGACGCTTCATACTGTAGTTCTTCTCCGCGCTACCTGATAACTATTCAGGCTTAACATTCCGGATATCTTATGTTGGACTGATTGATGGCGTTATATGAAAGTTTAATGTGACTTGACTAGAGGAGAGAGCCCCCGTATCTTGAGCCCTGGTTTCGTATCTGGACATCAAGTATAAGGCCAGCTTCATCCGCAACGTTTTACCCCTGTCATATCAGTTTGTCATGTCTCTTGAATAGCGCTCTAGGTGCTTTTAAAGCGATTCGAGCAAGTGTATACCGCCAATACTTTTATTGTCAATCTTACAATCTCAGCGCATCATGACCGCAAGCGGTGTTACCAACTCTGCGCCTATATGTGTGGCTTCAACTCGACGAGATGATGAGGCCTGTGATGCATCTTTAGACAGCCATAGCCATGATACTCCGAGCACCGCATGTGGCGCCGACAAAAGCGCCTCCGACACAAATTTTGTCAAGAGTGTAGAATGGTATGCTCACGACGACTTCACCTTCAACTTGCTGTGACTGACTAGAATGCTCATGTAGGACTCCCGATGGCACCACCCTTCTAACAGATTCCGCAGACTATCATATAAGAACTTACATCTTGTTAGTTTATGTTGTAATCCTCATCTCTTGCTGTGCTAATAGTTAGTCAGGCCACCTGATCTTTTAGAAGAAAGACCGTCACCGCACCGGTTGTCTCCTTACTCAGTGCTACCTTCAGCAGAGCCAACCTATGCAGCTGCTATTTATCCTTATTATTCTCTTCAGGATCCAGCTACTACACTTTTCCTATCATCAGTCCGAGATCATCCAATCAGACTGGCCTCAACTCTTGCCCCTACGTTGTTGGCGACTTATTCCTTGATACACCCAACCACGGAAGCTTTTATAACGCCGCATTCAATTATCTATCCACACGCTCTTGGTGGAACGCATTTCCTCACTGGATCAGATAGCCTTATATGTCTCTTTGATGTTTCCCGGCCCGGGAACGATGGACCTGTTTCTTGGATGCCTACTATACCCAGTAAGCGTAAACAGACAGTGGGTGGGGGCGTTGGAATGAAGGGTATCATTTCCGCTATGGCCATCAATCCAACAGAAGATGGCATATTAGCAGCTGGTACCTTCTCAAGACAGGTAGGATTGTATGACTCAAACGGAACCGGGCAGTCCTTAGGCACGTTTAGTATTGCAAAGACCGATGCTAGTCATCGTATTGGGGGTCGAGGTATCACCCAGCTCCTTTGGAGTCCTTGTGGACGATACCTATATATCGCTGAACGGAAGAGTGACGGTGTTATGATATACGACATCCGCGTAACCGGTCAATTACTTGGCTGGTTAGAAGGCCGCAAAGCCATCACTAATCAGCGGATGAAAGTTGACATTGTCTCTACTAATCAAGGTACCTCGCATGAGATCTGGGGTGGAGGAACTGACGGTTTCATGAGGGTATGGCGTGACCCGACCCATACTGCTGGAGGGCAGGAACCAGTATCGGAATGGAAGATCCATAATGGTAGGTATTATCTATCCGGTTTACTCTAATGCAATCGCTGACCTTAGTCTTCGTAGACTCGGTGAGCAGTACAGTACTGCATCCAATGGGCAATGTTGTGGCTACGTGTGCTGGGCAAAGACACTATTCAGACGACGATGGCTCGTCTTCTAGAGAAAAGCCTGACAATAGCGTGAAAGTATGGTCTATGCCATTCCTGTAGGCCTGCTGAATATGAGTCAGGTTCTTTCTAACTCTCCAACGGCATCCGGGGCAGTTCACACCCTTTGAAAATTGAAATTACTGCTATGAACCATTATCATGGATGAGACGGGGAGGGAAAGGAGGCCATCAAAGAAAGCCAATGCAACTCTCGGATGACTACCTCGGGGCAGTCAGGGAATTGATAGCAGGCTACCACCATCTTTGAGTCAGATGAACCTGGAAGTCTTTTCAGGTGAAAGTCTATAAAAGCATTATACGGTTGCCAATAGGGACACAAGACCAGGCAAGTTGACTGTTCAATATCTGTCCATTTTCTAAACGATCAAGTGACGTTCTCCGATTGGACCCTATCAGCCAGGCTAATATAGCTCGATCGATATATATAGCGACGGGAAAGGGGTTGAGGTAGCTTGGAGGTATTCATATTCCGGTCAACAAGTTCATTGTCTCTGGATATCTCAATGCAACAGTGCCATTGTCAGCTGAAGACAATTGACTTGTGGACTGCTGAAGCTAATACCAATACATACTTCCTGTTCTTCACTACTCTGGCTACTGGATAACATTGACTGTTTTGGTTGGCATGGTGAATTCTGTTAGCCCTGAATAAGGACCCTGGACCCTATTGTTCCTGAATTGACTTGAAACGAGGGGTTGTTGACAGTCACTCTGATTGTTTTCCTTTTTGGGAATATATCATCAGTTTCCAGACCAACAGCAGCGCGGCATCTTCCCGGGGTGAAATTCACGTTTTCGCTTAAATACAACTTCTCTTTGATGAATGGCCTCCCCATTCGCACCTTGATCCCCACATTCATTTCTGGACATTCCTATTCATGTCCTATTCCCTCTCTATGACGCTAATACTTCACAGACACTTTCTTCACTGGCTCTATACTATCTCACTCTTTTGATGTATCGATGTCTTCCTTCTATTCTACTAAATTCAGATGATTCTCTGCTTCCCACAGCTTCTTCCTCTCTTTGCCTCTTTCTTCCTTCCAACCTCGTGAATTTCCCGCCATTCCTGGAATTCTGTGCTGAGCTGCTTTCCCCTGGCATTGGGTGGCTGTAAACATCTGTTATCCTTTGGTAGATATAGACTTCACGATGTCCCATTTTACGGAGTGGTATTACCAAGATTGGGAGCAGCAGCTATTGCACCTGGATCAGCCGCACACTTCAAACCCTGCCCTAAACGCTGACCTTAGCTATAATGGCTTTCTCATGAACAATGATACGTAAGTTTGCATGACGTCAAGTCTGGCTAGAAACTAATATTTGGCTAGCAACTGGGCATCCGGCGGGTTCGTTAATGGAGCATCTATGGAAGACACGTTGGAGGTTCCTCATCCTGACATTTTCAGCGGAGCTCATAACATGACTACGAGAAGTCGCTCGACCGCTATGATGCCGATGGCTGGTATGCCCCAGCATGCTGGAAACAGGATTGCACGTGTTGGTAACGCAGAGTATGTTGTGTCCATCGTATCGCATTGATGTGGGCTTCTTACTCATACATTTAGCAGTGCTGAGGACTTTGCGATCAGCTCAGGTGCTTCGGCGTCTGGCCCTGAACTCGGCTCCAGCCCTCCCTATATGCCTCTTGGCATTGTGACGGGCGGTGCAAGTTACGACGACAGTTCCAACAATAGCCCCGCGAGCAGAACATATATTGACTTGCCATCATACGGTAATGCCAATTTCCCACGCAATTTGTCTGCTCCTGCCCTGGGCAACACTGTCGGCGGTGGTGAGCTTGGGGGTGGTGCACGCCCTTCTTCACTGCCCACCTCTGCACATCTGAACAGCAGCCATGAATCAGAAACAGCATTCACCGATGTAAATGTACCATTAATTGTTCGGGACTATCAAAAGCTCATGGATCCTCTGAACAACAATGTCGACGTTGATACATATTATGCGTCTCTTGAGGAGGCCAATGAATCTCAACGCCCCAGCGTCCGACTTCCAGAAGATCCTACTATTCCTTGTACTCAGGTACAGAAGCGGGCAATTGTCAAACAAATGTGTAATGCTATGGCAAGCACCCATCGTGCGCAAGACAACAAACCTATGATCAAACCTTTCAAAGAAGGTAGATACAGCGATCGACGAATGGAAGCTGCGTGCTGGCAGGTCTTGGTAAGTAGGAAATGCCGCTTCCTTGCGACGTTGCTAACATACTTCGAGGAAACTGCCATCGAACGACACACTTTTGGTCCATTGTTGAGTGCCTTTGACGTCAAGCCGAAAAACCATGAGGTAGTGACATTTGCCACTAGAATTGACAAGATAATTGAATGTCTCATGCTTCACAAGACTATTTGCAAGCATCTCCTGGACCCGCTTTACGTCTACCACTTTGTTGACGATCCTGTTCAGGCGGAGAAACGCGTGGTTGCAAACAGGCTGTTGAATAAGCGCAAAGGAGAAGTGATGAATGCAGGAAAGCAAGTTCTCGGTTCCAGAAAGCCTGGTGCCAAAAAGAGGTCTAGCAAAGCTGCTAAAGCTGTTACCCCACCAACAGATGAAGCTCCTTCGGATACTCCTGCAAGCTCGAGCACTGGTGTTGAAGGGACACTCACCCCTGACGGGCTCACTCGAGTGGTGAAAGCCGAGCAAATGAGCTCCTCTCCCATGCTTAGCATTGGTACGCCGACTCCAACATATACTGCAGCTACCCAGCAGTATTCTTCTACCCCTATGATGGGAAGCGTTGCTATGTCACACCTTCATAATCGCCGGATGACTGCGCCCACCTCCCACCCGAGACCCATAATGATGAACCCAAATATGCCTTACCACTCTCGTGGCGGCTCTAAAAACCTTGTTACCAACCGCAAGCGTCCAATGGGTGACTATGAGGCCTCTTCTCCCGAGAAGCGCCAGCGCTAGAGACCGATATTGATTTTGAGAAATGTCCCTCCAAGCCAATCATTCCACCAGCTTTCTACTGCCTCTGATGCTAACTATTCTTTTGTTGCTTTTGCTTGTCCGTTCCTACAGTCTATGCGGATCAAATCCCCGGTAACTTTATCTACTCTTTTCCTACCACCTGTTGTCTCTCGTTGCTTCCCAAACATCTGACTTGTTTTGGAAACTGGCCTTATGAAGTGAATATCGAGTTGGGTGCTATGGACTTTAGGATGGACCTCAGAACCTCTGACGGAATGACTTTGATACCCCGACTGGATTTCATCATGAGCTATGTCTTCATCTCTAAATGGACGTTCTTGCCTAGTAGTTGGGACCATGTGATACGCTACCGCTAACATCATTTGGAAGCCTCGACATCTGCCAGTCGATTAGTGAAAAATTGGTTGTTATATCTCAGCACTTCTCTGGTTCGTCTTACGGTTGTGACAACATCAGTTTGACGACATTCCTAATGCAGCTATGCTTTCTTTTGCTTCGTTTGGTAAACTCTGAAAACGACTTTAATTCATTCACGCAACACCGCATGGGTATCTTGGATTTCATGTACAGTTTCAAGCCCTGGTAATCAGGCTAATGTTTCTATCCACTAGTTTATGCAGGTTGAATGCCATATTTCTCGTAAGGGAAGTCTTCCAAAGTAGGGACCAAATCACCAAGCCCATCATTAAGCTGGCCAGGCTTCCCCGAGCTCCGCCCCAATCTACCCGCAACGAGCTCATCCGCCTCATGTTCAGCCGTAGACTTCTCCTCCTCCTTATGTTCACCAGTCAAACCAGCCAATACTTCGGCCTCTCGGCCTTTATAAGCCCCCAACAGGCCAGGGTGAGGGCACCAAACGACCCTCATACCAGCTCTTCTCCCCGCCTCAACACCAGGAACGGCGTCCTCAAAAACAAGACACTCCTCGGGAGTAATTTCCTTCTCCCCCTTCTGCCGCAAATTAGAATTGATGGTCTCCAACGCAATCAAGTAGATATCCGGCAAGGGCTTGCCCCTTCCCTTCCCAATCCGGGGATCATCACCCAGAACACGCTGGGACTCGGGAAACGCCGCGAAGAGATCCTGCAGGTGGTCGGACTTCAACTTGTAGTTCCTGCTGTGCGACGAGGTAGCCAATGCGATGTAAACAGGCTTATCGGTTTTCTGCGTTGAGACAAGCTTGTTCAAGAGTTCGCGCACACCGGGCAGAGGCTGCGATTCGGGGAAGTATTTGCTCTGCAGGGCGGCTTGTTTGGCGCTATATTCTTCCGGCGAGATGGGGAGTTGGGCCCAGTGGTAGAAGATTTTGAAGGCCTGGTTGTTTTAATAGAATTAGCGAGATTGAGACTGGGGTGCTCCTGCGGGTGCTTTGGTGTGTTCCGCGAGATTGAAAGGTACCGCAGGTGACGTCTTAACGTACCTCCGGTTGCGGGCGCCCCTGAAGCTGCGCTTTGATGGACCATGGGAGAGAGGGTTTTCCATATTCGTGGAGAATAGAGTTTGTAATGTCGGTGTATTTGTCCTCCGAGTCAATTAGGAGTCCGTCCATGTCGAAGAGACATGCCCGCACTGGGGGCAGACTGGCGTTTGTTAGTTCCCCATCTTTGTTTACTTAACGATGACTGCAGAACTTACTTTGGGGTAGAATTCGCCATCTTGCGACAGGGATATAGTGTCTTTATGCGAGGTGCGAGGTGGATGTAAAGCGTGGTAGATCAATTGCCTCTACTCCGCACTTTGATAAAACGATTCTTAACAATGGCGGGGCAAGGATGGAGGGGATAACAATCGATATGATGCCTGAGGCTAAAGACCGATATGACCGAGCCAATCGGTGAACGGGTTATCGTCCCGCCCCGAAAGCTAACTCATCATAAGCTGCGGACGGCAGTGCTGTAGTTGAACTAACAATGCTGAATTATCCATCTCAAGAGTTGTGCGAATAGCTATACACACTGAAAATGTCAAAAAATACGCCTAAGGAACACGCAGGTACCACAGGGAGCGACAGTGAAGAAGAGGATGTTTTTCATGATGCTAGATTTCCCGCCGAAGAAGAAGCTGTGAGTTTACCTGTCTTTTCATCACGGAGAAGCTATCATGCTTACATCTGATTGTAAATAGCAACTCCTGGAGGAATCTCAGTCTATAAAAGCCGAAGCTAATAAGCTATTTACCGCGGCTTGCTACGACCAAGCCATATCCTGCTACGATCGTGCCCTTGCCTCGTGTCCGAATTACCTCGATTACGAAGTCGCCGTGCTACGGAGTAATATGGCTGCGTGCTACCTAAAGCTCGAAGACTGGAAAGCCTCTGTCGATTCAGCGACGGCATGTCTCGACTGTCTAGAGAAAGTAATCCCGTCAGCAAATGAGAATTCAGACGCCCCACAAGAAAAGCAGCAAGAGTCGGGCTCGACGGATGCCGTGGTGGAGATAACTGGTGATGATGAAGAAGCAGAACAAGAAGAGCTCAAGCGGTTGCAGAAGGTTGACGAGAGGAAAAATGACGTTATGCGGATTCGGGCAAAGGCACTTATGCGACGCGCACGAGCAAAGTCACAGCTTAGCGGATGGGGGAACCTGCAAGGGGCCGAAGAAGACTACAAGTTGCTTGCCAGTATGGACAATCTACCGCCCGACGATAGGCGCATCGTGCAAAAGGCTCTCCGGGAGCTTCCGGATAAGATAGCCAAGGCAAGAGAAAAAGAAATGGCGGAGATGATGGGCAAATTGAAAGACGTGAGTCTGGCCTTCCTTTGTTTGAACTCATTATTATTCACGCTAACCAATATGCCAGCTGGGCAATGGAATCCTCAAACCATTTGGGCTTTCAACTGATAATTTCAAATTCACCCAAGACCCGAAGACGGGCGGATATAGCATGAACTTTCAGTCCTAGACTAGCGTCTCATCCCTGCATCCCGTCCCAGTATTCTTTAAGCGTTTTGCATTGCACAAGGCGTTCTTTTCTGCAGAATTGTTAGCAGCACCGAGGGAATTAGAGGATGAGTCTTGTTGAATTGTCCAATAGTCTTGTCTACGTCATGGTGAACTTTGCCCCCTTTTCCTTCTCTTTTTTGAAGTATTCTATATAATTCATCCTTCACGGTGAGCGTCATTCATGGTCGGCCTGGCGCCACAAGCGGATGATGCATCTCTACAGGGAATGCTGGAATCCGAACTCCAATATCAAATTTCACTCTCGAATTTGATTTCATGGCAGGTCACAAGGTATAGGTATAGGTGACAAACGCCATTGTCATCCTACCGTCCCCTGAGGACTTACGGCCGAAAGTCCATCCGAGAGGTTTTACTGCGATACCCACGCTTGTGAATTATCCACTGTAGGGGCGTCACTTACAAGGAAGATGGGGTGCCTTCCAATTTGTTGGATCTCTTCTCCAGCAAAGGTCAACTAACCTACCTGGCGAATTAGCAGATAATGCAATATCAGCAAAGCCTGCGCTTTGACATTTTGCAGTCTGGATGCTGGGAGTCAACGAGTGACTGAAATAAATGGATACATACGACCGTTCTATACCTTCGGTTGATTCTTTGTAATGCGTGACTCCTTTAGCTTTGCGGCCAAGGCAAACCCCTAAATCTGTCCATTCAACAGGTAGTTTGGAAGAGAAACGCGAAGCAATTAATAGATAATTTCCCGGCAAGTCTGTCATAGTAACGTACAATTTCTACATGCAAAAAAAATTAAGCTTGTATGGTCACACAGCTTTAGTAGCCGTAGTAAAATTTTCGTGCCCTGGCAATCATGTCGTCCAATTCCACTCTTGTTAAACCCCCTCTTTTTTCTCCAACCCAATCCCCACATTTTCGTTGCCCGAGGTTGCAGCGCTGAGCGGAAGTTGTTATGTAGCGGATAAGCCGATTCATAAAACTTGCTGCTCGATGAATGTATCATCCGTAGTAGCCTTTGTTCCTGCCTAAAGACCTTTAGAAATCAAAGCATCATACACTCTTGACAATTAAGCTTGTTTCCATCTGCCGGGGAAATCGACATGGAACAAGGGTCATCGGAAGACCCGAAGATGGGGTATTTCCGATGTGGTCTCAGAGGTGCAGAAGTCTAAGTCGATTAGATCCATTTATAGCTTAATTAGCTATTTAATTATGGACCGAACCTGAATACCTGCATCCTCTACCCTTTGTGTACACGTTTCTCATCTCACTGCAATTGTTCAAAAAAGAAAGAAAATGGCTGCAACAACCATCCAAACGAAGCACTTGGGGCAGATCCGGGGCAGGACCGCCGAAGGCGTAACACAGTTCTTGGGGATCAAGTACGCCACTCTGCAAGATAGACTTGCCGACGCGCAACTTGTGGAGAAGCACGATGGTGGTATCGTCGATGCGACAAAGGACGGGTGCGAGAATCATATATAAAAGTTTCCATGCTCTTTTCCTTCCCTGAAGCTAACATGAGATAACCTTACGCAGACCAACAGCTGTCTCACCTTCGTTCGGATGTGATGTAGAGCAGGCCGCCATACAACATAAACTGCCCCCGAAAGAGCTCGCGCAGTCGGGCATCGACTGTCTCAATTTAAACATCGCTGTTCCCGAGGGCACAACCGCATCTTCGAAACTTCCGGTATTTTTCTTTATTCATGGCGGGGGTCTACAGATCGGGGCCAATTCATGGCCACAACTGGAGCTTATGCGCTTTGTAAAACTGTCGGCTGACAAGAATTTACCTGTCATCGCGGTCTCTATCAAGTAAGGCTATCAGATGACCACTTCTTGGAAAGACACTGGGCTAACTCAACCCGATAAGCTATCGGTTAGGGGTGTTTGGATTCTTGACTTCCGATGAGCTTCGAAAGGCTGGGTATAAAGCTAACAACGGCCTCCGGGACCAAAGAGTCGCACTTGAATGGGTGCAAAGACATATCGCAGATTTTGGCGGAGATCCAGAAAATGTTACAGCAGCTGGAGAAAGCGCTGGTGCAGGTATGGATAGGGAGATATATCAAACTAGACACTAGGGCTAACTCTTCCAAGCATCGGTGACATATCACCTGGACTCCGAAGTTGCTCTTTTTAAGAGAGCTATTGCGATGAGCGGCAGTTACCTCTTCACCCAAGCTTTGCCGTATGGTATTCAAGAGCAGAATTATCAGCAAGTCGTATCGGCACTGGGTTTGGAAAATGCCAGCACAAAAGAGAGGATTCAGACTCTATTGGAAAAGCCAGAACAAGAGCTGATTGCCAAATTGCCTCCTTCGGTTTTGGCTGCGCCAGCCGTGGACGGCGACCTGGTAGCATCGGCCGCTACACATGCTCTAACAGCTGATAGAACTTCTGGATTAACAAAGAGAGGAAACTGGTGCACTGAGCTGATGATCGGTGACTGTCAGATGGATGTGAGTCCGTTTTTCTCAGGACTGATGATATGCTGGTCACAAGCTAACACTTTTATGCTATTTAGGCGAGTATTTTGGGGGTAATCATGCCAAACCTGAAGGAAAATTGTGCAGAGAAATTTACCACAGCAATGAACAAGGTGCTATCATCGCAACCGGATGTGGCGCAACGTATCCTGGGCGAATATGGTATTAGAAAGGGCATGCCCGACAACGAGGCGTTACCTGCGGTACTTAATTACGTCAATGATATCTGTTTCTTTGCGCCTGTTCTGACTTTCATACGGGGTTGGAGGGGGAACTCTCATGTTTACTATTTCAACGAAGGGAACCCCTGGGAGGGACCATGGAAAGGAAAGGCGACTCACATTCTTGATGTTGCCTATCTAACCCAAAACTTTCAGGAGTTCATGAAACCCTCCCAGCAGCTTGTTGCCACCACATTTGCTGAAGACTTCTTCAAGTTCTGTCATGGTACCAGCCCGTGGCCAGCAGTCACCAACGGTGATATCACCACCAATTTTACGGCTAGGGTGTATGGGCCCAGCTCTGAGGGGCATTTTGTTGGGCAAGTGAGTGAGCCGTACAAAGGGGAGAGTCATCGGAGAAGCATTTTGTTTGACTGCAACGATGCAGTCTCATTGGACGAGCTGGCCGGAGTATTCGATGTTTTCAAAACCATGTGATAGTTGTGAAGTGGACTGATATGTATATAAAGTCGTAGAAACCAAAATCCATCCTGGTTCACAAGTTTTCTAGATCGGAAATCTGGAGTCCAGTTTGACGATGGCAAGGAACAGAGATACCTTCATGCAACAACCTGTGGATTACATACAATACGAATCACAGGATGCAGGATGTCCACCTTTGCTGACTCAAAATTTAGATCAAAAAACAAAGCCTCGACAGAGCTGAAGGGTTTTATTATGAGATGTAATCGGAATTATACCAGTGAGAACTATGGCAATTGCTTGAGTGGAGTATTGATGTTGTGGGTGCACGAAAAGCAAGGAGTTGGGAAATGGGAACCATTTGATTTCCACTCCTCTACTTTACGTCCGTCTCGAAGAATAACTAACCTATTAACCGATAAGATATCTAGCTATTTTCGAGTTATTGTGTACATCACCTTTCAATGAAGCCATGGCATCTTTATCAAGAAAGGTTGTACGAGCCCCTTTACGCCTGCTCATGAGCGAAGCCCTCTATATCATAAGACATGCCCTCGGCACGGACGTACCAGTAGAAGGTTAGCTAAAATACTTCCATGATACCTAATACTATAAGAAGTGGGCGTGACATTCGTTCCTATAGGTACAATGACTGTATAAACATTCCATCTGGGAGTCGTTGGTTTTCGGCAACCGTGGTATCTATAGTCACCTTTGACACTATGACATTATAATGTTGAACTTTTGACGACTATGCTAAAAGCTTTAGGTATTTCAAGGAACATACTATATTATCTTCACGTAGTACAAATGAACAGAAACTGGAGGGCACTAAAGTGGAACTATACTCTGAGAATCAAAGAACAGGTGCAGGAGATAATCGGTTCTTCTGTCACCTGGCAAGACGTCTTCTGCACACCTCTCGGGTACGACTACAATGACAGATACAGCTTCAGAGGGGCAGCATTAGTACAGTATACGCTGGGGACACTATAATCTGAAGGACAGTGTTCTTGTGGAGAAGCGTCAATCTAGGTGATGTTCCACTTCTGTCTCTACAAATATTCAGAAATGACGATTGCTCTTGAATTTACTGAGTAATATTGAGCCAATGAAGTCTATGAATTGGCAATATGAACATGATTTGTTGTAGCTGTCAACCAAACTGACACACAAAAGTGACCCCCTCAGCAGCCAGATTCAGCTCCTCCAATTTTGACTAGCCCTGTCGAGTACCACACAATCTTACATTGTCCATTATAAACAACATTTAATAATGAATGAGCTACTCCTCATCTATATTTGCATCTATCTCATAAGCCTTCAATTCCTCCGGGATGTCCGCATAGGTAGCGTTCGAATACCAATACTGAAGAAGGGTTTCTTTCACATTTTGCGGGGTCGCCGGCCCAATGTCAAACTGATGTTCCTCGTCAAAGGCGACAATGTCTGGTTCGACTACATCGTTGGCGGGCAGAATCTGGACATCGAATACTTCCCCTGCTAATGCGGCGTCCCTCCTGCACGAGCGATAGTCGAACCAGTAGGAGCCGCGGGAACTGGGATTACTGAGGCATAGCCTCAGCCCGTGGCCGCTCTTTTGGATAATGCCGCAATTTTTCCCCCGTTTATGGGTGCAAATGGACCCAATTGCAGTCGTTGGAAGGCCGTAGAAGCGGCTGGCTCCATAGGATCGCCCTGGTCGGCTGTCGCAGCACGCCTGTGGTCGAACATTCCGGCATGTCTTGAACCGGCCGCCACATCCTGCTTTTTCGTAGTTTCGAATAGTGACGGCGGTTGTGGACTGAGCCATTATAGTGAGCATCACGAGGACGAAGGTTAGCGAGACATACATTTTGTAGGATAGGTGAGAGAGGATGAAATAATGGGTGACTGATGGAATAGTAGGCTGCAGGGTGAGATGTACTGCAACTATGTGGATGGACTATACTGTGAAAGAGAAGAGAGGCCAGCTGCCTATAAATACTAAGAGATATGTGCCTGTGATAATTTCCATACTACCTTACATATAGAAAGTAGATTATACTCTGCCAATCAAAGGGCCATGTTCCTAGATAGCTACTACTTCGTTATTACTTGATGGTTGGCCTGAAAAATACCTCATTGCGTGCCTGCCAGCTGATGGTTGCATTGTTTGCTTACTGTGGCTGAATGTCTCTGTGTCCTTTCTGTCACCCTTCCTCTCCTCTGTTTCCCTCCGCACAAACATAACCCATCGCTAATTTTTGAGCCTGGAGAGCAAAACCAGATTTGAAGAACAGAAATATTATTTCTCTAACCACCAAAAATAAACCTCGCAATGCCCGCAAAAGACAGCTGGCCTCGACCTGGGGATGAAGCCCCGGACATGCCGTCCGTTGCGCCAGATGCACTGTGCCTGGATGGCCATCTATTCCGCATCAACTATGATGTTCCAGAAGAAATCACCCAGCAACTGGAGGATCTGTACGACCGCGATGCAAAATATGAGGAGATCCCGGAGCACCTAAAAGCATACGAAACCGAAATGGAAGACTCAGATGTGGAAGAGGCAAAAGAGCTAGAACGGCTGTCAGAGGAACAAACCCAAGACAAATCCTCCAAAAACTGAAGGATCGAAGCTGTAACCTGACCTTCTCCGCCCGTTTGGAAGGTATTATATGGATGTGCTGAATGTTATTGGAATGCCACCCACTCAAGTCTAATACGACGCAATTCAAATCCCGGCTATCAACATATGTGTGATCATGCGCGGTCGGGAGGATACATCTGGAGGAAGGAAAGAGAATAGGAAAACCATGGACAGTTCTCTATTGGCACCGTGCAACTGGTCTTTTATCCCCTGGCGCGAATGTAATTGATTGTTTCTTATTACGAGGCCAGAGGAATGAAACTAGGGAACAAGGATGTATATTTCTAAATACTATAATGTTACGGTACAAACACAGCCGCAAGCCCTGTTCTCCACACTCTATGGTCGTATGTACTTATTTATTCTAAGTAGTAACCTATTTGTACAAGGCAGGTAGGTGGATAGTTTTATGACGGGCGCAGGTAATAGCTATGTAAGGTGCACCCACAGATCTCTAAATCAATAAATTCAGCATAGAACATGCAGTAGGCCAAGTTCAACCTTTTAAAAGGATTGAAGTGCCCCATTAACTGGTTGTCCGAACACGTCCTTCAAAGAGTGTGCTAGTGCTTCCGCTGGTCTCCACAGGCCAAACTACAGGGTCTAGAAAAGGATAAATATGGCAGATCTTAACTGTAGGATTCATGAATGCTCAATTCAACATTGGGCGTCGCTACACGATATATCAACGCCACACCATTCCTGGCTACCTGCTCACAGATAAAAGATAAGATAAAGCTTAAGAAGCTCTTGGCCACGTGGGTGCTGACTAAATTGACCGGAGGCATAAATGCGACTATTAATAGATCATAGATCCTCGCCTGATAATAACTATAGATTCTCTTCCCCAGTCACGCCATCCATCCGTTTCGTAACTATCCTTATATAAGAGGTTGAAGTATCTGGTGTGTGCTTGGTGAGTAAATAGTCGGGAATTTGAAGCGTTCACAGAGCATCTTTATGCGGCTGGTAAAGATTAATTAATATAGTTCGTGCACTAGTACTACAAATAGCCGGCTTTTCTAACGGGGCCCGCGGATCCCGAGGCCGAATATTTTGAAATGCTTTTCTCTTCACCTTTCTTTCTGAAAGACACTGAGGCAATTTCTTATCAGATCTTCGGCCTTGCTTACGGAGTAATCTCCTGGTTAATTATTTCAGATGTCCCCATTATAAGCTTACTTCCATTGCTGTATGACGTCATAGGAAATCCGAATCAAATCTGCTTTACGGTATAAACAACGTGGTAGGAAAATGCGCCTATGGCCGTCTGGTGATGGGACATCCGATCCACCGGTGTTCCTGGAGTGGAGATCATCGAAGTTTTTCATCATCTTTGTGGTGGTGTTTGCAGTTTTCACGGTATGAAGATCAAGCATGCCATATCATCAAATGCTCAGACAGAATATGCTGATAAACCCGTTGATAGGACATCTTACTCTATGGACTAGTATGTGATATAGTCATTTTGTATGACTTGAGATATCGTAGGATCTCTGACATGATGCATAGATAGTTCCTGTGACCCCAACTGCTTTACAGGAGAGAGTGGGCCTATCAGAAGACAAGGGTATGTTAATTTGCCTACGTTTTGACATCCGTTCAATCATGATTAACAATTGCACCGCATTTTAGAACAGAGCTGGACATCTATCTTGCTGGCGCTTTACGGAGCAGCTCTGCTGGCATTTTCACGTATGTACTGACCTGGTTTAATCACCTTGAAACATCATTCTGATAAGCATGTCAAATTCCAGCTATTGCTGGATACATAGCCGATCGAATTGAGTCAAGATGGTGGCCTCTATTGATAGGCTTGATTGCCTTGGGTGCCGCTACAGCGCTGCTTTGCGTCGGTACCCATATTGGCCTCTGGATTGCGGGCCGCCTATTCCAGGGAGCATCAGCGGCAGTTGTCTGGACAGTAGGATGCGCACTTCTAGTCGATACAGTTGGTAAAGAAGAGCTTGGGCAAGCGTTGGGCTATATCGGCATGGGGATGACCCTTGGAATAATGGGGGGTCCCCTCCTTGGCGGTGTTATTTACGAACATGGAGGATATTATGCTGTTTTTGGATTAGCTTTCGCGCTGATCGGATTGGATATCTTGTTCCGAATTATCATGATTGAGAAGAAGTATGCCGCAAAATGGCTCCCTCCCACAGAGGCATCCTCCCAAGACGAGAAATTGGGTAACGAAGCTGCCTCGGAAGACACCACAGAATGCTCTGGCCCTGCTACACACAATAGCGATCACAATAGAGCAGGGAGCCCGCAGGCTGTTACACCTGCATTGTCAGAAGGTTCACATTGCATCGAGAAATCGGGTGATCAACACCTTGATCATTCCAGTCCTTCGGCAACCACTGAGCCCCATCCAGCGAAGGCCATACTCACGCTACTAGCATCGCACCGCATGATAGTCACTATATGGGCATATTTCATCCTCTCGGTCGCCCTGACCTCTCTTGACAGTGTGCTTCCCCTTTATGTGCAAGACACTTTTCATTGGGGGCAGACGGGCCAGGGATTGATCTTTGTCCCTCTATCTGTCCCGCACTTCATAGACCCCATAGTGGGATTCATTAACGACAAATTCCCGGGTGTACGGCGCTATCTTGCAGCAGGCGCACTTTTCGGGACCGTCCCAGTCATTGTCTGTTTTCGATTCGTCACGGAAGACTCAATGAGACAGAAAGTACTGCTCTGCGCCCTGCTAGCCCTTCTTGGGTCCTGTCTGGCTTGCCTCATGCCACCCATTCTGGTAGAAGCCTCATATGTTGTGCAAGAGAAAGAAGAGAAGAATCCCAATATATTTGGTAAAGGCGGCGCCATGGCTCTTTCATATGGGATTTTGAATGCCGCCTTTGCCGCGGGCAGTATAGTCGGGCCGTTTTTTGCGGGCTATATTCGAGAAAGTGCCGGTTGGGCGACGATGTCGTGGGCCCTTGCAGTACTGACGGGTGTGTCGGCCGTTCCAGTGCTGCTGTTCTTGGGTGGATTCATTTTCAAGAAGCAGAAGAATGTGGAACCTCGGTCTGCTGCGTGATTTGCGAGGACTGGCCGTGTATATAAGAGATACAGAGTCGCAGACTCGCAGTATAGTACATACTTTAGATAAAAGCCCTCCGCTCAGGTTAATATTACTATGCCATATTCTAATCCCATATGTGCGATCTTATTGAAATCCATGAACCGCATCAAAGCCTTCTCATCCGTCCTCATCAGCCGAGCACAAAGAATCCTCCACAGGCTAACTCGCAGCGGTGGAACTCCCCGCAACAGCCCCACATGCGAAGATGATGGCCATCGGCAATACTCTGGAGGTTATCAGCCGGGACTGAGGGAAATACAAAGAGTGGGGGTTCGGATCATATCAGAAGATCATTAGCATCATTAACAATCTTTTTCTGAATACGCTATTACTAGCATCTTCTTCAGCCGTCACGAAATATGAGCACACCGCAAGTTTCTCATCAAACCCTAAACGCAGATTTCAAGGGCACCGCGCGCAAAATTGGGGACACTGCTATCCACCAATTCCGCGGAATTAAATATGCCAATGTTGCCGCCAGATTTGAGCGTGCCGAACCTGTAGATAGCTTCAATGGAGCATCTATTGATGCTACCCAGTACGGGTATGTGCTCTTTCTGTAGTCATTGAAGAGTTGGGTTGCTCGGTGATGTGTTAATGCATGGTTCAGGCCGAGATGCCCTCAGGCAGCTGTAGACGTGCGCCACTTGTTGCGGATTCCTGAAGATTTTGAAATTCCGGATGAGCCTGAGGATGAATTCGAATGTCTTAATCTAGACATCACATCTCCGCCTTTGTCAGCTAATTCGTCCCTTCCCGTTTTGGTCTGGATTCACGGTACATACTTGACGGCATTGACCTCAACGTTAGAACACTCACGGCTGACTATCATCCAGGCGGTTCCCAAGTCGTCACCTTCTGCTCAGGAGCATCCAAGATCTGTGGTCAGTATGCCGCTGAGTCGTGATTCTCATTTAGTGTCCAATTATTGACTTGGTCACAGATCCGGCCAAGATTGTAGCTGACTCCATTGAGGCTGAGCAGCCCATCATTGTTGTCTCCGTCAATTATCGACTCAATATCTTCAGTTTCGGAGATGGAAAAGAGAGGAATCTTGCACTGAAGGACCAGAGACTGGGAATTGATTGGGTGCGGAAGAATATCGCCGCTTTTGGGGGTAATCCAGTATGTGTCAAGTCGTTGCAGATATCGCTCATGGTCGGTCCTATACTAAGTTCGCAACTGTTACTAGGACAACATCACTCTCGCTGGTGAAAGTGCAGGTGCTGTTTATGTTCATGCACACCTGATCACTGGACCGCCTGTAAAGAGGGCAGTTTTAGCATCTGGATCCCTTTACCTCTCATCTCCGTTGCCCGTGGAGCGAGGCAATGGACTTATCGAGGTCTTGCAAACGAAGGTTCAGGAGCTTGGGCAGCCTTCCCTTCGTGAGGCATCCGTTTCTGCTCTCATACAAGCACTGAAGGAGTGCAATGTGAACACGATGTGGATCCAGGAGGAGCCAGAGCTTGAGAACTGGGAGACCAAGCCGGAACAGGTTGGCGAGCTTATGATAGGTGACACAGAATATGAGGTGCGTTTGATAGTCATTCCATTCCCAGTTATTGGATGTCCATCTCTAACCATGTCTAGTCTGTTATATGGAGGAACGGGGTGGAAACACTAGACGGGGAGACGATTACTGCTGCTTTTGAACAAGACAAGGAATGGGGTACAAAACTGCGAAAGCTGTACCAAGTGGTCGCCGACCGCCCTACAGCCTGTAAGCTGGGCGCTTTAGATTTAGTCAATGACATTCGCTATACACTCCCTGTTGAGGTTATCTCTGAAAAGCTTGCAGCAGCCAACAAGAGAGTGTATAGGTATGTGTTTGACCAAGCCAACCCATGGCAAGCTTCCAGTCGTGCTCATCATGCTGTTGATCTTCTCTATCTGTTCGCGGGGGTTGATTTGTCCTTCAATCCGACTGCAGAAATGGTGGGCCAGGAGACAAGAAAACGTTGGATCCAGTTTGTCAGCGGCGGTAGCCCCTGGTCTTCAGAGCAAAGGTTCGCCTTCGGGCCACTTGGAGATTGCAAAGAAATATCAGAGGTGCAGTTTGCGGGTCGGAGACGAGTAAATCATCTCAAGGCGTTGAAAGAGGCTAGGATGGCTGCGTATATGCCTATCGCTACTGCCCTAACAGCAGGAAAGATTAGTCTCTTGAATTGAAGAGAACAAAGAATCAACAATGAAAGTTTTGATACGCAATAGGAAATGTGGGAAATGCATCATTATTTGTGGCGATGCTTGCTTATACTAATGACATTTTGGTTGTTGGTATAGACCTCTTAGTAGAACGATAGGACCGGGTCTGCAGATGTATGTAGGCGCCTACTACTGAAAATATATTCATTGGATGGCAGAGAGAATCCTTCGCAGCCTTGTGCTATGGGTGTTCTGTTTGTTGCGCAGGCAACTTGAGTCAGTAGCCGCCAAGGTATTCATTCACCTCTTTCCATTGCCAATCATTTTGAGGCCGCCTCGTTGCACTGCCTTTGTTTGAGCTTCCCAGTAGACATAAATTGATGCTCAACCCAACCTCCAATTCACAACTCAGTCTTTTTTTTTATTGTTTTCATTTCCTATTTCAGCTAAACCATTTCTGTCTCTCAAACCTCTGCTTGTATACTTTCAAATAAAGCTACATCTTACGGACTGCCCTCAAGCCATTCATCATGAAGAAAGAGACTTTCGAAAACTCGATGCTGGCCGACCCGGCACTCCTGGACAAGATCGACAAGCTGTTCGCCTGCAACGTGGGTGAGTATATTGATCTCCCACAGCTAGTTGTTGTTGGCGATCAGTCCAGTGGAAAGTCCTCAGTCCTCGAAGGTCTTACCCAGCTGCCATTTCCGCGCGATAGTGGGCTTTGCACTCGATTTGCCACCCAAATTATCTTTCGCAGAGATAGAGGTTTATCCACTCGCAAAGTCATTGCCTCTATCATCCCAGCATCTGAATCAGATGCCGACCGTATTGCTAGACTCAGTGAATGGCGCACTGAGAGTATCGGCGGGTTAGAGCATAATCTTTTCTCCAAAGTCATGCAAGAAGTAAGCCGCAATCCTAAGCTTATCTTAAGCTTTAAGCTAACTCTGTAAAGGTCCATGAAATGATGGGAGTCGGTGGAAACTCAGCTGTGTCGACATTCTCCAAAGATATCCTCCGCTTGGAGATTTCGGGGCCGGAAGAGGACCATTTGAGTGTGATCGACGTACCTGGAATCTTCAAAAATACTACTCCAGGGTTGACTTCCAAGTCTGATATTGCCGTGGTCAGAGAGATGGTAGAAGGCTACATGAAGAACCCTCGGTCTATCATGCTTGCGGTCGTTCCTGCCAACGTTGATATCGCTACCCAAGAAATCATCGAGATGGCTCGCGAGTATGACGCAGAAGGAGAAAGAACTATTGGAGTGCTCACAAAGCCAGACTTGGTGGATAAAGGTGCTGAAAATAAAGTTGTTGATCTTGTATCAGGGAACAAGTTATTTCTTCGGCATGGTTGGATCATAGTCCGCAACTTGAACCAACAGGAGCTGACGGACAGAGACACTGATCGTGACGAGGCAGAAGAGGCTTTCAGTCGGCAGGCACCTTGGAATACAATTGCTAAAGATAGGTTTGGCATCAAGTCTTTGAGATCCCGTCTCCAAGAAACCGTTACTGAGAATGCACGACGCGCATTTCCTTCGGTAGATCTTACTTTTTTTTCAACTCAACTAGAGGATCTCTACTAACTCATCCATAGGTTCGGATGGAAATCAACAAAAGGCTGAAGGAAGCCAAGAGCTCCTTAAAGGCCCTTGGCAACGAGAGGGGGACGGCAGAGCAGCAAGCAGGCTTTCTGTTAGACATTATGAGCAAATTTCAGGAAATCACTTCCCAAGCGTTGAGTACGAGCTACGGTGAGAATGATATCTTCGACGACCATATGGACCTTCGACTTGCCACTATGGTTGTCAACCGAGACACAGTTTTCGCAGAAGACCTCGATCGATATGGCCATGAATACAATTTCAAGACCAATGGCAAAAGGAACCCTGATTCATCTGATGCAGATTCTACGACAGCGCCTTCAGATGAGCCTGGGGACCAGAACGAAGTCCAAACTCGAAAAACGGATAGCATGTCAGAACTCGATGATGTCGTTACTGAGCAGACCTACGAATCTTTTCCCTCTGACAGTGATATCTACGAGTGGTTAAATCAGCTATACCAATCATCTCGTGGATTCGAGATTGGCACGTTCAACGCGTCCTTACTTCCTACTATCATGAAAAAGCAATCAGCCAAGTGGGCTAACTTTGCTAAGGGGTATATTAGCGATGTGATTACAATTGTCCATCAATTTATCGTTAAGGTACTGGAGACTATTTGTGTGGACAAACGTGTATTCAACAACCTTTGTTCAATCATGATAGACAATCTCTTGGACAAGTACCAGCGTGCCCTGGCACAGGTGGACTTCTTGCTCCATGTGGAACGGAACCAGGCGCCCAAGACGCTCAACCACTATTTCAATGAAAATCTCCAAAGATGGTACGCTGGTTCGAACAAGTTTAAGGTATATTAATGCATCTGCTAACAGGTTTCAGCCGCCAAGAACGTTTGCGTTCTAAGCTTGAAAGTAAAGTCATCAGCGACAGCTATTCTGGGGAGCTCGTTCGACTGGAAGACCTTACTGTGTTAAACCACATGAGCAACTCTGAGTACACGGTTCATGATATTCATGATATCCTCGAATCGTACTATAAGGTAGCTCGGAAACGATTTGTAGACAACATTTGCATGCAAGCAGCAGATTATCATCTCATCACCGGGCCAGAGACCCCCACAAAGCTTTTCTCATCCTCGTTGGTCAACAGATTGTCTAAGGATGAGCTCAAGGACATAGCGGGCGAGGATGCATTCACTGTACAGCAACGAATGAACTTGCAAAAGACGATCAGGGAACTTGAAGAGGGTAGGAGGATACTGTTCTAAGGGCAAGTGTTGGTTGGAAGTACAGCGAAGCGAACTGAGGTTGGAGTTTGTGGAAATAGGCAAGTCAAACAGCTGGTATTCTGATAGTCTCAATGCAAAGATGGAATTGAATAAGAAAACGTTTCGGTCAGCAATTCATACGTGAGGTAGCCATGGGTTGCCCTGAGCATTGTGTGACAGCAAAAAGCTAAGGAGAGGCCAGCTCTCACGTATTCTATCCCAGAGGATTGGAGGTTTTCAAGAAGCAAAAAGCAATGACCAGACTGGGGCTCGATCCCAGGACCTTATCGGTGTTAACGATACGTGATAACCAACTACACCATCCGGCCAACTGATGAATTTTAAGTTTAGTATTTGACATCATAACGCAAGGGTAAAAAAAAAACCCCAACAGCAACTACTTGGGTAAGGTTATGTTGTCTGTATCTGTGCACTCGGTAGGCTTTTGTCCTTGCATATCTATAGACCATGTGAAGTAAGCTATGTAGCAGTTATAAATAACAGAGTTAGAGTTGGTTTTAGTCAAGTCAAAGCCTATTGTTTTCAGATTGCGCCGAAATAGAGTATAGTCCACAACAAGCGTTCTATAGAAGGGTATGAACGCAAGGCTATCTCTGTAATGTTAAGCCCAAGCAAAAATGGGCCTCACTGTAAACACCGTTAGATCTAGTTTAATAGAGAAAATACCTTATCACGTACGTAGGTGCTAGGCCTATATGATAGGCCCCGGCATTAACACTCGAATGAATCCATGAATTCACCTTGCCAACATCAGTTCGGTGTAAAGCCCGCCCCCCTGATATATTGGACACCTGGGACCTCACACCCCGCAGGAAGAATGGTATCAAAAGAAGTGCAGACCGTGTGCATCAGGCGATAACTCTCACTGCTCTCCGCCTTTTCTGCTTCCCTTTTTACTGAATATATATATATATATTAACAAAAAGTTCCCATATCATCGGCACTTAGTGTCTGTCAGTGTATTCCTGCTTAGAGGTCAGGTATAAACCTTGAGATTTTTGAACGCAGAAAAGTCAGCCATTTGGACCCAGGTCAGGCACAAGAACAATGATCTGAATCCACAGCTTCAGACTTTTCAAGGGATATACTAGATTCACTTGATATGCGAAATGGCACACCATACTAATATACAGCACATGACGGTCGAGGTAGCCTCGAAGTCCCCATGCTTCCATTTTACTGTGTAAACCACAGTCGCTAGAATTCCTATTTTGCTAAACAACAAGCAGTGTAAGTAAGCAACCTCTATGGAATTGGGGTCTCAATATATATTAAAAAGTTTATTTCTCAATTTCTGCTTTCTTGTTCGAGGCAAATACTGCGTGATGGGCAGGAACGCACCAATATTATTGCTAACACTTATCTAGAAATCTGGGGATCTCGTTCATTGATATATGCTTTACACATTTTCGAAGAGCTAGCCAAAGAAGGAATCGTAAATAGGATATACATCAAACATCCCATCCTTTCTCTTTGAACGCCGCCAACAGAATTTTCTAAAACACGTTTCGAACAAATTCACAGCTTGTAGAATTTGAGGTAGCATATTTATAGTCGGTGTACCAAGGGAAATGAAGTTTTCATCACACCTATCTTATCACCTTCTGTGCTGCTTCCTCGGAGAACTCATACTTCACTCCTCCACAGAAGCATGATCCGGAAGGCATGATGCTTTTAACAGATGGAAAGACAAATTCCTAGCGTCTGGTGTAGAACGAAAGGAGCAGCCCGGGCATATATATTTCCCTCTCATATCATATGGTACGCTACAAAGTTCGGGCTTCGCTGTACAACCAAACGCCGAGAGTATCCACACTCGGCGAATGCACACGGGTAGCTGCGTCAGATGGCCATGGCCAAAGATAGAACCTGTAGAGTGGGCCTGTGCATACTAAGCACCAAGTGAGCATCGATGCTAAAATGTCTGAGGTGCAACGAGGAATTGCAGAGGGGTCACTCCGGGAGAGTAAGCTCTCTCTCCTGTAAAGTCACAAAATTTACGAAACGCCAAGAAGTCTCTACATATTGGTTCTAGGGTAATACTGTACAATATTCAAATTGTTTATGAAGCCTACATGGTTATCAATTGATGCTATGTTTCACTGTCATAAATCGCCCCATTTAGCAAGCTGTATTTTGTACCGATGGCGACCAATATATATATATATTTTTAAAATCAAAATAAAAAGATTCTGCAATAAAGGAAGTTGAAATACAAAGTGACAAGATGATAAGACATCACGGTTCATCTTTCCAAACTTTAGAAAGAAACTCGTCCACAGTGGTTAATTTCAGATGAGGAAGAAGTTGGTTCCACTCATTCGAGACCTCCCATGCCCCTTTAAGACCTCCAAGGATAAGCTCAGCAATAACATATTCAGAGAATGTTCCCCAGTCCGAGTCCACTTGTGTATCGGGATGCCTGGGGAGCATTGGGATCCATGATGTTTTCAATCTCCCAGCCTCAAGGTTCTCCCGCGACACAGTTTCAGTTTTAAAAGGACCTGGTACAAGTGTTAACGGCAAAAGCGAAAATTTGCCCACCAGCGATATATGACTGACCTCGGATAGACTCTGCGAGCTTAATAAGTTCAGAGTTGGAGATCAATGAGCCAGTAATTCCTCCAATCTCTGGCCAAGTGTTTTGGTACCCAAGAGCTTCAGTAACAACCTTGGCCATGTCCTGTACAGTGGTCAAGGTAACTCGATAGTCTTCTCCGGCAGGTATGATAGCGCGACGATTTTTCATGTCCCACTGGTTGGTAAAGATGGGAGTATAAGTTGTCGACGGAATGGGGAAGCTGAGATAATTCATGAAGTTACCAGGTTGGAAGAGGCAGTATTCCAGACACCTATTCTTTCTGTTCACTTCTTTCAGATACTCATAGACGCGGTCTTTTTCTTGGAACGTAAAGATTCCGCTATTGCTTCGTCTATAGAACTGTTAGCATTTCTTTGTTCACCAGGAGCGAATGACAGTTTCCATGGCTCACGCAGCCCATTCGTTTGGTGCAAATCGTTTGACCCCAGCTTCAATGCAGGCATCGATTAATTTTGTCTGTACATCGAAGCTAGATATAAAGCAAAGCACAGAATTCACGGCTTCTAAATTCTTGGCCAGGCTGGTTTTATTATTGTAGTCAACAACAACGAATTCAACCCCAGGTTGCGTATGCTTAGGGGTGCCCTAAATACCGCTTTGTATAAGAGTGAGAAAGTTAAGGGAAGAACATTAAATTTACAGCTCGAGTGAAGATTATCACCTCATGCTTTCCAGAATCGACCAGCGCAGCAACTACCTCCTGTGCGACAGCTTATATAAGGTAGAGAGTATCAGTCAATGTGCAACATGACATTCATTATGTGGACTTGACTTACGTCCAGTGCCTCCTGCCACAACAACGCGAACCATGGTGATGGACAGAGAATATGATCACAAACCATCTAGAATGAATTGCCATGATGGTCTGGGGGAACTTTGCCCACTTATACTCTCTTTCTTACACATGCCAGGCTCAAATTGGGAGCGCACGATATGAGAAAACCCTTAGTAATGAACGAATTCTGTGGGATATCTACTTGAGTTAACAACGTAGCCAGATCCCGGAAGTTGCAGTACCCGGTATCCGGGTCTTCACCGGATGTTCGGTGACTGCAAATCCGGACAAGGCTACTATTAATTTGAATTTTATCCTCCACAGTGGAGTGAGGTTGTTCCTACTACAGTTGGTCTATCCCTCAGAAGTGGGTAATCTGTACTACTTTGAAAGTGGCATGTTACACCTCCCATAACTTTTTGTGGTTTATTTGATGACTGATTCGCATTGAACTGGAGAAATTATTACTCGGCTAATGTTATTGGAAGGTTGTCCGAGCCCATATCATTGTGGGGTCTGTTCCATACATTCCTAATTTGACGTTAATCTTCATCCTGAAAGTGCTACCGGACAGGGTAACAGATGTTCAAAGCATGGACGGCTCTCATAGTAGCAAGATTAGTCGGGGCATACTCCATTAGGGCATCCCGCCCTCTTAAGGCATCGTGGACCGCCAAGTGCTTCATATTCATGTTGCTGCTAAATCGAGCAAGAAATATTAGGTTTAAGAGAGCAAAGTATGTACTATACATCGGGAACCAATGAGAATCTAGTTGTGGCGTCTGAGACCGTCTGGACAATCTCGCGTGTGCCCTGAGAATGTGTGATCGTATTCAAGTAATGCAGAAATGGTCGATAAAGTAGCATCTGTGCGTGGAAGAAAGAGATTTGAAGGGTTGTTTGAGCACTGTTTCATATGAGAACACTTTCAAAAAGGCTTGGTAAAGGGGATGACGGACAGGGCCATAGCAGGAAGTGAGGGGTTCGTAGCATTGCTGAGAGTTGTGAAATGTATCATCCACTTTTGCAATCTTTGCTACACAGCATGCACTGCTGGAAGCTCAATCCGAAAGTGGCTACGGGTGGACTTTCGGCCATAGGTGGGATAAACCTCTTGGATAAGAGAGAGAAGAATTAAAGTTCAATGTCACAGTTCATATAAGCCATAAGACTAACACTCCAGTAGGCATGGAGTTGATCCCATTTTAGGTCACATATTCATCATCCACCTCCAGGGTATACTCTTGATCTATGCCTTCTTCTCGGAACAAAGGTGGCGTACAAGGAGAACACTTAAGAAGAGGCCCACATGGCTTAGCGCCCAGAAAATCCGTTTCCTACATTCCTTCACGATTGGGGTCCAATAGGCTTCAGGATAGATCATATTTTTTGTGGTCGTTGTCCAAGCATTTCCAGCTTCCATATTGCTCTAGGTGATGTTTGTGGGCGGCTCTTGTAGAAGCACCCTAAAAGGTTATCGAGTGGATACTGAAAATCGAGGGTGGCGGTGTCAACAAAAACGTACTGTCCCCAATCCCAACGCATGACGCGTAGGGATATTGCCTGTTGCACCGCAGCCTTCTTCAGGAACATCTTTCGCAATTTTTGGAAGTCCCCCTCCGCTGCGCTTGGTTTGACGCTCTCAGGCAAGGAGTCATTGCCTGTAGTTTGCCGGATTATAGAGGTCCTGCTCTCTACATTGGAAGTCTATGTAGCGTGGTCTAGTACTTAGATAAGAGAAATTTCCAGAGAATATACTCTGTCTGACAATTGTAAGTTATGCTGGAGCCCTCTTTTCTGGTCAAAGCTTTGATTGATTGTTAAGCAATGTGCATACGTTACTAGCACTGCGACCATCGATTGATAAGCTATTGGAAATGCCAAATCACCGGTCGACCAAATACCGAGAATAGGCTCACTTGTTTCAACTTTCAGTCGCCGGAGGAGAGACCGTGTTTTACTCGGTGAATGAGTTTTGATATCACTCACCCATTTGTCATTGGCCATGTGCCTTCTCCTGGATGTTTAATAAATACGCCCACCCTTCGGCTGTGAGTCCAGATACATCGATAGCAATATATCCAACTATAGGTTGTTGTTTCATTGTTCAACATACACAAGATGGTTCTCACTGGAAGCTGCATGTGCGGTAAAATTAAGTATCAGGCTGATGGCAAGGACCCCCCCCCCCCCTTTAGCCCAACCTCAAAAGCACTGTCAATAGGACTTGCTAATTTTCTTCTGTCTTTAGCCGAGCCTGCTGTAAAGGCAGTATGCCACTGTCTGAATTGCCAAAAGGTATGCATAGACTCTTTACCGCCACTGTTAGGCGCAACCCTAATGCCAATATAGTTCAGTGGATCTGCCTTCACTACAAATTTTATTATTCCTCGATCAGCCTTTAAGGTTGTGTTTGGTATGCAGTAAACATTCTCTGATAGTCTCTGGTATCTAATACAACTTTCACAGGTAGCCCCAAGTCTGGCGAGTATTTAGCCGACTCCGGGTATAAATATCATACATTCTTTTGCGGAGATTGCGGATCTTCTCTCTACGGCCAACCAGAGTCTTTGCCCGAAATGATGTCTATCAAAGCCGGGTCGTTGGATCCAGAGCAAGCACGGCTTGCAGATGGGAATATTGATGCTGAAGCTTTTGTCAAGCGGCGTGTGACCTACCTGAAGCCCATTGACGGAGCGAGCCAAGTCGAAGGTATGATCCAGGCATGAGCTGGAAATGCAGCAGTAGTTTTTGATGGGCTGTATAATTTATCGGGGTCATCCCATTAGCTAGTGCTACATATTACATGTCAATAGATAGAACTACGGTGAATTGGCATCACTTGACATTTACCAATGCGTTGTCTGTTCAAATTAGAAGCAATGTAGACACCTATAAGTCACTAGAATTGCTTACAGCCTCTTCTTATATTTTTCCTCTTTACCCCTTTACTGTGTATAGAATCATAGTTAGTATACCGTGTACGAGATTCAGAAGACCATTTCAACAAACTAGAGAAACAGATACCCCAAGGTATGCAAACTCCAACCTACATAAAGAGAAAAATCTTTCTGCTACCAGGTTATGGAATAGTGAAGAATGGAATATCTGTTATTCTCTCGCCTATCGCAAAGGGTGTAGCCAAAAGCCTAACCGATCCCGCAGTTCCCAACGTAGATTTGAGGACAGAGACACATTTGATTTTAAGATTAAAGTGCGCATCGTATGATTACGAACCTCATACTGCTTACCGCTTTCTTTTCTTTTGTTTTAATTTTACTTTTAGTTTTTCTGTTGTTGTTGTTGTTGTTTCTAGTGGCAAGCGTCAATAGGCTCTGTCCGCTAGGTAGTATTCGGCGTTTGCCATCTGGGCGAGCAAAGGCCGAGTCATGACATCGGTGTTAACTCAAATTTCTAATCAGAGTTATCAATCTAGAACTGAATTAGTCAAGCAGGTTGCTAGCTATACGGTCTGTATCGCATAAAATGGAATCAAGTTTCCTTAAGTTCATGGACTACAATCCAAAAAATCCCAGAGAATCACATTCTAGACATTTACTAAATCTGCTTATTACCCTGTTAATCAGCGACTCCAAATTCCACGCTACTACCTCAACATGGCCACTACCACGATGAAGCAATGGGTTATCGAACATCCAGACAAGGAAATGAAAGGTATGAAATTGGCCGAAGTTCCTCTTCCTCAGGTTGGTGGTCGTGGGGTCTTGGTGAAATTCCAAGCGGCTGCTCTTAATTACCGCGATTGTGCTATCGCAAAGGTGAGATTAGCTATATAGCTATACAAGCCTCTTAAGGTAATAGTCCCCGAACTAACTAAGTTTATAGGGGACATTTCCATTTGCTCACAAATATCCCATCGTGCCTGTTTCCGATGGCACTGGTGTGGTCGTCCAAGTTGGCCCTGAAGTTAGAGAATTTAAAGAAGGTGACATAGTCATGACTATCTTTAATCAGGGCCATCAGTATGGCGACATTGATCCTTATGCCGCATCAACTGGTGTTGGCGGTACAATCGACGGTGTTCTCCGTCAGTATGGTGTTTATGACGAGTCTGGATTGGTTAAAGCTCCAAGGAATCTCAGTGCTCTGGAGAGCAGCACTCTCCCAGGCGCAGCACTTACAAGTTGGAATGCATTATATGGACTCCGGCCAGTTAAGGCAGGGCAATATGTGCTGGTTCAGGGAACTGGAGGTGTTAGTGTCTTTGGTCTACAGGTATGTCTTGTGGTTATTTATAATGCTTTTGGACTTTTGACTCCGCCCGTCCAGAGTCATCCCTCTATTACGAAGGCTAACAGGGTGGCTACTTGTAGTTGGCTAAAGCTGCAGGTGCAACGGTTATTGCTACAACCTCCTCTGAGGAAAAGGTTAAGATATTGAAGCAGCTAGGAGCTGACCATGTTCTTAACTACCGATCTAACCCAAATTGGGGTGAACTTGCTCGTCAGCTTACCGCAGATCAACAGGGAGTTGACTATATCATCGACATTGGTGGCACAGATACACTTGAACAGAGCTTGAAATGTATAAAAATGGATGGAATCATCAATTTGGTTGGCTTCTTAGGTGCCAGTGATAAGCCTCAGCCAGGGCTTCTTGAAGCCCTGAGCCATGTCTGCACAGTTAGAGGTATCTATGTGGGCAGCCGTGCTATGCTTAAAGATATGGTCCGGGCATTTGAGGCAAACGACATCCATCCTGTGGTTGATGAGAAAGCTTTCACTCTTGAGCAAGGAAAGGAAGCATTTGAATATCTGGTAAGTCATGAATGATATGTGCTTTCTCGAATTTTAAGTACTAATTCACTCCGGCACAGGCTGCCCAGAGACATATTGGAAAGGTCGTTGTGCAGATCAACTAGCTTGAACTGTATATGCTGGAGACCATCGTCTACTGGTGTTTGAGTCAACATACGAGGGGAAACACTGTTTATTAACAGTTTATGCGTCCTTTTTTCTCTTTGGCATCTCTATAACTATGGCTGAAGGAGTCTTTGCAAGATATCTGTGTTTTTCTGGGCTTTGTTCTCTAATCTCTAAGTCTACTACTATATATATATATTGAAAGTTGTGTTGAATCCGCTCCTGTTATTGTTATTCTGTTTTCTGGTTCCAGAGCTTGCAGGTATTCTACCGTTCAGTGTCCAATAGCTTTTCCGTTCGTCTTCACCGTCTCTTTTGTTCTGCCGCTCTGTTTCTTTTCTCTCCGCTTTTTTCTTTCTTTCTGTGTTGTCCCTTCCTTATCTACCTCTATCGTCTAGTACTTCTATCTATTGTGCTGCTGGGCTCCCGTTTTCATCCTTTCTTGATTCTCTCTGGATCTTCGCCTGGCGTATATTACCTTTGCCATCTTCTGCACCTCTGCGTGCCTGTGTTATGTTTATAGAATCACTGTGTTTGCCCTTACGGTCTATGCGGCTGTGACATCGACCTCGATGGCCTCACTATCGATACCGCTGGCCTCTAGTTCAATAACACTGTGGGGCCTTCGACTTTGGCCCGGCAGACAACTCTCCGGCAGTCCCACCGCAGCGAAGGAGCAATGAATATGTTGCGAACAATCGTTGCGATAACTCATTGCTCAAAGGAAAATAAATCATCATCACTTGCCTGAGTCTTGTGAATCGTTGCAGTCACCCCGCGGGAATTGCAGACTTGATGAATGATGGCGGCGCAAGATATTTCTCATGGAACTTCACAAACCTGTACTACGGTGGCTTGGCTACTATCGAATTCAGACAGGCACTAGGGGCAATTGGCGAAGCAATGTGTATACCATGGGTAGAGTTTGTGGTACCTTTCGTTCATGGGTCTAAGATGACCTCATCCTATCGGGACCTTCTTCAGTACTCTCGAGATGTCGAGGGGCTTCGCAGGTTCCTTACAAGACATGAAGTCTCTAAGTTCAAACATTCTCTCTTGGGCCATATTTTCCGAGGGAAATCCGGATTTGTGCTACCAAAAGCTGTCCGAACTTTGAGCGAGGAAGAGCGGACAGCGTCGCGGGCAAAGATAGAAGAGGGTCGCAAGAAAAATCTTATGATAACGAAGCTTGGTCTGAAGCCCAATTAGAAAGCATCTTTCTAGCTAATTGTCGCGCAGTAAATCCAGGAGAAGCAACTTAACAATACATGGAGCATTAGTCCAATCTCTACTGTCATGAAGTTAACTACGTAGGGATTACATAAATCTTCTCTCATTCCAGAAACACGCAGTGGTAATGATTCAAGTCTATCTGAATGATTCGATATTCTCACTGCGCTTGAATTAGCCTGGCCTCCTTGTCCAGTAGGGTGGACATCCTCCACGCATCTAACAGCAAGTCCTGCAAGCTTCTGAGGGGCAAGAGGTTCAGACCCAGGCCTGACACTCCAACTTACTCTGCCAATCCAGTCCAACCAACCGAACTTCGACTTGAACCGCTTTTCGAACCCTATAGGAAGCCAGGTACCTTTCGAAGCGTTTTGACACAATCAGAATGAGCGAGAACCGGAGACCACTCCCCCCGCCATCCCTCATGGTTCGCAAATTCCTCGAATACAAGGCTTCGGAAGATCCACGGTTACCTTTCGCATCCCAAGCCAGATCCCCTAGATATTCCGAAACAGACTGGCCACAGACGCCTTTGAGTGAAGGTTATTTCTTCTTCTAGGGGACACTGATGGACTCCTCCACACTTGCCAGAGTTCTGCAATTGTCTGAGCCTCCACGAATGCGACCAGTCAGAGTGATAGGCTACACGACCAAGCTCTGGGGAAAGTACCCGGTCCTTGTCAAAGGAAAGCCATTTCAACCAGTTGACGGCTTAGCCTACAAAATTCGTCTGCGGGAGGATTGGGATCGGCTTCTTGTTTACCATTCCGATCATTATGATCTGGGATATATTTTGATTGACTTTCTTGACACCGGAGAAAACGAAGTCGTGGGGTTTGCCTTTGAGTGGAAGGGAGACCCCGAAGAGTTGCGAAATGGGAGCTTTAGCTTGGAAAAGTGGCTGCAGGAACGGGACTTGACCGGATCAAAATGACAGCATGGGTGCGGACAGACATCGAAGGATAAAACAGGTTTTGCGTCTCAGATTATGGACTTCCGGGGTTTAGTTGTTGATGTGAAGAACTTGCGTATAGCTATTTGTGTTGAATAAGTTGATTGCAACTCCTGAACTGTCTCCCGACTCATCCAATTTAGCCGCCATGAAGATCACCTCCTCTGGCTTTTTCACCAGGTTTACTTTCTCCTGTTCTACCCCTGGCAGTTCTAGAACAACCTTAAATCCGTACCAACTCCATGGTATGGAGTACTAGCTACAGGACTTCGTTTACAAGAGACCCATCACAACTAGCAGCCCACATAAGCGCCAACTTCTCATAATCTAATGCGCATCTAAGCTTCTTGCACGAAAACTCAGTGGATTTCCACGAAACTCCACACTTATGTATTTACTTAGCCAACACTAGATGACTCATAGCTAATTTCGTCCGTTTCCTCGGAGACTGGGAAACCTCGCTGTCAGGGAACGGGCCCCTGACGAAGATCAAACGAGGGAGGAATTATTACCATCTATAATTCAGATTCATGTCTATACCATTGTATTAATGACTAGACTACGGTATAATTGACATCTTTCAGCCTCTAGGACGCGTCGATTATATTAATTAGTACTCTGGAAAGGCCCCGGAAAGCCTCCCAGTCCGAGAAGCCAGCAGGAGCAAAAGTAGTCTAACTGAGAGCGATATAGCCCTTCTACTGGTCGGCCGCTTCGGACCCTGACAGTCCCGCAGTCTCTAGGGCTCATAGGGGTTTTGTGATGATACAGCGTACTTAGGGCTACAGACACGTAGATCTATATATAGTGCGTGTGCAGACACATTACCAGGTAGTATATACAGTATACAGGAAGATAGATGCTTGCAAAATGTCTGAGGTGGTCAACACAGCAGCTTTTTAAAGTCTTTGAATTAATCGAGAATTTTAATATAGCCACCGTGAAATCTGGCAAACACTAGACATTATCGGTTCTGAGGTGTTGCGAACGTTATGAGCCTAGTTTCATAAGGCGCTCGATCGAGCTTTACAGGACATCGCATTTCAGACACTATAGGCATTCTAGTGGAAGCCGAGGAAAAATGATGCCTGGCGACCAAAGCGAGAGGGACAACGGAGTGGCAGATCTCGGCGATTTGGATCAATAGCAAAATATCTCACCAACACTGTTAAATACAGAGGCGGAACATGCTAAGAAGGAAAGGGGGCAAAAGAGGCAAAAACATTGACCAGACTGGGGCTCGATCCCAGGACCTTATCGGTGTTAACGATACGTGATAACCAACTACACCATCCGGCCGAATGATAGAATTAACAGTTCTTTTAGACAACATAAGCCAGGGTGGGTCCGCCAGGCACAATCTCCAGTGGAAGATATTCGAGATCATTCACCCTCAGATCTTAATGTTATGTTGGCATAACCAAGCTCGTTATTTTGTCTTTCAAATAAAACACGGGTCTTTTGCAACATACTGTTAACTGACACATAACTCATGAGTGACATGTTACCCACTGTGTATTTCATGCTGTAGCTTCCATGCCTGTCCGAGGGTCTCGCCAACAGTGTGCTAAATTATATATCATACCTTTAACTGTATTCCGTAGCTCCGACCATACATACTACCCTCCGGTAACCCGTCAATAGTCAATACCATGAAACACAAAGTAACTAGTACCCATAAATTCAATATCCATGGTAGCGAGAGCAATCATATTCAGCTTATCAAAAACTAGTAAAGACGGCCGAAGGTCTGATGAACCAATTATACACATAAACCTCATATGGATATTGAGTTTGGAGGTAGTCAGAATATCGAGATGGGCAAAAAGGGGTTGGTATCTCCACACTATATAGTAATGACAAGGGGTTGCCCATTCAAAGATTGCTTGCATATATGCACTTTTTAAACTTAGGGCTCTGGATGGCCTAGTCTAGGAGAAGAGACTTTTGGCAACGCTGTGTTTATTTAGCCTTATAATGTCAAATAAAAACAGCACAATTCATCAGTTGGCCGGATGGTGTAGTTGGTTATCACGTATCGTTAACACCGATAAGGTCCTGGGATCGAGCCCCAGTCTGGTCAATGTTTTTGCCTCTTTTGCTCAGTCACCATTTTCTGGCTCCTTGTGTCCAATTCTACCTTTTTGGACTCGTCTACACCACTCCCTAGCAGATACAGGGAAGCCAGCCTGTTTAAGCATCATTCCATACCAATCACCCTTGTTGTATACTCACCAACTCTTCCAGTCCCGTGCAAACTGAGACCAAGCAGCCCTATTCAGAGTCCTAACATATATCCTGGTGGGATACGTCCTGGCAACCCACCACACTCGTGCTGCGTACTCCATGGATAGATTACATACATTGCTCTTCGTACATTGCTCTCCGATCTTAGAGGAGCCAACCATTGTGGCTCGGCTAATAAGCGAAACTTAGGAATGTGTCCTCAGGTATTTACATAGCCATTTATCTGATCCCCGAGTGAGTCCAAGACGTGATTATGGCTCCGCGAGACTTTGAGTGTGTTGAATTCTGACATGGAAAACGAGGACCTAAACTGGATAATTCACCAATGACGGCTGCAGAAGCGGTGCCACAAGAGAACACTGATAGATTGTCACGAAATAGGCATGCTGGTGAGAGCCCCCATGGGACTTTAATGTCATCACACGGAGAGAAAATAGGTACAAATGGTGCTTAGGAATACATTGACGCAGTGAACCAAGCATACCATTAAGGCCACTAGCGATATCATTGAAACCTTAGAGGTTAAAGAAAACTCCTGGCTGCTGCAGTGGATAGACCAAAGTAGAAAGATTGAACTGTCGACTCAACTTGGAAACCTTGGGCCGCCGGATGTTTGTATCGATATGCACTTTATTGCGTTCCACCCTGCTTCACACTTTGGCTATGTATCGATGGTAGAGATCTTTGATTTGAGTCTTAATAGCAGAGAGATCTAATTCATTAATAGCAACAGCTGTCAGGCATTGTGCTGGGCCCGGAGACAAAGACATATGAACACGGCTCAGATGTTGTGCGAATATAAAGCCGAAATCAAGATTATCAAATATGGACAAATGCCAGGTTTGACTGTCTTGCATCAAGCCGTTGAGTCAATAAATTATGAGATTGTTGCGTATCTTATCAAGCATGACGCTCAAGTCAACGTCATTGATGAGGATTCTGGAACACCCTTATCGCTGTGACCAGCGAGAACCTTGCTATTGTGAAGTAGCTATTGGAGATAAGTCGACCCAAACCTACAGGCTGGAGAGGAAGTGGCACCGCTGAATGCGGCTATATATGCCGACAACCTGGGCATTTGTCTTACCTTGTCCATTCTGGGGCCTACTGAACGCGAACATGGAACATAAAAGGTGGCAATCCTTGCTCGTGTAGTAACAATGCCATAGTTCACCATCTCCTCGAAAAGTAACATAAGGAGAATTGGTAGCGGTTCAAGCCGCTCGGAAGACCACCTTATGGGGGTTACTGGGATATGACCCGCATTCAATGATGGCTCCTTGGACAGTAGTAATAGCCTTGGATTTGTTAAAAGCATCGACAATAGGGGAAGAACAGTTGCCAAGGATTTGAAGTAAGCAGCAAGAGTAAATAGTAAATTCAAGAAGAGTTTCTCCCAAGGCTATCCGACACCTCGGCCTTATCCTGGATCCAATGCCCTTCACCATACATGGAGTTATGGGGACGGGAAAGAGAACCTACCTTTAGCTAGCATGCTTTTGATATGTAAGTATTTGGCCAGTTTGAAGTGACTATCTCATGATGAATAGATTGAGCCTCGAGATTCTAGTCTCATAGTAGGTGCTGTTCCTGGTTGCGTGACAAAGGAGAATAAAAGTTTTACAGCTCATCTCCTATCTTAGCTATTTGTTGTCACTACTCAAGAATAACTATACATAAACAGTTAACTTTCAGCCGACAGTGAGCGTTTTGGAGATACTTACTGAATGTAATAGGGCTGAGCTTTCGTTCAATTCTTGTTTGACCTACCGCAGAAGGACGACTGTGACCATACTACTAGTAGTAGCACCATTGAGGGTTATTGGAATGGCAGTCTGGGAGGTGTCTATCGGTAAGCTTTTCTTTTTGTAGTCAAAAATCAAAAAAGTCATTCAACAATTGGCCGGATGGTGTAGTTGGTTATCACGTATCGTTAACACCGATAAGGTCCTGGGATCGAGCCCCAGTCTGGTCATTGCTTTTTGCATCATTTATCTTCCTGGATACTACCCGGAAGCCCCCCCCTTTTTTTTTACCCCTTCTCTTTGTTGTATTCCTCTCGATATAGTTCTGCAGTAACTTGTGAAACCAGCGAGACCCGTTCCGCGGAATTAATTTTTCGGAATACCACTTGTGGATTCATATATTTTTCCCCGTTCTAATTTAATTCATGCCAAAGAAAACAATAGCATCAAAGTCTGGGCACTATATTTTATACCCGACTTTAAGACTATTAGACCTTTGTTACCTGGCCGAACAGGCATTAGCCCGCGGCGCGTTGCATTTCGAAGATAGCAGGACTAGATGCTATACCATATGCCCTATTGGAAATTACGGACATAGGTTTATATTGACTATAGATCAGTAAACATATGTCTATATACTTGATGACAGTCTCTCCATCTATAAGTAAAACTGATTGTAATCTTACTGAGGCAGACTGAATCCTAGTCTGCATTGGCGGCATACAACACCTAAGTATTATGTCACCCATACCTACTTCAAGCGTCGACGCCTACTTATGACGTCCTTGAGACTCGTCATCACATCCTCGGCGTAGCCTTTCTCCTTCAGAAATCGTCAAATCACGACTGCACTCTACCTTGCCACATTTCTTAGCTACATCGCGCTCGAAACTATAATCTGTCATGTCTGAACGTCCACAAATCGAACTACCCCAAGCAGAGGATCTGGAAAGAGGCAACTCCTCTAGGCAAAATGATACGACAGAGCATCCCGAGCCCACATACCAACGGCCAAACCAAAGAAACCCGGTATTGGGAAGCACGGCTCTCCAAGACGTTGACCTAGAAAGAGGGGAGGGTCTTGGGACTTCTACCATCAACAAAAACCAAAAGGCTTCCAAGAAGAAGAGATATATTTTTGGAGTTCCCGATAACCCCTTTGATGACTCGGAATCGGACAATGAATGGATGCGGCGCGATGGTAAGACATACCTTTGTCCTGGACTCGATCTGAAAGCTAATCGTTTCACAGATGAGAATGAGCCAAAGACAGAGAACAACAATTCCGAACAAAGGTCTGAGCAGCACCACGATACTTGCTGTCAGAGTATTTCGAGGGGCGCCCATAAGATACCATTCGTAGCGTACGTTTGGTTCACTATCTTTATAGGTCTCTTGCTTCTAGGAGTCGGCGTGGCTCTTCTAGTATTATTTCCTAGGAGAAAGAAATAAGCTCCTGCTCTTTTTGGGGCAATGTTTTGAGATCAGTTGTACCTTATTCGGAGAATGATGGTGAGTTTGGTTTTTTGGGGAACTTGGCTGGCATATTCTCGGCACTTGATTAATGGGAATTTGGCATTATTTATGTCTTTTTGGCTGCAGGTTGGTGGTGGACTTTGCTGGGATCTTATATCATGAAATTTATATTATATCGGGCCTACAATATGGACGTACTGCTCAGGATATCATCTTTAATTGGCCTGCAGGACCTTAAATCTCATTATAGCTTGCACTTGAATTGTAAGGCACTTGGTTAACCCTTCATTGTGGTAGTTTTATAGTGGTCTCGAGAGAATTCCTGAGGATCAGGACCTTAGTCCCAGAGTAGTCTGAATAAACAGAATCTACTTGAGACCGCGAATCATGGCCTTACCCATTATGTGAATATGCTTCAACAAGTCAAATCATTTGGCGAGACACAGTTGATATGCCTTCTAGTAGTACTGCGGTATCGCCCACAATAGGGCATTATGTCGTAATGAAGCATGACAACTACATATGAAGTCAACCACGGATCTATCCTGAGTCATATAGCGATTAACTTCGACATCCTCTCCAGCCTTGAGTTCCTTCTAGCTGGAACATTTTCACAACTCAGCCTGAATAGCACCTCGCGCATGACTTTATCATGTCTCCATCTACGGAAACACCACCGCTATATGATCTCGAGAGAGGCGAGGGTATTGGGTATGAGCCCCCCCAGGCCAATAGCGCAGAAATATACCCATCTACACAAGATTTAACTCGATGTCCTAGTCTAGATAGGCCTCCATCATACAAGAGCCAAGACCAAACTCGGCAGAATAGTAAGAGCAAGAACTACAAGAATTACACGGGAAGTATTTGTGTACATGTATGATTAATTTAATATTTGTCAGCAGATTCGCTGAAGCTCAAATATTCGAAATGCCTTAATATGAAAGAGATGTGGGGAACGATCATTTCCAAAGCTCACAAAGTCGGGGACCAGACTGTCGAGACCACTTGTGCTATTCTCCGCGCAGTATTCTCGATGTTCAAACAAGTTTTGAAATGGATAACCACAGGAGTATTAGCTGCGGGGATAATTATTGGCGATATATTATGTTATCTAATATGCTGGATATTTATCATTACCTGTGGTGTTGTTGCTGTTGGGATCCCTCTTGGGGGGATTGGATATCTTATTTACTGGACTGTCCGCGCCGAACAGCACCGATGACTTTGGATTGCGGATGCTACAGTGCCTGGCAAGAACTGCACCTGGTATTTTAACGGTTTTAACGGATCTGAAAGCCTTAGCAATCACTGGATTTGGGCTATACCAAAGAACTTCGTTATCAAGGAAGGTCTGTCTAATATTGTGCTCTACCCGGTGGGCGAGCCACTTGCTTATTCGGTCTACTTTTGGCCATATTGTCTGACGTGATTCGAGGCACTGGGTGAGTCGGAATGAATGAGTCTTACATTGATTGTGTGGTTATGCGGTTGATATTTTCCTGGGTCTATGGCTCTAAGGGATATGTTTTGTTGATTGGAAGGTGGTTGAAAATCTAAACTTCACAATTTGTTTCGTGTCGCTGTTTATTTACCAAGACATGGTAAGAGTTTAGAAGAAGGGCCAAAGAAAATGTTATCCTATCTAAGTACCAGTGAAGGTCTTACCTCTGGAGAGATTTGAAGTTGAGTATACATTGCAGTGAGAGGTGAAGCGCAGGCGAGCATTAATAGATGTTTGGCAAATTCACCGAGACAAACAAAGCCTAGGAAAGTCTATTCTAGACACTATGTAGAACCATGTTGGTCGAAGCAGAGCTCAATTTGATTCGAATCCATCGGGTGTAGTGCCTCCGGCATGGAGGAAAATGCTCTTCAGAACCTCAGCAGACTGAACTAAACTGTCGTGATCTAGCTCCGCAAAGGTCCCCGATTCAAAATCAAGGGTGTCCTTGAATTCCCTCGTATTACATGCCCAACATTCCTCCACATATTCTTGGCCAGCTTTCCCAATCATAGAGTCATTGCCCGCGAAATACGCCCTTACCTTCAGCTTTTCCTCTCCTGCCCGTCTATGTCTCCTTCCCTCAAGATTTGCTAACTCCTTCACGTAAGTCCCGTAGTCATCGCACTTTCCCCATGTCTTTCCACTATCAGACCCCTTCCGCAAACACTGTAAAGCCTCACTGTTTGCACCGACAGTGCTTTCCTCGAACATGAACTGGAAAGTCAGACTATCGAGTTCGGCCTGCACATCTCGAGAGAGTCCGTACTCATTCTCAATTTGTCGTCGGTTCCTCTCTAACTCCGTCGTGTTGTCTTCACCGCTACTGAAACCAGAGCCGGAGGAGATAACGTCTGAGGTCTTCGTGATAGCAACCCCACTTGAGGTAAAAGCCGGACCCGCTTTCAAAAGAAGAAACTTTGGAATCAGATTCCAGATGCTGAATGCTTTGACCGGTACATATTGGGCCATTTGCATGGACGTGACGTGGGAATGAGAAGGATCTACCCAGGGTGCTATCTTCGTTAATATTTGGAGCAAACAAAATACCAAAGGAGTCGAAGGAAATACCCAAAAAAGCGACGAATGGTCTCTCTGGATGGAGAAGGTCACGACAATGGAACAGGGTATTCAATAAATAAATGGTCCCGGCACAATGTGAGACCAGCGCTACATGATCGACTTCTAGATGCGCTAGGAGACGGGGCACTATTTCGATCCAGGTGGAGAGTCGTTGATCTAGCGGGACGTCGGTGGAGTTGCCCATTCCGGGGCTGTTTTGGATGGTTAGCATTGAGAAAGACCACGGGTGTTGGGATAAGTGGAACAACCGATCGACTATCAAGACACGCACGCCATGTTTCTCTGCAATTGCATGTATAAATACGCCGAGATATCGGGAGGCGAACATGCCCGGCATAAAGAGGATGGTTCGAGGATTCAGATTCGTTGAACTGGGAGTGGCTCCGACGTCCGCATAAGTGAAGGTGAGGCTGTCATGCTCCGCCGTGGCGGGGAGTGTGTAGCGGCGGTGGAAACGAGAGTTGGAGATGTAGCCAAGAGCAATGGCGCGCGGGGAATTAGAGTCGGCGGACATGATTATCCTTGTGTCTTTCCCGGCGTTGTTCGATACCTGTGAATGATAATGTTCAAGGTTGGTCAAGGTATGGAGAGTTGTAGTGGAGATATTCAGGTTTGGATTAATGCAGTTGCCTGGCTGGTGGCTTCACCAGCTGACGGGCTTCCAACTTACTAAGTAATTATCCTTTAGGACCATTTAGACCTAGGCGTCCAACTCTACTAAGCCTGCTTACAAACGTTTTATCAATACTCAAAAGTAGTAAGATTATATTTCAAGTTAGCCATACGCCTGGCTAGACACCAACTAGTATTTAAAGTACTTATAGCTGCCAAGACATCTTTGGGGGCCAAATTTAGCCTATACTAAAACATAACGAGATACTTGGCAGGCTAGATACTCAGCAGAGGTGTTAGGTAAAAGGACTTTTACTATGTTATAATATAAACCGAATATCTATAGACGCTAGAGGTTAAGGTAGCTTTGGAGGCCAAGTCTAGCCCGCGCTAAGATATGACTAGATACTTGGCAGGTTGGATGATCAGCAGAGGCGTTAGGGAAGAGGACTATTGCAGGAAAACTATTTTATAAAAAGAACCAAATATCTACAGTCTACAGATGCTAAAACATCTTTGGGGGCCAAGTCCACGCTAAGACATAACTAGGTACTTCGCAACGTCGGACGGTTAACCGAGGCTAATACCAACTTTGATCGTCAAGCCTATAGAAAGTTTATTGAGGTGAGCAATATACCTTATGAACCACTTTAGAGGCCTTCACAAGACAAACAGTAGTAGCACCGCGCGACTTGGCTAGACTAGGTTCGCCGCTAGATTCAAAATATCCCACGATCTCAGCGTAGGCCGGGCTTGGCCTCCAAACATGCCGTGGCAGTAATAAGTCTTGACTAAATAGTAATCAGTAGTCAACGGCCAATAGACACTGCACTCCACATAGCTAACTCTAACGGGCTAAGTGACAAGGCTAGTGACTAATTTTATAGAAACCCTCAAACTATCTGTGATTAGCGCTACCTGAATACAACCTTGAGGCCTTTATAATACAACTCTCAGTCACGTGTCTGTCTAGTACTTCTCTGCACTACATTAAATGTGTGGAAAATTCTTCCTTGTGTTTTCTTATACTGATAAACACTTCTTATTCTCTCGATAATCATTTTGGACGAAGATTTTAATTTCTGAATATCTACTTCCAGTACCTCCACCAACCATTGGTAGGCTCTTACTCCCTCCTACCTGATATACTACTATGTATACTTCTGCTTACATTTAACCGAAGAATATAGAATTCTACATTCAACACACTTACCGATATATAAACAAAAATATATGCATTGACACAATATGGCATCAATCGGTCCCGCCCGCTGTGCAAACCACACCGGCTTCCCAGAGCTCCTCTATCCCAACGCCTGCGGCCTACCGATCTACCAACGCTGGAACGCATCACAAGACCCCTACACAACGTTAGGAGAATGCTGCAATGAAGTGAATGGTAGTATAGGCTACTTTGGCAAGGAGAGCTGCGCTGCCTATTGCAATGCCACGGAGAGTACGCACGAGCAGTTAGAGAACTGCCTTTGGCACTCGAAGAATATCAATCAATTCGGGTGCTCTGGTGCTGCAGCGAGGAAGGCAAGTCTGTCAAATGCGATAGTAGTAATGGGGTTAGTTTGGTTGGTCTTTATAAATTAACAATAGGGAATGTTCTTGGTTTGAAATATAATAGTTTCAGCTCTTTGCATCTAAGACATCACTAGGTCTTGACTATAGAGGTTCTACGCTTTCTAAGTTGAGTGAAATCACATATCTACATTAGCAAGCTTTTGATCGAGAACATTGACTATTTTAATACCACAAGCTAAACTCATGTCTCCAGGCCAGTTCACTGCTAGGTCTAATATTAATTGACGTGTTTATATGGATGATGCAAGAGACGATTGTGGTCCAAGGGATTTACCTCAACATTGACGTAAGCTTTTCATTATATTATACAATATGTAAGAAATGTCTTGAATAAAACAGTCAGCAATACAAAGATATCTATGGAAACACCTGATCCAATCTCTTGCGTTTGCTAGCTGAACAACGCCTCACCTCTAGACTCTAGAGCGAACTCCAGATCGTGATGTCTTCCCATATATACCTGCATATAAGGAGAAACCCTGCGGAAAGTCACCAATGTCCTTGAATTAATACATTTCTCGAAATCATTATGCGCGGGAAACTGGGGCCTTAGCTTTCCGACCCTCGATAACAATAACAGGAGTAATGGTAAGGGTTAACACTGCAACAACAACAGCAACCTGAGTGCCGAAAACAGCCGAGATACCGTTTCTCGTAATCCAAGCAGGCTGGAAATACCCAACGGAGAAACCACTTGCTGTGCGCCATGCGTTGATGATAGCAGACACAACAGTTGACTGATCGGGATACTTCTCAAGGCTATACGCAGTGATGGACCTTCAGAAGGTGATATAGGTAAGTATGTACTGCACAGAACGAGGATGTGGGGCAGTACTAACACCGTGCTAGCAATCATACCCGCTACAACCATACCCCAACCAAATGCAAGTCCAATCCAATGCTTGCCATAGTTCAGAGTGAAGCCGTAGGTCAAGAGACCACATGCCATGGTTCCGATAGCAATCCAGACGCCATGCAGACGGTACTCAGGGAGCCAGTTAATTCGGCGAGATCTCTCAATCCATCCGTTGAACCAATAACCAAAGGCATACCCTGCTCCGCTTGTCAGATATCATTCATACGCTGTCTTTCTCTTTCTTCTAAAAGAGTGAGGCGTGGGGGTTAATACCGAACAAGCCACCGAGGATAGGCGCCCATCGCAGCGAGGCAGACTGAACCGTATTGAAGAGATACGGAGGTTCAGCAACGAATGTTGAAATAGTAACAGTAATACCTTAGCAAGATCAGAATCAAAATTCGATGAAAGATCAGAAGAAAAACCTAGCATACCAATTGGCCAGCAAAAGTTCACCATAGTTGCAATGCCAGTCAAAAGAAGGGGTAACTTGAAGATATAGACGATCATTAACTTAGTCCAGTAGCCGAGGGTTCGGCCAACAGGCAAGTTGTGGTTCTTGATTCCAAAAATGGATTGTAAGCGGGAATTGCGTTGGCATTGCCGGCTCTTGACAAAGTAGGTTTCGTAACCAAAAACGAATATTAAAATGGTAGATATTCCGTAAAAGACCGTCAAAATTCCAAATGAAACCTTCCAGTTGCTTCCTGCACCTATATATCCAGCTAGAGCAGGGCCAATAAAAGGACCTATCAAAAACGTAGTTCCCCTGGAATAGTCTGTCAGATCACCAATCACCAATCTCGCAAGGCTAATCTTTAGATGTGTGACTCGTACCAAATATTAATCATCTGTGGCCAGTCTGTAGATTTTGTGAGTTTGGATTCTCTAAAATGTACTTAGATTGGTTTTCTTTTCTGCATACCTTCGGGACGATACATGTCATGAATGATCGGCAAACCGACAACTTGTGGGACCGTGCCAAATAGACCCTGGAGAGATCGAAATGCGGTAAATGTGCCGTAGTCATCTGAAAGTGTCGCACCGAGGACCATGAAGGTGGTAATAAACTGCGGCCATACCCAAACAGGGAGACTGTGTTGATCTTAACCTTCACACCGGCACCTCAAGAAGCCAGCAAGGTAGCACTTACCGTCCATAGGCTTCAATCAAGGGAATGGCTATAAGGCCACCTATTCCTTGCAGCAACATACCATAGTTCATGCTTGTTGCTGAATGATTAACGCTGATACCCCACTCCAAGGCCTGAGGAACAATTAACGTCGACCCCCATGTCATCCCACTGCGGCAGTGGTTAGTGGGTGGTTTGTCTCCCGGAGCCTATGGCAACATAACATACCCATCAGCCAGGATGGAGCTTGACATGAGTGCTATGAATATCAAGCGCCTTTTTGTTGGACTCCAGTTCCGAGGGTTGCGATCCTCATCATCCTCAAGGGTGGTGACAGGGGATCCAACTTTTTCTGGTCCAGGCCTGTCAATCGGAAATGCTAGCTGCTCAACCTTTGGTTCGGCCATTGTCCCGTGGCACGGTGACTCAAACCGTAGGTCAAGAACACTTTGAATTGACTTTCTTGGAGGACTTATTATAGTACAAGAGGAGCTGGCTGAAAGATGTTCAAATGGAGGATTGACAGTGATATTAGACGACATCGGCGGGACCATACGGGCAATGCATCACCTAACCCCTTGTAGCAGTAGTTTAACTTGTATTATACTTCAGTCAACTTTCAGGAATGATCAAGCGAGGTGACCACGAAAGAGGATGTTACCTGATGGGTCGAAATTTGCAACCACCATCGGCTTTTCCGGGAAGTCGACCAAACTAGACCATACATAGAATTTGATCAATAACTAAAAAAGTGAAACTCATTACGCTGCGTAACACCACTATAGGCGAACGTGGCTGATTGGCAACGTCAAAAATGACTGGCAGGGGTTAATCAGTCTAGAGATATTTAGTGGGTGGTTAGCGTTGGGGACGAAAACTCAAGATACTTTTCCCTCGTTGTATACCAGGGGTAATTTACCGTTAGTTTGTATCATTGCGCCAACATAATATAACCGTGCAACTAGCCCCATATCGATCTAAATCCGTTGTTGGCAATCCATTGACTTGATCACTCGAGACACGATACACAAACGAGGAGGATTTTGCTGGTCGGTCGCGGACTGTGAACAACAAACTTTAACCATCCTGCAAGGGTTATTGATTGCTCCTTATGTCTTCACTTCCACCTGGGGTAGCTCTTGCGAGCACAGTTACTTCAGTATGTCTCGGAACCTTTCTATAGACCCATCTGGCATGCTCACTTCATGATTTAAAGGTAGCTGCGCTTGGTTTCGTACCTGTTGCCGTGCATTTCGACCTCTTTGGCACTTTGGCAAATATCGAAGGCCCAGCGAGCGGAGAAGATGTTTTGGCCGCCTATAGAAACAGCCAGGGTGATAAGACCGAAGATAACGTACCATGTGTGTCTCATATCTTCCCCATCATGAAACGAAGTCACCTCTAACTCTGACCTATAGGTTTACGTTTAGTTCGTAAGAATATTCCATTCTAAAATTCTCTACAACATAGAATGAGACGTGCGGCTCACTCCACTTTCCTACAGAGGATACCCTATATGCCATGTCCGGTTTGGGCTTCGTTGATTTTACCGGAGACGATCTGTACAGCGCCAATGCGATCACTAAACACTTGGCTATCATGCCTTCCGCGCAACATGGAGCACTTCACTTGTGAGATATCCCTACGATAAGCTCAAAAAATATTTCTCAGTGTAGAAAAATCATCATCATTCATGAATTCAACTCTACGAAGCTGTGCTGACCGGCTATAGTACAACGGAAGCTCTCCTGGGCGCTGCATTCTTGATGAGAAAGTTGCAAGCAGATAACTTCAAATACCCATTCAAAGAACTGGATACACCCTACCAATACGCCTATCATTTAATGGGACTGGAGGAGCTAGCGAAGCAGCACACGTATTCCATCATGACCGATGAAGGACGGATGGACAGCTTCAACCACTTCATGGTTGGCAAGTTCATGAAGACAAATAGTGCTCCTGATCGCCTTAGGGCACTCGGATACGACTTACAGTCCGTGCTAAACGAGGCAGGAGACGCTGTCCCGGCCACTATGGTCGATATTGGTGGGGGCCGTGGAGAGCTGTTGCTGGATATTAAAGCGGCATATCCGGACTTGCAAGCTTCCGACCTTGTGGTACAAGAGTTTAATCAGGAAATTACAGAGATTCCTGGAATTACGCTGGCCACATGGAACTATAAGGAGGACAGCCCACAACCCATTACAGGAGCATTGGTCTACCATCTCGCGCATATTCTCCATAATCTGTCGGATCTACAAGCTGCGCGTTTGTTACAGAAGGTAGCCGAAGCTATGGCATCCCATTCTCGTGTTCTAATTCATGAGTTTCCGAAGAATGTGAACTATGCCAAGATGCATTCGGCAATGATTACATTATACGCAGGGCGGGAGAGAAGTGCGGTCGAGTGGCGGGAGATGGCTGCATTAGTAGGGCTAAAAGTGACCTTTGAAGCTTACCCGGAAGTTGGTGAAGGATTGATTGAGATGAGAAAACTTTGAGATGGCTAGTATGTTCTGGATTCTTAGCCCAAAAAATGTTGTTAGCTAGCATATGAGTTGTCGCATAGACTTGCCCACTTGTCTTGTTGGCTGAGTACGTACGTCTCCATAATACAGTTTCGAGAGTTTCATAGGTACACGGATATCAAGCCTGTATGCCCGATTAGCTTAGCCGAACGCCAAGGGGGCATAAGCACTAGTAGCCACGAAAATTCCTGCGTTAGTACGGAATAATTGTAGCTCAACCACCAGTGATGTGGTCGCGTGTAACATCGACTCTTGAGGTGCCTGGCTAAATGACTTAGCCATGCAAGATCCTTTGCGACTTTCTCGAAGGGTGTACTTGGAGTTGCACATTGACCTCTTCCGATATGTAGGACAGCTTTATCTTTAGTTCTACATCGATACCTACATATTCTCCCACTAGGATGAAAATATAACCCAAGTATTGCCTTCACGTCCGGGTTGATAATTTTGCCTTCCAATTTCATTTAGTATACCTCATCTAGAGTGACATATTAGCTTGAAATTGCTTAAGCCTCGTACTATTGCCAAGAGGGATGGTGTACACTTGTAAAAACCAAGTGATAGCCTACCATGATGAGACTGTGTCTGTTTGAAATTCATGATTAGCCCTCCTGGTTAATAATGGACGACGGTGGACTAAGGATAAGAGTACTACGTCTGTTAAAATCAACTTTCCCTTGTATACACCATTTATGTCGAAAATAATCCTAACGTGTCTATTAGGGGTTCATTCGAACGGTATGGCTTCGGTAGAAAAATGAGAAAAACGTGGGCGAAGCCTGAAAGGCAAGGAAGAAGAAATTTTATTGTCGTGTATTACATTACGACTAATGATTGCGAGTCATGCACAATTAGGATGTACCTACTAATGACTCTAGTCAAGAACAATGTTGTACTTGGTTTCGGTTTGACTAAAATTAATATAGGAGTAATGTACCCCTCCAGTAGGGTTGTCCAATATCAAGCCGTTAATGTCTAGTTAGCCTTGTGCCAAGATGGGGCCGCAAGCCATTCTCCAGGGGGGTTTTCCGTGGTCTGTGAGTTAGCCGGTAACCGGATGGACTCCGTAGCGTCGGATACGATTGTAGATCCACCAGAATCATACGGTCAGCCCTCATTTGGTGATTGGGGTAATTATCCGAAATCACGAACTAGGATCATGACTCGATTTTATTTTCTGACATATCCCTGTCGAGTGAAAAGACTTTTTGTAATCCACCGCAATCTACGGAGGATATTCCAATGAGAACGTTCATTGCTTGGGTAATAGCTTGCTGAGCGTTCTTCCCGACCCCGTGGTCCTCGATCAATACCTCGTTCAACCCGATTTCAACGCGTATCCCGAAAAGTTTTTTCTGTACAGCGTAGCTATGATTAATATGTACAACTGGCCTGGTTCGTTTCAATACACGACAGCGCCTAGCTGATTACTCCCTACTAATACTCTTTCCAGTAGAGTGATTGGATGATGCCATTGCCTCTGTTTATCCTTTCAATCTAGGCAATGCTTTTAATCCTTTTATGATACTATGTATACTCTCCTTCCTGGTTGTACCTAGCGGCGTAGCTATTGTGGCCAATGCAATTTGGACCTATTTTACTATGCATTGATTGCTTACGAAGTGCATAAATCTAACGGGAAAAAAAATCCATATTGTGAACTGAAGATTAGACATATGACTTAAACCCTAGGCCCGTTAACTAGTTTTCGAAATTTCTTTTGTTCACATTCAACTAGAGCTTTCCATGGTTTCTCTCTCCATACGACCGTTCTCTAAGATTTACCGTTTACTGCTCTAGCGCTACATTGCCCAAAACTGCATGAAATTCCTGCACTTTCTCATCGTCTCCAAATATGTCCTCCCCGCAAGGGGACGATACGAATTATGGTTAGTTACCCCAGTTTACCCTCAACAGAGACCGAACAATACTGGGAATGAAGTTCAGTAGCTAATAGTTCCGTAAATAGCTGGCCCTTACATACATGCGTGCTGGGTAAGTTATCCGTTTACCGTGACCCATAAGTGATCCATAAATGTGAAAAAGTGGCTAACCGAAGGCGTGTCTATAGGCTCTCACTGGTATCGCCGCAGTGGCATTGATTTTTCGATACGTGATCAAGATTTGGATTCGTTGGACGTTGCCTCGAGTTGGTTCCCCAGAGCGCGTGTGGGGCATAGAAGATCTTCTCTATGCCATTGCGTATGGATTTGATATAGCACACATGATATTTGTTCAGAAAAGGTCCGTCCGAAGGTCATAAACGTTCGCCTGTACCCTTTCGGAAACATTACCTGATTTGGAACTTAGTTTTCAAGACGGTTTAGGAAAACATATGTGGTTTTTGTCCAGTAGTGAGAGAAAAGGAACGCTGAAGAATGAGTTCACGTCCCAGCCACTAGGTAAGGAAAGCGTTATAACTGTGGAGCCTAACTCTAACTAAGATGTTTCCAGCTGTGATTGCTTCTGTGATTAGTCGATCAGGGATGATGTGTTTTCTGTATAATTGTTTCAACAGTGCCGACAAGCAAATAAGGATAGCTATCATTGTTTGCATGGCCATACAAATTGTCATTAACATGGTTACAGTTGCCCAGATTATTGTCCAATGTGGACCGAATCCATACCATGCGGTATGTAACGCGACTGATGTGTTATAAAATAGAGAGTCTCCAGGTACTGATCTCTCTGAGACTGATAGTCGAATCGAGTCAATTATTTCCATTACATGTGGGATGATCTTCCATCCGATGGCTCAGTTACATGTCAGTCACCATCCGTGCAGACTACAGTAGGCTTTGTTCAGGGAGGTATGACATTTTTGCATAATCTCTTCGCATTACATAAGGATACTGATGCTTCAGTAGGATTTAATTCCACCATTGATTTCTTCCTAACTATACTCTCCGCCGTCCAACTCTGGCGATTTACTATCCGTGCAACTGACCGTGGACCTGTTCCCCGTCTGCATCTGTGTGCTAGAATACGCAAGATGCCCAAACAAGCTCGTATTCGTCGTGTTTGGCAGACGATGAGCCTTAGCGGACCTTTACTACTCTCTGGAATTGCATCTATCGTGAAGACATATGTGAGCTTTTTAACTTCTATATGAGCAGTCGATTCGTAATCTTACTAACTGGGCTGGTATTTACAACTATAGCTGCTCAAATCTATCGGCGACAAGAATGATATTACTCGTGAGTTCAAATACCCACAAATCTTGAAGGTTCAGTATTCTCTGATGGCTTGAAATAGACAATATCATACCTTTCATTCTTTGGGTAAAGTGTGTCAAATATAAAGACCTAATCACCTACATAGTACTTCTGCAAACACCATTACTGACTGACCTGAAGAATTGAGAACTACAGCATTCTTCTCGCAACTCTAGCCCCAATGATCCGACTTTGCATCTCCATGGTATCAAAGGACCACGACCGAAGCGGTGGCTACTGGTCCCATAGTGGATCCAAAGGTACTCATCCGGGCCTCGAACTTGGGTCACGACCTCATACACAAAGCAAAGGGGCAGTAGGCATGTCTGCCTTTGATGATGGTGACGATGACGAAGAAGAAAATATAGGTTACAGAAATGACTGGAATGGAGCTAGTGAACAGCGAACCCACCAGCGCGGAAATTCACATAATAAGCCTACGGATGGTGTCACGATTCGGACCGACATAGTTGTTCGCGTCTCCTCTGAACACTCGACCGAGAGACTTGTCGTCTGACAGAACCTGCTATATCAAGTATAGTTCAACTAGCTGCACAGCTTAATTTTTAATACAATTTCCTTTGTATATTAGTAATATTCGTCTCAGTGCTGTCCCTTAGCACAACCCACGAACACAATGACTGTACCTGACCTGCAATCCATGACAACAACAAGCTTGAAATGAAAAGATAGAGGTGTCTGAAATCAAGCAGAACTTTAAGTCGTGACAAATCTCGCTCGACAGCATATGCCATAATGCAGTGGAACAGTGTCCGTTGAATCAGTTAGCGTCCATAATTTTTGTAGACGATGTAAGTCGTAGATCGAATGCTAACCACTAGAAAGGGGAACCAGAGTAAACAGGTTGAGACAAGCGGAATATTATTCAAAAACTTGAGTTATCACGACTGTTGTTCACCGATCCAGAGCTCACCACAAAGAGGAAGTGAGACTTGAGTCCGACGTAAAATTGAGAGCATTTACCTCTTGAGAAGTTTTGTTCCCTAGTAGACAAATCTTTGAAAGCTTACACTTGGTTTGGCAGAAAATAAGATGAGCTAATCACAATGCATGCCTCATCCTGCCATAAGTGGCGGCATGAAGTCAATAATACTACCTACTCGGGATTTTATCAGTCCAGCTTGGTGTAAGCTCTCATCCCCCAAGATATCCTATCGTCCCCTCTTCTTTTGCTTTGGTGGGGCTATCCTATAACTAATATGTAAGAGGGATATATCCATTGATTACTGTGACAAAAGTAATCCACGCACAATTACAAGCCAACTATCCTCAAAAATTTGATTATGTTAGTATTCGAGAAGACCGGGTATGTCGGACTCTCACTCTCTGGATAGCCTATTGATCTTCGAGAGTTATGTGCTTCGTAGACAGTTAGACTGTATTGGCAATATATCGCCAGACTTGTCTTAGTCCGCACTGTAGCGCGACTAGAGTGCACCAAGAAGCTCTTTCTCAAATCCAGGCTATCTGGCGGGCTCACAAAGACCTGCGACAGTTTTATATACTTCCCACGTGAGGGATCCCACGTCAATGCACCGGCAAGCTGCATCGATGAAAACGACGATAACTATGACCCCAAAGTCGGACGTGCCAGGCAGTGGAAGCATCCATCTCGACTAGATGATATGGCTTCAAATACACCCGAGCAAGAGGATAGTCTCATCTTTATTTTATTCTTCATATCCAATACGGGAAGATTTCTCTCCTCACTTCGTACAAGCTGTGACAAGTACGACAAACAAGCTTTCCCGATATACCATCTACCGAAGTTATTGATCGCCATCCCAAGCACCATGTCACCCGCGTTATTCACACCTCCCTGGCGAATCAGATTATTTTCAACTAGGAGCCGCCGGAGGATAGATCCATCCCGTTTCACTGGTGCGATAATTTACCTATAGATTGCTGGGTTTGGGCAGAGGAACAGTCCAGGTGTTGGAAGATACATCGAGATCACTGGTGGTCATGTTGTTCAAGGACACAAGCCGAGTCGTATGTACATTGATTGCACGGTTAAACATAGCTATGTCATGCGATCCGCAACATCAAATTGTACCTCTCAAAGGATTCTATGTCGATATATTTGATATGACAACTGCGTACAATAGCTTAGACCCAATACCAGAACATGGTCCGAAGACCAATCCGCGGTGCTCATTCTGTCCGAATCCAGTATTTTTCGGATTTCGTACATTTTAGACAGTGGATGGGTTTGAAGAGCCCGTAGAGCCGCCTCTCGAGATGCGAATGGGCGTGGTCTGCTCCTTTGCGAGAAATATAAGTGGCTTAGCAGGGGGGTTGGCGCAAGTCGTGAAGAATGAAGAGACAGGGGCTACGTTTGGAGCATGCGCTGAGACGATCTATTTGTTGCCAGGAGATGACATGTACCGGCCCTATTTTTGGCCCTAACAGGGACTGCTTTCTTGTGAAGGTATTAAGTTTTAAATATATATAGGCTGGTGGGTGGGTAGTTATGGAAAATTTATGACAAATCGGGCCGTTTTGGTCTGGACCAGAATTTAAATTGACGCGTATTGCTCCAAGTAACTAAAATAAGTTTAAAATAAGTTTCTATCTATATGAAATTAACTCGTAGTGTAACCCATGCATCGAGGGAGTGCGATGTCACAAGTGAAGCTTGATCATCGGGGAACACAGATGACTGCCAAACTAACACATGACAGGCATTGACTATTACTACCAGCAGGGGTGAAGCTGGTTAAAGGGTCAGCAGTAATCCCTGGCTTGTGGCAAGTCAATGTAGGTACCGACTTTCTGGACTGTGAATTATTATTTTTCTTCTTCAAGTTCTTTCATCCCTTCTTTGCCCCTCTCTTTATTACCTATCCCTTCCATGACAAGATATTCAGAGTGATCGTCTTCGCCTAACGTGAGGTGTATTTGACTGCAATAGAAGCAATGAAAAAGGTCAGATAAGATCGAAGCTGCTCCCAGTTCTGTATAACCATCAGAACTGGTCATATGAAGAAGGAAGAGGTACCAACAAAACGAGAGAGAAATGATGACAAGTTTCCCCAGTTGAACCCTAAATCTGTTTGAGTGAATTTAACCTTAAGTTACAGGTATTTTTCGTTTTCCTACCCCACACCGCCCGATACCTTGACCAGTCAGCGATCGTAAAACCCAGTTGGACGACCTGAGATTTCCTCCGCCTCTCGAAACGGGTTTTCGAACGGATTTTCTTTTCCATTCAGTTCGCTTCCCTTTGACTCGCTGCTTTACACTTTAATTGTCTTTTTCTTTCCCCTGTCGTTGCGTTTCTCGTCGAAGGTTCTCACCGATTCGATCACCTATCATTGGCGTGTTCCTTAACATATAACTCCCTTCATCGTGTTACCTCGAGCTGCCACGAGACGTGCGCAGCTCACTGTCACGACGTCTTCCACAAAGCGCCGTAAGGTAGCAGAGCCTCGCAGACCAGGAACCCTTCCGGGTTTGTCGTTTGCCTCGCAGGCCGGAAGACGTCACGGACACCACAACTCCGATACAACCTCGTCCTCGCCACCAAACCCTCGTCCGTCCTCCGACCCTAGTGCGACACAACGCCAAGGCTCTTCCTCTCCTCCGCAACGTTATATCCCCGCCCATTTGCAGGAGGAAGTGCTTGGGGCCAGATCTACCCCGGATTCCGCTGGTCCCATCGACCTCCCATCCGCAGCTTGCGCTGGACTCTCTCTCGCCAGCGATCCGCCCACAGATATGTCTGGTTCCGATCAGAGAGATGGTAGTGCTCCGCCCGCTGGGCGTGACATCCGCTCAGCATCCCCCGGCGTGAAGCGGGCGGCTCCCGATGCCGAACAAGATGTGGATATGGATTTGGGCCCGACCGAGAAGGAGTCCCAGTCGGACAAGATGGATACAACCGGAACGGAGGACGACGATTCTACTTCAAACGATGTTTCCGGGTCTGACAACGTCTATCCCTCCCCCTCTAGCATGTCGACTTACACCGCCTCTACCGCGACCAGGGCTCATTCCAAGGCCCTGTCTTTCACCACATCCGAGCGACCATCCTACGATGACCAGGTCGCGAAAGTAACGTGTTTCATGATGCAGCCCCTAATGGAAGGACAGAAGGGATATGTTGTGTCGATGGCATGGCTAAAGCGGGTGCTCTCTAGGAGCTCTACTCATGCAGACAAAACGGACAAGACTGCTACAGAAGGAGAGGTTGGTCCGGTGGACAATTCTGACTTGGTTCTAGTCACGGATCCTGCGAATGCATCCTTCAAAGACGAAAAGGGAGAGCCCTTTGTACCCTTGCGCCCAGGTTTGCAGATGAGCGAAGACTTCGAGATTATACCTCAAGAAGGATGGGATCTGATCATGCAGTGGTACGGTTTGGCAGATCAGTCACCAGCCATTGTTCGCTACGCCCATGACACCAACGTTGGCGGGGATTCCGAGAACATCCAGTATGAGATTAATCCGCCAATTTTTACGATATTAAAACTTTCTCGCCTGTCCGCGGGCACTACTCCCCAGTCCCTGAGGGAGAAAAACATGAAGCCCGTGCGGATTCTGGCTAGCAGGCACTCCAACTTCCAGAAGTGGCTGAAGGAAGCTAAAACAAGGGCCAACATCGATATGCCGACTAAAGTTCGTGTTTGGAGAATTTTGGGCGGTTTGGGCAGCGCAACAGCATCTGCTGCAATGACCCCAGCTGCATCGCGAAGCGCTTCACCGGCGCCTGCAGCGTCGATCGTCGCCAATGCCGGTAACAGTCTCGTGATCGATCTCAACACTTTCCTCTCGCTGTCCGAGGGTGCCCAGAGGGAGTTGTTTGAGGACGCTAAGGATCAGACCGCCAACCCTAATTATAACGGTCGGATGACATTGGATCTTGCTGGACTTGGCGGTAGCGATGTCGTGGTGCTAGAGGAACGTATACCCGGTGGGGAGTGGGTCTCAGAGGCGTCCAAGCAGACACTTAATCGCCTTGGTGTTCCCTCGGGTAGTCTCAAGAATGGTGCTTCCTCTAAGCTGAAGAACAAGAGCCCTACCGCCAGTGGCCGATCGTCTCCAGTACCGGAGCCTGTTAGGGGACGACGGAAAGATGGGAAGCCTCGCGGCTGCACGGGTCTAAGCAACCTTGGAAATACGTGCTACATGAACTCTGCCTTGCAGTGCGTACGAAGCGTTGAGGAGTTGACCTATTACTTCTTAAGTATGTATTGATCTTCGCTTACGGCATTCCCCACCAATTATTACTGACAACTATTGTCTGTAGATGACGTTTATAAGCAGGATCTTAACCCCAGCAACCCGCTGGCTCACAACGGTGATGTAGCGAAGGCGTATGCAAATTTGTTGCGTATGATCTATGACGAAGCAGGCCAGTCCTCCTTTGCTCCCAGGCAGCTGAAACACACAATTGGCCGCTACGGCCCAGCATTCTCTGGTTATGGACAGCAGGACTCCCAAGAATTTCTGCTTTTCCTTCTTGATGGGCTACAGGAGGATCTGAACAGGATCCTTAAGAAGCCCTACATCGAGAAACCCGACTCCACAGATGAAATGGTTCATAATAAGGCGGCACTTACTGAGTTCGCGGACAAATGTTGGGATATTTATAAAGCTCGTAACGATTCTGTGATCACAGACCTCTTCGCTGGGATGTACAAATCAACTCTTGTTTGCCCTGCCTGCGACAAGGTCAGTATCATCTTCGACCCTTTCAACAACCTCACGCTCCAACTTCCCATCGAAAATCTCTGGGGTAAAGAGGTATTCTACTTCGGTCTACACAAGAAACCAGTTCGGTTTGATGTAGAGATCGACAAGAATTCTAGTGTCAAATCCTTAAAGGAATTAGTCGCCAAGAAGCAAGGCACCGATCCTGAACGCCTGATCATGGTCGAGATCTTCAAGCGCAAGTTCTACAGAATGTTTGATAACACGAGCTCCATTGCTGAGTGTCAAATTTCTGGCAACGACGAAATCGCTTTCTTTGAAGTCGAGTCCGTGCCGACCAATTACAATCCGGATAAGCCCCAGAAGAGTTATTTCTCCTTCAGCAGGTCGGATCAAGAGGAGATCCCAAATATTGACTCCCCGAAGGCTGACCGTATTCTGGTGCCTATTTTTAACCGCGTGGACCGGTCAAAGTCAAAACGAGATCTTTTTGGTGTGCCCTCGTACATTGTTGTCACTCGGGAGGAGGCTTATGATTTCGATGCCATCTATGGCAAGGTCCTTGCTGGGGCGGCCACGATGACCACCCGTGACTTTTTGAACGAGGAGGTTCTCGGCGAAGATCAGCAAGAGGCAACTCAGGAAGACTCAGATACTGTTGTCATGAACGACGACGACGCCCAGTCTGCCGATTCCAAGATCAAGACATCTTCGGTGGACGGCGAAGATGGTATGGTGGATGTGTCCATGCGCGATGCAGACTCTGCCTCCCAGACTGGCGCTGCGCGCTCTGAAGGCTCTATCCCTGCTCGATTTCGGGACATGTTCGAACTGAAGATAATGAAGGGTAACGAGCCAGTGCCCCTAGGCTGGTCTTCGGTAGAAGACAACAAGGAATACCCCAAGATGTCGTTCCGTATAAAGACGAAGCCAGTTACTCCACCAGAGGAGGTAGGTTCCATACCTGATGTTCTACGTGTTTCAGAGTGCAAACTGATGGTCATAAGCAGTCCGAAGAACCATCCGACCCTGCAGATTCGAAGGCTGCTGAGAGTGGATCAGCTTCGGGTAGTGATGCCGATAACTCTCCAGATGTTTCTCGCACCCCAGCCCCAGTTGCCAGAGTTCAGATTCGACCCTTGGTTCGACCAGGCGAGGGACTCGTTGTTGACTGGAATGAAGAGGTCTATGACGCTCTTTTTGGCGGTAGTAAGAAAGACCGAGATCCCCTTCGCGGCCTGCCAACATGGCAGGACGTTGAGCGGGTAAATGACCCCGAGCTGAATAAGCGACGTCAACTCCGCCAAACCCGCAAGAAGAGGGGCGTCACCCTTGAAGAGTGTTTAGATGAATTCAACAAGGAGGAAATACTTTCCGAGAACGATGCTTGGTACTGTCCACGCTGCAAGGAACATCGCCGAGCTAGCAAGAAGTTCCAGCTATGGAGGACACCTGATATCCTTGTCATGCACCTCAAGAGATTCAGTGCTAGCCGCGGTTTCCGGGATAAGTTGGATGTGCTCGTTGACTTCCCTGTGGAAGGACTCGATATGAGTGGCAGAGTAGAAGCTCCTGAAGAGGGTAAGAGCTTAGTCTATGACCTTTTCGCGGTTGATAACCACTACGGTGGTCTGGGAGGTGGTCACTATACTGCATATGCCAAGAACTTTTTTACTGGCCAGTGGAACGAGTACAACGGTAGGTCCAAAGCACTAACATAATAATACTATAATGGCTGACATGCGTAGACTCGAGTGTCTCACGACCTATTGACCCCCAAAGTGTGGTAACCTCGGCTGCCTACCTCCTCTTCTACCGCCGTCGGTCCGATCGCCCGCTCGGTGGTAAGATCCTTGAGGAAATTACTGAGTCATCTACCCGACCGGCGAGTGAGGCTGGCTCGCCGAGCGAATCTCGTGGGCAATCTCCGTCGGGGGACGGTCGGCGTCTCGGCGGCTCATCCCACAATGGGTCGTCGAGCGTCTTAACCGGAGTCGGAGCAGCTCACCAGGAGGGAGATGGTGGTTCGCGAACCGGAACCCAAGCGAAGAACGGGGATGAGGCCGCGCCCCCTGGATACAACAATCGTCCCGCTTCTAGGGAGAAGAGCGTTGGGAAAGAACACCGACTGGAAGGTATGAGTTTTGATGAAGCCGAGTTCGGTGATGGAGCGCAATCCGATCCGTTCCGCTTCCCGAGTCCGCCCTCGTGGTCTTTCAACCGAGTCCCGGATGCTCACGGCCGTTCACAGATGACCACAGCGCTACCGGGATCCACCTCTGATGACGATGACCTGCTCGACGACGACGCTAGTAACCAGGCAGTTGGTGGAGGCGACTTTAGCGATTCGGACCTACGGCTGGCGTCTTTAGCGGACAGCCCCGGAGATCACGGTGCGGTATACCCCGGGACCCCAATGGAAGAGACTCCCATTCAGGATATCCATCCTCCGTTGGATGCAGATGACGACGACGACGAGCTACCCGTTGTGGAGCTACGAGTGAACGATGAAGACCGGATAGTGCCTGAATAGACAGGCATATTCTGTTTTGGAAACGCGACATGAACGATACTGGTACTCTGTTCGCTTTGTCGGCGACATCATGATGCTCCCTGTGTGGCTGATGATCTCAATGAAGGAGTCTATGGTCTTATTATAATTACACTTTCTTTTCGTTTTTGTTTTGAAGAATTCCCTATGCAGGTCCCTGTATAGGGACTGCGTTTTCCATAACTCGGAGGTGGCATCTTCGGTGGGTTTGTTGCATATTGTGAAGAGAATATGGACGGCGGGATCAAGCTGTCCTTGCATTTACATTTTGATTATTGAGGAGGACCTCTTTTCGAGCCTCGACACCGTGTTCTAAAAGCATTTATTTTGCCGGTCATGGTAGAGCAGCATGGCTGCATTGCATGAAGATATGCATTCGTTTTCTTCGCCATATATGTGGTGTACTAAAGATATCGTAGTGATAATATAGTAGAATTTTAATATATGTGTCTACTTTAGGAGACACAAGATCAGAGACAGAAGTGTACACATACAGATTGACAGTCAAGGCAATGCATCAAGCAACGCAAGTGACGATGTCCGAGGTTCTTATCAGATGTTAGTTCCGATGACTGGTGCCAGTCATCTGATGTACAATCAGCCCTGTGACGTCAAGGCATCTCAGTATAATAAGTATGGATCTAATACATTTTACCTCAGTCGGTCATACTGCTGTGAATTCTATTGTGTGGATGGTCTGTATGATTTGCAGAAGTACTATTGTGACATAGACTACGGAATGGGTGCCTTGAGCCTGAATTAGATGAGTGGTAAATCAGTTGGATGGCTATTGACACCATGTGCCGTGCATGTGTCTTGTCGAAACAACTAGAAAGAATTGATAGACTAAGCTGTAAATTGTATTCCGTGGTCAGAATCCTCTACCATGGTTTCAAGGACCAGAATGTACGAGTTCGAGTCACGGTTAACTTGGAAACGAGTATGTACGAGATGAATTGTTAACTTGGATATGTGATATCCATGAATAGAAATATCATAAAATAGTTCAGATTACAAAGTAGAAATATCACCTGTTCATGACCTAGTACTATTGAAAACCACAGGGCAGGTCAGAAAGGCAATTCCCAAGCAGAATTTCTTCCATCATCTGAGGTGGTCAGGTACCTGAGGCTTCTCACTATGGATAACTATAAGAAAGTCGACATTTGCCTACACTAGGTTGCCTTGTCATTGATAACAAGCTTACCTCAAGTGAATGACTGCCCCCAATTCAATCCCACTGGATTTCACAAGTTACCGAAAATCGGAGTAACCTCAAATTATACCAGGCCTCAGACCCTCGTCAGCCTTTCCTTCCTTCCCAGTCGCTTTTCACCTGACCTTCCACCCTGGTCGTGTATACAAAAATAACATCCACCAAACTAATATCAGCAACCACAATCAACTACCCACAGCCAGAAAGCCAGCCCCTCGCATCAAAAAAATGAATCCACCCAAAACACCCCCTCAAAGCCTACACCCCAAATTCCTCACATCGGCTTTCAAACCAAAAGAATCAACTTCCCCCCCTCCCACAACCCCAGAACCCCACAGAGACAACCTCAGCGACATCCTCAGTGACAGCGACATCAGCATCCTTGACCTCGGCCCAAGCCTCTCGGCCCGCAACACATCTTGCTACCAAACATCCAACACGGTCAAGACCCGAGACACCAAGCAGTCCTCCTCTCTCACCATACCGCTTACCCATGACCATCTACAGAGAAGCCTAACCACGGCCCAAGACTTCAAGGCTCGACCTACTACCACATCTCCGTCAATGAAAGATGCAACACAGGGAGTGGACATCACGCCCAAGAGACTTAAGATGAGGGCCGGGTCTGTGAGGGGTGCTTTGAGAACTTTTTCGTCGCCGCTTTTGTCGCCTTTGAGGGGTGGTACTGCGAAGGTTGGGGGGCCGGGGGTTAATCGGGCGAAGACCTCATTTAGGGGTGTTGGGGGCGTTTTAGAGCGTTGAATTGAGGCTTGTCTATTTGAATTGGATGGTTTTTGCTGGATGGGTGAGTCAATTGGTATTGGACATCGGTTTTGAGGCGTTGCGGGCTTATCAGCTGGACTTTTGTGTCTCTTGTGCTCTGTTTTGTGGTTTTTTCCGGTATTGCTGGTGATTGGTGATGGGGTAGTTAGGATATGGGCAATTGATGCATAGGCGCATTGGAATACTGATGCCAGGGTTCGGATAAGATTGACCAAAGTAGGGGTTTCTGTAGGATCAGGCTTATCGCCTATCCATGTTCTATATCCACTAATGGAATGTGACAGTCATCAGTTCGGGATTTACTTTCAGGTAGTTGTTGTGTATAACTTCACCGGATTACCACGGTGTACAGTCCACTGATATACTTGCAGTTGCTGTCGCACAGCTTCGTGAGGTGACTTTGGCTTTCAATCATCGTTCCAACCTGAGCTACCATTGGAAACAACTTGAGCCAGTCGGATCGAGGATACGGCTTGGGAACATATCAATGAATTTCTTGAAGAGGCTACCTGTCGCAGTGATCTAGAAGCCTAATATTTATGAAGTATAACAAAGAACTGTGGCTTCATTGACCATACTGCCCGGAGGCTTAGGCCATTATGCAAAGTGCATTGTCATACGTAAAGAGATAATTGAAAAAGAAAAAAAAAATAAAAAATAAAAAATAAAAAAAAAATAAAAAAAAAATAAAAAAGGCTTTATGGTGACTATATAGCAACAGTGGAAACCAAGATTACCCATCCTACCAACTTTACCTTCATTTGCTGATCTAAACATCACTATGTCGCCAACCCATGCAGTCTATCTCCGGAAAAAAGCTCACAGGGCCGCCCCTGGACTGTGCAACCGTTGTCAACATGATCCCCAGCCAGAACAAGCGTATGTTCGAGCAGACACGCATCATCACCCATCGATGCTCCAGCTAGCAATCTCGAACCAGACCTAAGAACGCTCCGATCGCCCACACGCAGTGGGTGCATCTCGAACTCCCCTCGCGTATTTAGATGGCACACTACACTGGCGTCATCAGCCGCCACACGATCCCCAAACGTCACCAAATCTGGTTCTGTCTAGAGAATATCAGGATTCCCGTCGGTCGCCAACGCGCAATCCTTGCCCACAGTGGCTCCCATTGCCCGATAGAAGACTGGTAGATATGCCGTGCCGGAGATGAGGGTCAGGATTCCAATGTTCCCGGGATAATGATCGATGTGCCATTCGATCGCCAGCATAATCTGCCAGCGCTGTGAATAGCTGCTCATATCCCAGGGATAATACCCCTCCCTCCGCCGTCCCAAGAGCACCCATTTAGCAGCGATCGTGAACCCCATGACTGCAAGGGTTTGCAGGAGGACCATCACTGCCATTACTAAAGTGAAGATCCCGTAGAAGGAGAGAGGGCGCCACCAGTATGCCTCCAATCCAGAGAATCCTATTCGGAGCAGACGACGGACTGGTAGCCTAATAGCAGCCCAACATATTCTATAGAATTAGATAATCGTGTAAAGGATTCCAATTCTTAAGCGATTTATTCTGTTCCAATTTATATACAAGTTCCCTATAAATCTGAACGCGTTTAATCCTCCTAGTATTGCACCCCTTGTAGCCGTTGGCCACTAGCTCCGAAGGAGCCCTTACACTTTCAAATATTTCCTAAAATTTAGCTAATTCCTCCTATTTCTGGCTATGCAGCTACATTAATAAATTAGTATAAATCCTAGGCTTTCTTACTAATTTATATTAACTAATAAATACTAAAGAATATATTCAAGAAATTAAACAACTTATAATTATATAAACAAAGACTTAATAATAACGCCTATACACAACTTCCTAACACCAGTCAATAAATATAGCATACTATAAGTTTATATACAAAAGTCCAGTTAACAATAGCTATAATACTAAACTTAATAGTTTTAAGAGTATTAACGATAGTACTTAATATTATTTATATTTTACTTTAGAAAGCAGCTACTGCAAGCGATAATTTAAAATATAAATTTTTCGAAACTAATCCTTAAACAATTTAATTATATATAATTTAAGCGCGAAGAGCGGGCGTATTCTTTCCTATATCAGCCTTTAAGAGATAGTTTAGAGATTGTAGTAGGGGAATAGTACTGTTGATAAAATTATTTCACATATAGTGGAAACCCTAAGAATGACCTGCTGGTGGGTTGTATTGATAATTTATATTAAATATCTTTGTATCACTGTACCAGTAGAAAGTATTATTATCTAGTAGTAAGCTCCGTATAACTGAATATATGTAAAAGTAATGATCTAGCAGAAACCACCATAGTAGTATACTCCACTAAATTGCTGTAACTAACCTTGTGATCTCTTTCTATTAAAGCAGACATGGGTATCACACAAGGTTCTTCTGAATCGAACTTAAACTAAACAACGCCAAAGCATCCATCCCAAACTGTTCAATCTGGTTTCTGTATCTCCATATTTGCATTGTTGATTGGTTCGTGCATATCGATGATGTTGTCGAGGCACACATCAAAGCCCTGGATCCAGCCATCCCGGACGGCTCGAGGTATCTGCTTTCGGGGAAGGGCGGGAACTGGAAAGAGGTAGCAAATATAATTCAACGGGAATATTCAGGCCTCGGGGCAAAGATCACAGTGGATATTGAGGAAGAGTTTCTCTCAACGGACAGTGGCAAAGCAGAAGCAGAGCTGGGAATGCAATGGCGCTCTTGGGACCAGATGGTGCGAGATGTAGTAGACCAGCAAATTGAGTTTAGGAAAGCTGGATAAAATACTACATACTGAGCTTCGGAATCTATGGAACTTTCTTAAGCTCAAAAGATATCCAATTTTGTTGAGATTTTGAGGTTTAAAAACGGAGCCTGGGAGGACGAAGTCCAGGTGTTGCAATATTTTTGACCACATAATGTTCTCCAACTACGATAACCAATATGAAGCAATTCGACCCTAAATATTTATTGTTATTCCTCGATTTCTGGTGGTTTCAAGTCTCTGTTAGATCGAGTCTTATACCCACATCAACGAATTTCATTTTACGATGCAATGGACTGGACGAGTGTGGGAGGAGGCATGACATCTTTCTTAGATCTTAATCTTCTTCCAATGGCAGGAATTCTCTCACAGTCAGAGAATGTAGAGGCCTTTCTGTGTGGTATTATTTGATTCATTACCTGGCATTGCCATGAGAATCAATCGAAATGTTACCATTTTACTCTAGATGACATCCCAAATCGCCTCTGGGGCTACCCGTGCCCTCCTTTTTGGTACCAGGACAAAGGGATCGCCCATGGCAGCAAAGAGAAGGCTTGGGACGGAACGTTTGGGGAAGTGTTTCCATGAGCCTGGCAGGGTTCCCAAGGCATGTCAACAGACCAAAGTCACTGTCGCCGAGTTACGACTATTTTAGTACGAATCCGGGGGCTGTGATGACTTTTGTCTTTTGTACAACGACGCCAGTCCTCGCCAAACTACGGCTCCAGCCAGCATAGCATAGTCTCGAGCTTTCAAGTGGCTGGGACAGCTAACCGACCCCCTGGCTATTCAGTATCACAGTACTTGGGAAACTTTCAATCGAGTGACCGCGAAGTGACAGGGCTTCAAAAAACCGCGGCAGGTTCAGGATCAACATTTCTAGGCCTTCTCAATTGGGAATTTATCCTTCTCCAATACATTTCGACCGCTTTCTTTTCATTCCTTTTCCCACTTTCTCTTCTTCGACCTTTTTTTTTCTTTTTTCTTTTTTCCTTTTTCAAATTGGTGGCCTGAACCTCTTTTTAATTCCTTGCTCTATATGGTATTCAATTAGCTTTTCTACTCTAATTATAGCAAGCTACCAACTGCTATCGACCAGGACCCACGCCCGAGTCCCGACTTAGAGCCGGGTTGGGGCAACCATCTAGTGATTGCCTCAGGCAACACCAGTTACAAGTTAGATATAACTGACCCTATTAACATAACCTAACCTAGCCACACACCAGTCCAGTCAGATGAGGTGTTGATCCTTAGATATCAAGCTAGGACCCAAGGCTGCTTGACAAGATCTTAGTACGCGCGCTTTTTGGCCATGGTATTGTATCAAGAAAGTTTCTCGCTCCCGTGTTTCGAGATGATCAGATGTTCAACGGAATTCAACCCGAATGGTGTGGCGATTATTTTTATGAAGCTTCAACTCGATCTGTCCTCCCGAATAAATTTGTGAAGAATCTTCTAGTCTGTGAGGATATATCAACCAAGTAGACCTATATCGGCGCTGTGGTGGCAAATAAAAGTTGCTCCCAATTCTAGACCTGTCTCCTCTAGACAGTGTACATACTGCAATCACTTCAGGATATCTATTCGAAAGTCTAGATTCGCTGGACCTTTCATGGTGGTTGCGACTGTCATCGCTATAGTCTGAATGTATGACATAACCGTGGAGTTTAAGATAAATACATTCCCACTACCCTGCGAGTTGACTTCACCTATCCGACAAAACCCCATTTCTAACTAGAACACCATCAAATGAATCACAAACCGTAAACTTCACCATGAAGCAACTACTGGTGTTGTCTGTTATGTTGGCAATGACCGGGGCGACCGTCTCCGCCGCCGCGATACCTGCGCAGAAGGTTCCCTTGACACGCACCAACCGAAATTGCGATGGCTCACTTGCTTCTCCTACTGAATTGACTGAATCATTTGGCTTTGCCAACCTCGTTTAACCGGCATCCGGTAAACTGGTCGCAGCTGTTGTCTTACAGGGTGCAACGCCTAGCGGTACCTATAAGGTCCGGCTCATTCAGGCTCCGATGCCGTCGCCTTGCTATGATATTCCCAGCACCACATTGATCACGGACAGCTCAGGCAATGGGAATACAAACTTCCAACAACCGGTGGATCCGAGTGCGACAGCCGCATTTGTTGATCTTAACAACCTGGCCCATCCCAACGATGACTACTTCACCACTAATCCGAATCACTTTAAGCTTTCTCCTCCAGCATAGAGGGGATGATTTTGAACGTCAATAGCCTGCTGTGTACTGTCTGTTCCTGTTTCTGCTTTACTTCATGTATTTGAGGTATCAAAGTAGCACAAAAGTGATGAGTTACGCGTCATTGATCAGTCCTACTGCACCTCGCTTGGATATTTAGCTACCCCGAAGAAAAAACGACTTCGTCGGTGTTGTACTCGCAAATTCAAATGCAACCGAGAAGTACCAAGATGTTGGAAATTTTGATGAAGGCTTGACAGACTCTTATTACTTCGCTAGAAGGAGCGAGACGGAAGGGAACGAACTCGTTTCCGCACGTTGAGCATCGAAAAATATGAGAAAGCTCTTCCGCGATCTGCCACTTGTTGTTGAGGAAGACCATTCTGTTCGTATGGAACATGCATTAAAGGTAATGCTGCTTGTTTCAGATGTCGACTAAACAACTGCGAACAAATTTTCGTAGGAGCCGTCAGCATAGGGTACGTACGAGACTCCCTAAAAAGGAATACCCATGACCGACGAAGCCCTGAACCGTAATCAGGATCATGACCTACCAGAGACGTACGATACTAAACATCCATTTTTTGTACTAACGGTTGAACACCCGGCCAAATATAAGCTGTCCTCCAATATATCCAGCTTAGTGTCCTTAGTAGCTGATATGATATACGTACTAGTTACAGAATCGAAAGCCCTAAGAGAATGGTCCCAATATTCTTTATCAAAAGCTGGACTCGATATCTTGTAAGGCACTTAACCTAGGGGTCAGATGACACAAGGCTATATACCACAAGAGCAATATTACCCCCGAGATAGATCTCGCGGACCTAGAGCCTACTAAGTAGCGCACTGCATAGCCCTAAGGTCACCCGCCTGTGCCGTACAACTAAAGAAGCCAAATTCAGATCTATTTGTGGATGGACCCATCCTATTCCCGTCTCAACCCAAAGCCCGTCTAACAGCTCAACAATAGTCAGAGATAGACATTACAGGGAAGCGTACCGGACATTTCAAGGACTACAGGACAAATTCCGGGGCCCCAACCTGATATCAAGTCTAGTCGCGCTGGTCGCGGCGGGGTAATTAATGCCTGAGGCATCCACCGCTGTCTTTGCCAGTTTGAGGGTGTATGGTGTCTTGCAAATACGTATATTTGTAGAGTGTTGTAACTCATGAATGCGAATGCCAATGTCTCGAGAGACCTACAGGTTTGTATTCGTCCTGAGCCGCTAGTCCAAGAATGATGATCGCAGTGTAAGAGTCACAACATAGCAAGTTAAGTCACCTACTGACTGGTCTGGGTCCTCGGTATCCAGCTCATTCAAGGGGTTAGTTGTGCCCAATCAGAAGCATTCTTGGGCCTCAGCGTAGATCCTCGCCAGCAGTCCCGGCGGTTGAGGCCTGCAGGACAAAAAGGAACGTGCGGAGGCTTGGTGGACTGAACGCAAGGCTGAAATCGTTACCCCCGCTCCAAGTTCTTTTGAATGAACATCGTACGTACATGTTAGAACCCCCTTGAGAACATTTCCAGAAACTGCCTCTATTCCATCCAAATTTCCACTGAGGGAATTCATGTAAAATGGAGACAGCAGGACTCGCAATTGGAGTCGTGGGGCTCTTTGGACAGGTTTTCGCTGGAGCAATCAAAGGTATAGTCATTCAGCCTCCAGAAAACAGCCCGCTCTCGGTCACTCCCATATCAAATGAAAGCAGCGATCACCAGCGAATCGGACTAATAGCGTCTGAACTGTAGCAATTAAACTTATTCGTTCGATCAAAGATGCACCCAAAGATTTCGAGCAAGTCCTGTTGGGGTTTCGACTGCAAGAAGGGAGGTTGATGAGTTGGGGTGAAGGAGTCGGTCTGCTGCAAGCCCCGGCAGCTGGTGACGAGTGGCGTATCTCCATCAGCCAACAAGACCGGTGGGTAGCCCAGGACCTTCTGGACAGTGTCCGGTCTGATATCCAGCAACTTCTCAAGCCCCTAATAACCAAGGCGGAAGAGGTGGACCGCCTCACCGCCGCGCAAGAACCGAACGAGAGGGCATTGAACGCCTGGTTGAGGGAAATGGAGCGCAAGCAGAAGGAACTTAGCAGCAAAATAACGTGGGCCACCCTCAGAGGGGACCGTCTGACATCCTGCCTCCGCTGCCTAACCAGCACCATTAATGACCTGATCAGTCTCACCAGTGAAAAGACGCAGCGGGAAATCCTCCGCAAAGTGAACTTAGTGTATGCGGAGCTCGTCCTGGTCCATAATAGCGTGGACAAGCTGGGACAGTTGTTCCACGCCCTCGCCAGTGCAGAGAAGGGGGTCACCTTGACTCGCTTGGCGCACTTCAAGGCTGCCATGAAGGAGCGCCAGGCCAAGCTGTCGCTTCATCCCAAATCACAACTGTCAAAGGGTGCCATTGAAGTACTTGATCTGATCGAGCAGGACGAGCGCTGGATGGCCCGTTATGACGATCGGAAAGGCTTTTGGGTGGAATGGAAGAATTATCCAACCGGGAACACCAGTCAAGGACCCACGAAGGAGCAGATTGAGAGGTTTATCATCCAAGAGCTGGTGGGTCTTCTGGCGGAGGAAGATTCTCACGCGATCCAGGTCCCTCAGTGTATTGGATATGTGGATGACCACCCGCGTTCTGATCGGTTCTGCTTGCTGTACAAATATCCCAAAGGCGTCACAACGGACGCGCGGCTCCAGACGCTTTTCAGCCTATTCAGAGAACCCCAACGTCCAGACCTAGCCGACCGAATCGAACTGGCCCGTGCAGTGGCTCAAACGTTGTATTATCTTCACACCGTGGGGTGGTTGCATAAGGCGTTTCGCTCGGACAATATTCTATTCTTCCAGGAACCGAATAAAGGCGTGGAATACAGCACGCCCTATGTGTCGGGATTTGATAATGCTCGCCCATCGGGCCAGGACCAGATGAGCCAAGTGGCAGGGGCGAAGGAAGGGCTGGAGTACTATCAGCACCCAGACACGCTGACCGGATTCGATGAAGAAGGTAGAAAACCATTCCGCGCCACCTTCGATGTGTATTCTCTCGGCATAATCCTGATCGAGATTGCACACTGGAAACCGTTGCGAGAAATCCTCCGGGGCAGCGCGGTACGGCCTTGGGAAGTCCATGATGCCCTTTTTCGAGACCCTCGTTGGCTCCAAGATGTGGGCTTCGCCGTAGGTCGAGCGTACGAAGACGTCGTCCGGACTTGCCTTCAAGGGTGGAACAGCCTGGGCGCTGACGGTGTGGAAGAGACCAGTACGGAGGGAGCTCTTTGTCTGATGACCAACTTTGAAATGATGGTCCTCGAGAAGCTCCACAATATTCAAGTCTCGGGCTAAACCCGTAGCATCGTGTACGAAGGAGTGTAGGTTGCTACCAATAAGAGAATCGCATTCCACCAGTGATACAATCATAGTGTGACTAAATATAAGAAGAATATGAAAAGCAATACCAAGAGACCACTGCAGGAGAAGAACCATCATCCTCTCTGTCCAGCCCCTTAGGACCCACACCACCTCTCTCAGACGACCATTGTACTGTCCGTGTCAAAATCCCTTATGTGCATAAACTCCGGAAATCCGCACTTGCCATTGCGTGAGAAGCGGCAAGGATATTCCTTCTCAAGACAATGGTGACCAAACAAACAATCTTTATTAATGCACTTAGTGCCGTTTTCACATGGCTTATTACGAGTCAACATCCGAAGCATAAATAGCTGATCATCCGACGCCGAGTAATCCTTCTGGTGTTTAAATTCACAATTCGGGTTGCGGCAGCCACGGGGGTCGAGGAAGGAAAATCGACACAGGTTCAGACCCTTGACGTAGTTATAACGTTCTTTTGCAGTGTCGTCCCAATTCCGGCCACTTTTAATAGCCTCTATGTCCAATCGCTCGCGGTTTCGGTTCAGGAAAATGGCCTCTGGTTTTCCGTGGGAATAATGAGGAGCCTCTGGTGGAGGAGTTCCCATGCTTAGGCTTGACTTGCTTCGAGACATGGTAAGGCGTGTGACGGTGTCGGGGGAGTTCCATGGGTTAGTTAATGGCTGCAGTGCACCTGTCTGCCCTATCTTCAATTTTTCCTTCAACTCCTCCAGCTCGGCGGCAATGGTCTTATTCTGAGTCTGGCACTCTTCCAGGTCTCTTTCTTCACGATGATTACTACTGGATTCGCCACATCTAATCCCAAAGAATCCTCAAGGATGGAGAACTTACTGACGCTATCATACTTGTAAGTGAGTGCCGCGCTCGCGGCCTTCTCGCTCTCATACTTGGAGGAGAGTTTCTCGTACTCTTCTTTCAGTCGGTCATACCTCTCCAGAAGGGCTTTGAAGCCTACACCGTCTTTGTCGCGGCGACAGCACATCCCATGCAGTCGACCCTCGGGATCCATCGTCGCGAGTTGGGAGGCGACTTCGTAGGCGCTCGGGCGATGCGCCGGGTCCATCGCTAACATACTGAGGATCAAGTCTCGGATGCCGAATATCTTTCCGGCTGCGGCTGGTGGGACCACCATCGTCGCCCAAGCTAGTCGGGAACAGGTGTAGGTCCGATGAAATCTGTCGTTCCCCAGCCTCATTTTCCACTTCCCCAGGTCGCTTGTGGTACCGATGGTGTCTTCCATGTCTTTCCGCGAACGGCCCATCAGGAATGTGAAGACTTCCAAGAAGACCAGACCCAGAGAGTAGATGTCAGACTTGCGACTCCGCTCCTCCCCGCACAATTCTTCGGGCGCTGCATAGATCTCGGTCCCATCAAACCGGGTCCTTGCGGTCACCGTCGAGTCGCTGTCCTCGAAATCCTCGGACACATTGAAGTCAGTGAGGTAGAAGGAGTTGCGGTCGACGAGAATGTTACTAGGTTTGATGTCCTTGTGTCGAACTTTCCTGTTGTGGATGTAGAGGATGGCGCTTGTAATGCATCCATAAATTTGTTCCAGCCGAGGGCCGACCACTCTCGGGAGTGACTTCAGACTGTCATCGTCCACACTGTGGATCCATCCCAGCTCGTACAAATACTTAGGTTGTGGTGAGCCTGCCTGACAGTTGTCTAACTCGCGTAGTAAGGCCGACAGGTCACACGTGGCACAAGGGAACAGCAAGATGTGAGTAGTGTGATCTTGATCGTAGGATCCCACAAAGGAGACAATGTGGTGATGATCAAGTTTCTTCAGCAAATCGATTTCGTTCTTGATATTCTTCTTGGGGAATGATGCCGAGGGCATGACACTCTTCCTGGCGAAAGCAATCTCTGCATTATTCTTCGGATGGGTCCATATCGCCTTCACCACTCTTCCTGCGCCGCCGTGACCGATGGCGTCCGACCCAATAGCCAGGGGGGGCTCTTCCGTACGGTTGTAGGACGGTTCGCGCCCCTTTCCCGACCAGTGACCCTCCACCGTCTCAAGGTCGTCCAGCAGTTGCCGTCCCCTGGAGGGTATGGGCCTGACCTCTGACCCCATGGGAATCCGAAGGGGATATCACGCGTCCGTTATATAAAATGCGAGGAGTATAGTACACGTTGCAACTCTGTCTGAGTATGATCTCCCACAATGGTGGTGAGAAAGATTTGAAGGAGTTCTCCTCGGGGTTCCATGTCCTTGCGGCGCGTCGACGACAATCGCAGCCTTGCGATCCTTTTACCCCGCCCTTCTCTAGTGTATTTCCAAAAAAAGCAACATAACGCATGGGGACCAGGGTCTCAGGATGCTCTACGCTCCTAGTTATTTGCGGACTCCTCATCTCTTCTTCATACCGCTCCTCTTTTCCCTTCAGAACAACTCGAAATCTGCTGACTATCAGAGAAGAAGACTAGATCGTTGTGCGTCAAATCTCTACATATATGTAATAGAAATCCCAACTTGAAGCTTCGAACATGTATGTAAGGTTTGACATTAGGCCTAGATAGGGAAGGATCTCACCGATCACAAGAACTTGTACGTATGGGGTGTCAGCTTTAAGGGTTCAGGGTTGAGTGGCTGGGGTTCAGGCATGAATTCTGTACGTGATGAGGTCACATTTCGGAGCCCGAAAAGACAGAAACGGGTCACAGTTGAACGGGGTCCAAAAAAATCTCGGCGGTGCTCAGAATTCTGCCACTGCCCCTGACTCAGAGTCACCAAAGAGTGAGAGTTATATTTCGAACACAACACTGTAGACGCATATTAAGGTTTCGTCGCTTTTTCTGAACTTCTCGTTTCTTTGAATGCAATAATAGATTATAGGAATAACTGGGAAACATAGTCTTCAGAGAAACACCAGGTAACCAGAAATGTACTCAATCTTGACCACACTCCATTTTGTCTGAAATGTACTTGGCCGTTCGCAATGCTTGGTTGGGGGTAGAGCTTCAAGGTTGCGGGCAAGTACAGCCTAGAGCGTCTTTTTCTTCCCAGTTTGTAGGTAAGTAGACTTGAAAAACTGTAGAAACATCCATGCCAGAGAAACAATGAAAATAATACCAAGCCATGTCGCAGAGGTATGGCTGCCCTGGTTCGTGCAACTGACTGTTCGTACGTCGCAATATGACTCTCCACGAACCGCTGCGCCTTGGGAAGCCGGCGTCTCTACAGAATCTCCCATCGTCCTGTGTTCGGTGCAACGATTGTAGTCAACAGGAACATCATAATAGATAAAGAGGTAGCATGGGCAGACAATAATGTCAATGAAGAATTGCACGATTTGGATGGTTGTCATTGCTGCCTTAACTGATCGAGGCACTGCAACATGAATCGATTTCAATGCGTAATAGGTATACTGCAACTTTTTGGTCAGCCCCTTACCTCCTTCAGGCTCTGGTATATTTGATCAGCCCTTACCATAAGTGCATGGACGCCAGCATTAAGGAATAATGTGATTAGTGCCGGCGGGGGTTCAGAACGAACTGAGGCCCACCCGAAGAGAATAACACCTGCATGGTGGTAAATTTGGAGTAAAGAAGCCTGTCGGCCTTTTGCAAGAATAATAGCAGTATCAATAAATTCATAAAACTTCGATATGTAGAATGCCCAGCCGACAAAGACTAACTCCTGGAGGGTTTCCTTATGAGGTACGATCTGCCCACCTTGACAGAATAGGTCTGCCACCAGAACCGTATAGAATGTATCATGTCTTCTGGGCCATGCGTTTTCAAGTGTTCGAACAACCGTGAAAACAATCCAGGTTGAATAAAGAGCTAGAAGAACGTTATGTAGGATAACCGTATGTCGGAACCACCTCGTTTGGCTTATCGCCCATGGCTTCCCGTGTCTCCTTTTGTTAATGTGATTCAGAAGTAGTGCAACAATTGTATACATGACAATCGCAGCAAGAGAAAAATTCAAGTGCGAGGTGATGCGGTAAAACGATATTGGTATGCCGAGATGTGCCAATTTGCAAGTTGGAATGGTCGGCTTTGGTTGAGTCCGATCAACCATGGAGAGGGATAACGGCGGAAAGCCAAAGTGTACAGACATCTTGTAAGTCAGCTATATCAGATACAACTAGACAAACAGTATCTCTGAAGAGAAGCCTGGGAGATATTAAAATTGGATCAATAAACATAAATGCTGTGCTAAAGCTTTTGAAATGGAGAGGGTGGTCACTAGCTATATCTAGCCCATTATCGGCAAGCATCTGTCAACAATTTTGAACTTATCGACAGAGTGCTGGTTATCCTAAAATATTAGCGAATTGATACAACCAAAGGACCTCGTCTTCTCGCAACATACATGGCAGTGCGCCATGCATAACCCAATAGACTGGCAGCATTAGAAAAAGAAGGCTTATAGCAATGTGAAAAGGTCGGGATTGTATATGGGGATTCGCTCGGCAACGAGTATATAATGCACACTTGGCCAACAATTTCCATTGTTGAGGTAGGGAAAGAGGTCAGGTGGATAGCCAGAGACCTCTTGTGGTTTTCTCCATTTCTTTTCCCTGTTCTCCTTTCTCAATGAGATTATGCTGTCCCTACTACAAGACACATGCTCATTATCCGAAGTTGTTACTCAACCCTGAGTTTGATCCATTCATAGTGGTATTGACTTTCTCCGAGTTAACGTAATGAAGTTGATTGATCCAAAACTGTCATTTTGCTGGCTCTTCAGCAGGGTGATCAGCGCTACGCAATCCACTCAGAAACAGCTTTTCTGTGATCTTGTGCCCTGATCATATGGTGGTCTGTATCACATCCGACAAGTACACAACTTTCGTATATGTGAAAGCATACAGCGTAGGACATCAACCATCAATGCTACTGTCAGTCTGGGCTCCGTCAGCCTTATCATGTATACGCGACACTACCTATATCTTTCCCGCTTAGTCGGCGGCGATAGACAGCAGGATATAATAAGACAACAGAAGATCACAGCTGAGAAGCTTTATATGAGCATGCACCAAGGTCTGTATTATATAAGAAAGGTGCTTATACCAGACAACACATTGTGACCAGCTTTGGACAAAGAGAGCCCACTGTTGTGAAAGAAGCTCCTTGTTCTCTGTCTGCTACTGGCTGGTACTCTTTTCTACCAAAGCTGTGATAGCCATATAAACACCGAGTCAGTCCGTGTGGTGGCCGGTTGCACAATAGTATTTATCCTCCGTAAACTCCCAATTCAGTGCCTGATCTGGTCTGGACCACGCGACTGACTTTTCGATTGACGTGATAGATGTGACGAATTTTTAACCGGCGAATATCTTTGCAATGTTCAGCTAGAGACTCAAGGCCGATAATCCCATCATATACATTGATGGTCAGCGCGTTTGCACTGCTCGTAGTGTTACATACCTACTAATATATTATCCCGAGCGACCAGCCAATAAACAAGGCACCCCGGCTGGGGCCATGGAAACTAGTAATAGCTAATGCTGATGTCTGTGTGGCTACAAAGAATATCTGCCAGCCTTTCCGAGCGGAGCGACATGGCCCGTGACATATTACTATACTTCCCCTAGAGCTGGTCCGACTTCTCGTCGTTACAAATAAATTCCGTGGCTTCTTTGGGACAAAGATAATTCGATACTCGAACAAGTAATATGGGCTTACATGGCAAAGGGGAGCCTTGTACTTGGGTGATGAGACGGATGATATGGGTTGCGAAATGCACGAGGGCAGAAGTTGGGGAGGCCCGGGGGAGGGGGGGTTTATACTAGCAGTCCTGTTAAGGCTGTAAGGCCCTAAGGCTGCGGCGGCACGTCGGAATGGTGGAGGTGGTTCACGGGTCCTCTCCAAATTGTTCAATATTGGCCATGACATGATGCTGTAGGAAAAGCCTCTATTCATTTGTATTAATATACGATACTCTGCTAATTAAAATCTATATTAGTGAAAGTGCAACACAGGCTTAACGAAAGCCGGGTATCTAAGACTAGATTAAATCCTTTCCCATGTTAGGGGGCGTCTTGTATGATGGGCCAGCCATCGATATATCCCAGATAACTATATCCCAGTCGGGCTTCCTGTTGAAATATCAGCGACGTGACACGATATGAGAGATCTAGAGAGGGGCTGAGGACTAACCCAGAAATCATAGCTGATAGTTGTGTTTACTGATCTGGTTAGCTTACTCGTCCTTGGGTACCGGAAAAGAGACCCACAGTAATGATAATAAAGAATATCTCCAGTCTCCCCAGTTAAAACACCCTGCCCTCCCGGCGCGTAGACGTCGTTGTTAGAGCCATAGATGAGTTCTCCTCCGCCCTCAGCAAGCTCTTTTCCTTGTTTGTCTACAAACGGACCGTGAGGGCTCTCGGAGCGTCCGACGCGGATACTATATCTATGTTTTTGTTAGTGTGAACAATTGTGAAACCAACAATAAATACTAGAGTTCCCATTGGGAATGGGAGGAGAGTGAAGGAATATACGAGCAAGGCTTACTCTTCACCTGATGGTGGAAGGTTGTTGGGATCATAATCGCAGCACTGGCCCCAGCTCAGCCAGAGATAGTAGTACGGTGCATGGTAAGAGATATAAGCACCCTCAACCGGGCGGCGACCGGACGAATCCCGACAGAGTGGATTGGTGTTTTGGTTCTGTGACTTTACTTGCTCAGGCTGCGGATGCTTTGCTAGATGATGCGCATTGGATCCAGTTGTGTTGCCGACCGAGCAGAGGTCTTCATTCAATGGGACCTGCCATATTCCAGACCAATAGCTACCGAAGATCAAAAGTCCTTGATCATCGGTGACCAGAACTGCAGGGTCAATGGCATTTACCTCATTGAATGGATATTCCTCCGAGCCCTGTCCTGTGCCCGACTGAATAATAGCCCCGTGGTCTGTCCATCCTCCTGGACCCGGTGTTTGTGATGTGGCTACACCGATAGCACTGTCGCGACACCCAGCATTGCTGACTGAATAATAGCAATAAAAGATCCCGTTCACTTCGATAGTCGTAGGAGCCCAGGGCTTTGCGCGGTCACCTTTGGGGATGATGCTGTCTTGATCCAGGACACTTCCGATCTGCCTCCACGGTCCAGCTAGATTGGATGCCTGATGAATAACGATGTGCTCTCCTACACCATAAGCATAGTAGATGCCATTGACGTTGATGACGGTTGGGTCATGGATCTTGAGGTCGGTAGCTTGTGTATAGGCTGAAGATAAAGGACCTGAGCGCGGTATGCTCCTGCATAGAGAGACCGTAAAAATGGAGAATAATATCGGTATGAGGACCATCTTAATATAACCACGATTGAACAACCATTTATTATCAGGTATGGGAGAGTTCAGGCTGGGTACGAGAAATAGCATGCTAATAAATGGTGCCCCCAGCAAGCCCCTTCTCGGCGGTCGGGAAACTCGTCCCCATACTCCTGATTTTTTTCTCGTTCTCCAGTTTTCTTTTTTGTGAGCACGGCAGATCAGAAAGTGTAGCAGCATAATCTAGCACAGGGTCACCCGAATGCCCCCAGGGGTGTAGTATCCCTAGTCTAGAACGACAGGATCAGCAACGATTTACTCCGATAGGAGACTGTTCAGTGAATAATCGGTCCTGCAAAACTCCGTTCTCAAACACCCTGGACGAAACTTCTAAGATACAAATCAGGCTATTAGGACTGGGGTGTGGGCCCTTGTTGTAAGAAATGCAGATGCAACCGGTAGTGAATAGCTCGAACCTAAGTGTGACCAAATTTTGGACCCCGTTGGAGAAAACTTATAGTTCGTAGATACACAGGGGATACAGTTCATATGTTCATGACCGATCAACACGGATGATCGCCACAGGTAGCCAGGATTGGTATCATGTTTAGTGAGAAGGTGTATGTGCCGAAAGGAAGCACTCCGTAGTACGGGACTTCTTACCGAGATGTTCATCAGTTGTAACTCTTGCGTAATCTCTGGGAGGAAAGGAGGAAACCCGCACTGGGACCACTCTAGAGGGAATTACGACATCACTCGAATGATTGCAGAGAGCCAATGCACTTACTAATATAGCAACGTCGGAGTCGGTGATCGCCGAGGGATTTTCGACGTTCGCATAAGGGATGTTTATCCCATTATTGCCTCAAGAAGTGGAGCCGGCTCCTTCTTACAGACTTTGAAAGTTGACTCATCCATTGACGCGCACTGCTTCCCGGATACATCAGAGCTGCACCTTTATCAAGTAAACGGTCGGAAGATCGTTATGGGTGGGTACCTGAACGGAGAGAATAAAGTTCCCTACGGAACGCAACCGTGGACATAAATAGGGTACCATGTATCATGTGCCGCGCTCAACTCTGCTAGTTAAACAAAGCAGCAAGACAAAAAATACAATATCTATCGCTTCAAATTCTACTGTGGGTTGGTAGGGGATGGATCGATGAGGCTACATTTGACAATATCGCCTCCGAAGGATGACTGATCTGCAAGGTGATCAACGGATTTTCGGCCGATCTAAAATAGAGGACAATCATTGCGCCCAATATCAAGCATACATCACGGTAGAGCTCATGAAACATATAATTAGAAATCCACCAACGCCGAGTAGTCTCACTCTCTGAGTGCGATTACCGGGGGAACAAAATGCCCGATGTAAAAATAAAAGCCATACCCTCACACACCGCAAGGGGGTTTAGCGGACGACGATCTTGTCCACTTCATCCTTTGCCTCGGTCCATGTCTCGAGGTTTTTCCGGGCCCAGTCCAGATGGCATCGGGCATATGCGACCTACAGAAAATATCTCAATATTAGCGTTTCCCTCGACCATATTTTGTAGTCCTCGTTCCTTACCATGTAACGTCGCAGATCACCCTCCTTATCCTTCTGGAATCGCTTCAAATCTTGCAAGACACCTGTGCTAGCGTCTTTGACGTCCTTTTCCGAAACCTCAAGCGCTTGCTCCAACTGTGCATATTTTGTTAGTAAACTAGATATAGGGAAAGGGGGCAAGGGCCATAACAGCCCAAAGGCAGTGTGGTTAGACTAACCTGAAGTAAACTCTCCTTCGTTTTTCCAATCTGATCTCGTCGCGTCCTCTCCGGGTCAACATCAACGAACCCGTGGACGGCGTGGCTGATACGCCCAAACAACTTGTTCGTCATAAATGTCCCACTGGCTGACTTGCGATGTGCTGGAGACGAGGATGTCTCAGGCCGTCGTGATGGAGATACCGGGGGTAACGGCGCATGCGAGCCGATCGATTCCCCATGGGTAGGGGGAAAGTCTGAATCGATAGAGGTAGTATCTTCCGGACCGCCGGGGCGAACATCTGCTCCATGACTGCCCGGTCCGCTCGTAGCTGACGACGTAGATAAGGAGCGTTGCGATCTCGTCCCTGATCCTTGAGGTGACGTCCGATTCAGGTACTGTTCAATCCGCTTTGCTTCCAACTCGCTCCGTTCCAGAGAATCCAGCAATGTCTTTTTCTTGGCTAACTCATCCCTTGTCATCTCTTCTTGCACCCGCTTCAGCACCCGATAACGTAGGACACTACGAACAATGCTAGCGAACTGTGCGCTTTCCCTCATAGGTTCGGCAAAGCTGGCACTTAATGCATTGGAGAGCTCCTCAGTTTCGATGTAAGATGTGTCTGCTGCCTGACCAATTCGCTCAATTGCCGCGGCTACCGTGGGTGATTGTTCGGACAGAGAGAAGCCGTTGTATCGTGCCCCAAGCTCCATGAGGTCTGCTGACAATGAAGATAAATGCGCCAGTGTTCGACGATTGACTTTCTCGATATTCCCTTGCAATAGCAGCTCAAGCTCCCGTGTAGATGCCTCAAAGTTGATGAAATATGGGTCCAATTCTTGCTCGCTCAATTTGCGGGACTCCGGAGGGAAACGTCCTAAAACATCGGGGCTCGGCGCATCGACTGGGGGAGGCGCAGCTGAAGCTGCATGACCAGAAGTACCCTTGAGCTTTGCAGAAGAAGATGGCACCGGTAGCCAAGCGTGTGCGGCTGTGGGGTTGGCGGGATCTAGGGGAGGTGCTTTCAAATTGTTCTTGGGCACCGAGGATGCGGGGTGAGAATGAAGGACCTCGCTCTATATTAGAATTAGCCTTTACCGCCGAGTTCGCAGGCGCTCGGTTCATACATACCCAGCTAACATTAGGATCTAGAAACCTCCACCAAACGCCGTCCTCACGGACTTCCTTCATTCTGCGACAGCGATTCAAAAAGACAGCCAGCATCCGCTTTCGGAGCTCAATTATCGCAGTATCCTCCTTAGCCTTGGTAGGTTTGGCTGCATAATCCGCCATTGTATGTTTCTCAGGAATGGGCGGGATGACGAGTGTGGGATGGAGGTTCACAAGAGTCTGTCGCAGGGAGGCGAATTCAGAGTATCGTCGCCGGACTTCCAAATCCTACATATGTTAGTCGACTCTATAGACGGTCTCCTACCTGCATCATAACATACTCCAGTTCGTATGGTGTACACGATAAAGCTTCCACCACCCTCGTGGTTCTTGCCGGCATCGGTGATCAGGATCGGCATCTCCGGGTTCTCATAGAGGATTTGTTCTATGCGGCTATCGTAAACGGACTTCCCGTAGTAGCCATGACTGGCGGGTTGGTTGTCATATCCTTCATTTTCCTCGTCGCTAAAATCCCGCGGGTGTGAAAGGTAGTCGTCGGTCGGATCCTGGGTTGACGCCTTGCTGGAGGGGGAGGGAGGAGTGTATTCGCGTTCGTAGAGAGCTTGCAGAGGTTAGTCTGCGCGCATCGAATTGGGCAGGGAGCCTTACTTGGAGAAAGGTTCGCCGAATGTAAGGATTCGGAAAGACGGGCTTCGGGATCGAATGCGCCGTATGGGTTGTTATCCTCGTCGTTCCACATGGTGCTGGTCCTGCTGGGAGACCGGAGACTGGGCAAAGCAGCCCTGGCAATTTAAGAGTCCGAGATAAGCGAACAACACATAAAAGATGACCTGTCAGTTGTAGGAATAGTTATATAGAGGACACAATTAAGATATTACTCGGTTCAAGCTGTTGGGTAAAGAGGAAGCAGTGAGATGGCTGAGCTCAAGGCATCAATAGCTGGAACCGCGGGAAAGTCACCGCCCGCAACCATTCGCGGGGATTCAACGTCACTGACTCCGGGGAGCCACAGGAACCAAAGCAGTCATTCTTATCAGAGTGGCTCGGCGCGCTAATCCCGTTTCGGCGGTCCACGTTTCTTCAACAAACCCACAACAATTTATAGAAATATGGTTATATACGTTTGGAGCAGGTGTTATATACTCTCATTTCTCTTCGATTCTGACTACATGATGATTTACTCAGTACGGAGAGGCTACCCACATTGCAATGAAACCGCCAAAGATCTACGCATTCTCTAATAGCTAGCTATGTGAAGTGAAGCGTAGCTTCGACAGAGAAAAACCAGCCTGGAATGTTGGACAGCCCCCTCGACCAAGGGCCTGAAATCAAGATATTGGAGAATTTTACTGATACACAGTACTGTGAACTTGTAGATGGCATCATGCCTCGGCCCTTCATGATCCAGCGAAGCTCATTTTAGCTCCGTAGCCAAGCCTCGTGTACTCTCTTTTACCACGGCTCGGCCAACTAGGTTGTCTTGGGCTAGGCGTGACACCTTCCAGAGACCAAAGTCATCAGGTGACCTTTTCTCAAACGAATGAGATAAAGCTGGTTCCCCATCTCTATACAAAGGTTGATTGTTTCGGTTCCATGGCTCCCAGCGAATGACTGGCTTTGAAATACGGACACATCTGAAGGAACCTAGGCGAATTCATTTGCGACAATCTCCTCAACGTATTCCACGATACTTGGGTCGTATTCAGTGACCTGCGTCACCTCGTCTAGACTTAGATATCTCATGCTGCGCATAAAACGTTCTTCGTACTTCTGTGTAAGTTCTGCAAAGACTACGTGTTCATTTCCTGGTATTGTGGAACCTTTGATTTCATCAAGATCAGGCAGGGTGACGTCTTGGATTGTGTTGTAGAAGGCTTCATTGGCAATAACTGCATTTCTGGGTGAGTTGGCCGTATCCGACGACGCTTGATCAAACATCATGGCTACTCGTGTGATCATCGTGGCTGGTAGCAGTACGGAAATGCATCCTGACCTTGGTTTCGTCATCACTGAGCTTTTTCTTCCCTTCAAAGTCTTCTGGTTGAAATCGGGGATTAGTCAAGGGCATACCTTGACGAATATAAGTGAAGTATGCTGAACGCACTAGCTCAAGGATCTCAGGCGTATCACTTAGATGAGACGAAAGCCAGGAAATATATGTTGTTGTTCAACGCACAATTATCTAATTGAATCAATAATAAGTTCGCCATGGGAACACATCCCGAAGAATTTGATGGCTAGCTGCATCACCATAGATATTAGGATCATACGCATACCATTTCACCTTGTAATCTTCGAGGTCAAGGAGAACAAACGGCGTTTTGGATCGAGTGAGAGAGTTGCAGGTTTTTAGCGACGTGGCCTTGGAATTCGCGTATGATGGTGGCTACCTCCAATGAGGCTGTTTGCGTGAGTCTATAGTAGTGCCTTGCAAACAACCCGTTGACGTCGTGGTGTGTAGCTGAGTTGATAACTGTATTTATATATAAGCGTGGAGGCATGACTGTAAACATTCCACATATGTGATATACTTTGCTCGCAATATCGCAGAATTGTAACATTGAAGCTTAAATATATAAAAAAAAATTAAATTGACTACTAAAGATTAACTCATCCTCTGATGCTGTTGAAGTAGATGTTGCGTTTTTGGGGAGAGGATGAAGGCTGACAGGGTATGCCACAACCCTCAACAATAACTCAGAACTCGGGAACTGCCCACCACCTTTGCATTTCTCATCCCTCCAACCACCTAGTCGGAATGAGGGCATGCTGGATATTTACAATCACACCATTCCTACCACTAGTGGTATTTGGATCAGCACCAGTGACAAAGCTGATTATCGACTCAGATCTGTTTAGTGATGTTGAGTAAGCCTTTGTTGAGGTCTCGGTCTCATATTCCCCGCCCGTTGCTGATGATCTCCTCAGTGATGTAGCCGCTCTTTTGGTGGCTTGTGGCCATCCAACAGCGACGCTAATGGGCGTCATGATCAATTATCCGTCGATATACAGTGCCTTAGCTGCCTCTAGTATTCTCGGGTATTATAGCTACTCTGACGTTCCAGTTGGTCTTAAAAGACCGTTTTCCAACGATACTTTCTTTGACGCCTGGTCATACCAACTAGGGGAATATGCAAGCAAAGTCGCATACAACTGGCGACATAATGCATCGATGCCATGGGGAGACGCAAGCAGTGCGTGGTATCCCGTCGAGCTGTACCGGAAGCTTTTATCGAAGGCGGACGATCACAGTGTGACCATTGCCAGTATTGGATTCCTCGATAACGTGAGTATTTGCGAAGGTTCATTGCTTGAAGCAATTGCTTAAATATTCCCTAGCTCTCTGAGCTTCTTTCATCTCCGAGTGATGAATACTCTCCACTTTCAGGGCATGACCTTGTAAAGGCTAAGGTGACGGAACTCGTTATCATGGGTGGAGCATACCCATGTGGATATGAATACAATTTCTACGGCAACAATGCTTCCGCAACCGCCCATGTGGTAAGCACTTGGCCGGGGCCCATGACATTCTCTGGAAGTGAACTTGGGGCGACCGTCTACTCGGGGGCGCGGTTGACGGTAGAGGGACCTGATGGTGATCCAGTCAATGCAGCTTACCGGTGGTACACGTATGTTGCTCCATGTTCCACACATGCGATAACCGCTGACTGACGTTACAGCGGATACAACATGTCTCGGAGTTCGTGGGATCCTCTTACTGTACTCTATGCCATCGACGGATTGGGAAGTATGTTTGAATACGCAAACAATGGAGGGCAGAACTATATTTACCCCAATGGTAGAAATGAATGGCTGCCAGACAACCCTCTGTATCCGCAGAAATACTTGAAGCTGCGAATGTCCGAAACACAAGCTGGTGAAATTTTGGATGTTTTGTATCTCGACACAGCGAGAAGAGCTGCAAGGAGGTAATAGGCAATTGAATTTTGATATCGACTTGCTTGGAAAGACAGCAATTGTGACTAGCATGACAATAAATGGAGCAAAAATTGCCAATTGACATAGGCTTATTGAACCAGAACTCACCATCATCCAACCTCTTGTAGGTAGGCACCATTGCCTCGGAGACATTAATTTGAACTCGAGGGCTGCCTGCCTGGTCCCACCTGCCTTAAGTCGACTTATATTGCAACGATCGTCCACGTGCGTGCATAGCTAGATAGGGCCCACCAATCTTGGTTCTGTCGTAGAGTAATTGACGATAGGATCTCTACTGGGCCCTCATGCCTGCTATCTGAATATTGTGAATCTTTGTAGAATAGCTTGTTTCACTGATAAACATCGTAAAATACGGGATACTTTCTTCGAAAAGAAATCCTCGAGGATTAAAAGGTGGTGGGCAACAGGCTAATACCCCAAAATGTGTGTGCTCAGTCTCAGGGCAATGTCGCCGTTCGGTTTGGGAATAACTGAAGCGAGATTCGTGCCCAGCGCATAGAGCTATAACTATAGATGTGAGAGGATACTCAATAACTATGGCGTGTTAATACTTGCGGATTGGGGACATATAAATCCACGACTCGAAACGGCTGATGTTGTATATATTGGATCAAATTAATCCTGAAATGGAGACTACTCAAGCCATATTGAATAGTCTAATATAGCCTTATTAATTGAGACGTTAAGGGGTCAAAAATTCGCAACGACCAGGTAAAGATTGAAGAGTAGTCAATCCTGTTGCTTGGACTATTTCTCCTATCGACAGAAGCATTGCCGAAGTATAATCTAGGCAGCGAAATAATGTTCAAACACCAATTAAGACAGAGTCAACGAGAGACGTTGATCTAGGTAGGTTAATTTATCCATGTATCATATGTAGGGTCTAGTCTCCATAGTCCGGACGCATAATAAGAAATCCCGCCAATTGCGCAATGCAGTCTTGTTGAATGGAATTTGCAGGGTGAGTCCGGCACTGGTCGGAACATCTATCTGGATACTTTTTGTCCGACCCTTGAATTGAAGTGGAAGTGATCGGCTCAGGGGTCGGATTTTATTGACTGGGGCCAGATTACGTAGGTTTAGTGGAGACTCCTGACTCGGTCCGATCTCGCCAGAGGATCCAACAAAGCTGCCCCGTTTCATAGCCTTAGGATTCCTGTTTCAATGGCTAGCTGGTATCTGTCTTTTCGGCTTTCTGCACATTACGTTCCGGATGTTCAATCCTATCTCTGTCAATCGCACAAGGTGTAGATAGGTCCAAAGGAGTGAGATACAACAGATTCAATTGTTGTTAAGATCATCTTAGGTAGAACGTCGGTACCGTTTGGCTGGTGGAATCGCAGCTAAGCTTTTTTTGACTACGCGAACCGGAAGCTTAGCCGTAGACTCAAGCCACTTGTTTCAATCTCAGACATGTTTTTCCGCTTCCAAGGAGTTCCCCTTCTTCTCCACCCTGCTGTATTGTAAATCTTCCGTCGAAAGAAGGTAATAGGATGCGATAGTCTGAATTGCAGCTCATCAGTGGTAGGAAAAGGGATATAAAATCCTCCTCGGACTCCGACCATGCTTGCCTTTCTCTCAGCATTGTCTCTATCCATCCTCCATTCTTTAGTCTTTCTTTCAGTCCATTTTTGAAGGCCTCTTGTTGACCAAGTCCCTATCCTTTCTTTCCGAAAAATGCAGCTTCTCCAATCTTCCGTCATTGCCGCTACTGTCGGCGCTGCGCTGGTCGCCGCAGTCCCTGTGCCCGAGCTTGAAGCCCGCGACTCCTGTACTTTCACCTCCGCTGCCGACGCCAAGTCGGGAAAGACCTCTTGCTCGACCATCACTCTGAGCAACATTGAGGTCCCCGCTGGTGAAACCCTTGATCTGACGGGCCTCAAAGAGGGCACTACTGTATGTATAAATGTTTAAGTACATGCTCTCATAGTTAGCATATACTAAAGCCATGTCTAGGTCATTTTCTCGGGTGAAACTACCTTTGGCTACAAGGAGTGGGAGGGCCCTCTCATTTCCGTCTCTGGCACCAACATCAAGGTCCAACAGGCCTCTGGTGCCAAGATTGACGGAGACGGATCCCGCTGGTGGGATGGAAAGGGTGGAAATGGTGGAAAGACCAAGCCCAAGTTCTTCTCTGCCCACAAGCTGGACTCTTCTTCCATCACCGGCCTCAAGATCTACAACACCCCCGTCCAGGGCTTCAGCATCCAGTCGGACAACCTGAACATCACTGATGTAACCATCGATAACTCCGCTGGTACCGAAGAAGGCCACAACACCGACGCCTTCGACATCGGCTCTAGCACCTATATTAACATTGACGGTGCCACCGTGTACAACCAGGATGACTGTCTTGCCATTAACTCTGGCTCGGTACGATAACATCATCCCAGTTGGAATCTTCCCAGCTTTCCTCCATCTCATAACCTGGTCACCAGCTAACACCCCTGTAGCACATCACCTTCACCAACGGCTACTGTGATGGTGGCCATGGTCTCTCCATCGGCTCCGTTGGTGGTCGTAGCGACAATACTGTCGAAGACGTGACCATCTCCAACTCTAAGGTTGTCAACTCCCAGAACGGTGTTCGTATCAAGACCGTCTACGATGCCACCGGTACTGTCTCCAACGTCAAGTTCGAGGATATCACCCTTTCCGGTATCACCAAGTACGGACTCGTTGTTGAGCAGGATTACGAGAATGGCAGCCCCACTGGTACCCCAACCAACGGTATCAAGGTCTCGGACATCACCTTCGAGAAGGTTACCGGCACCGTGGAGAGCGACGCTACTAATATCTACATTCTCTGTGGATCTGGCAGCTGCACTGACTGGACTTGGTCGGGTGTCTCCATCACAGGTGGTAAGGCTAGCTCCAAGTGCAAGAACGTTCCTACTGGTGCTTCTTGTTAAATACGGACTCACACGGGGGGATTGGCTTGCGGTGTTCATAGTTATTATTCTTGGTGTTATTGCTTCGCTGTTCGTAGTGCTTACAGGTTAATATAGCATTACGCAACAACTACGCAATTCACTCCTTTTACACATTGCGTCTTACGCAGCTTCTTATTCTTTACATTCTTGATGGAGCCAGGGGAGGGGAAAAACGCGATGTAGACTTCGGAGTACTATATCTTCAACCTATAGGGTGTCAGACACGTAATACGATATCAGTATGTAGATAGGCTGCCCCGTCGCTAGGTATGAATCCACACCGGCCGTTGACCTAGCTGACAAGGGCTTTGTGGCCAAGCCAGATCGCACAGGATCCAGAAGGTGGCACAGTATCTACTCTGTAACCGAGCCTAGAGCACCTCACCCAGCCCTTACTAGAAAACATACATCTCGGCAGTATACTACATACTCTAATTGCCGGAGAGAATCTTGGCATGCCACCCCGCGTTGCACCTCGCAGCCTCATATTCAACGATGCGGATATAAGATTGGCCATGGACTTGCTGTGCCACCATGGATGGTTGGATCTGCCGATCGTAACGTATCTGGAACCCATGATTGATTGACTTTGGACCCGCCCTCCGTAGTGGCGAGCTGAAGCCTTTCAAGATCGGAAGGATCTTAAGTGTACGGTGACGTTCAACAGTGAGGAGAATCGAACTCCTCGCTTAAGGAACCCCAAGTGTTCTTCGCCAATATAAGATTCTCCCCCAATCTACCGTCCTCCCACCTCAACGCAAAAACCAGGATACGATTTGAACAAAATGGGTCTTATCGAAGACCTTTTTGGGGATGACAATATCCTTACCACCCCTGTCGACAGGTTTATTCTAGATAATAATGTGAGTGCGTTACATAGATATAATATGACGGTCCTGACGTTTACAGAAGAACTGCGAATCCCGCCTTATTCCCAATATTCCTCCCACTGATAACAATGAATCATGGGAACGGTACGACAATGGCCAGAACACCAGTGGGTACGCCGTTGCTGCGACCCTGCTTCAGATGGACAATATAAAGAAGAACGGCCCCAGTCCGACCTTTTAATGGGTCCCCCACTAAAGAGGGTACTCGGTGACTTTGAACCAACAGCAGTGGAGGTTCACGAGAAGCGTTCAAGCTTCGCAAAAGATGCGGACTTACCCTTTTTATCCGAGGATAATAATCTTAGAGATGAAGTAAGTTAAGGTTTGGCTACTCTATAGAATAGAGCAGTACTAATTATAGAAAGATATCTCAATTTATATTGTACCACGAAGACGATAGAATGGTAAACCAACCCAATCTTAAAAGTGATGAGTTTATTACGTACTTAATCGATAGTGTGCACAACAAGTTAGAGTCCGACAACACCGAGAAGGGTGTAACTAAGTCTATTGTCGCGATGGCAGTGCTTGATTTTTCAACAGATGTAGTAGAGGATCCTGGGTTCTTGGCAGTAGGTTGTCTCAATTTATTTTGTTTCAATGTGTTTGAATATTGACATGGTGGTAAAGATATATACTGTCCATATATTCTGCAGGCTTCGAAATGGTGGTGATGATGATGACAACAATAATAAGCTCATAAAGGAGATACGATTGGGTGAGTTGTTTCTTTTTAGAATAAATGATTCTCTAGCAGATACTGATCAATATCTGATAATTCTAGACACAACGCTTTCTACCATCGAGGTAGATAGAGAGGACTGGGCGGACTGGAGAGAGAAGAACAAGGAGGATTGTACAAGAGCATATGAGTTAAGCAACCAGTCCATTAGCCAATATGGCCCGCGCAGATAATCCCGATACCTGGAATTCAGCCCTATACCTTAGCACCTGGGGAATCAGAGGCTGATTCCAGTTCTTCATCTGCTGAGTGGCCTAATTTTGGTATTTATACATATATCTATTATATAGTATATTGTTACAGACTTTTGTCTAGTATATCTTATCGAAGGCGGACACACAAGGAAGAATATCATAGGATAACGATAGCTGCTTAAAGGACAGCTAATATCTAAAGAATTACTATATAGTTGAGTCATCTACCATAGCTGATGATAGGCCTAGTAAGACAGGCGACATCGTCTAACCAATGAGATCGATAAGTTGGACTCGACCTGACCTCGTAGTTACATCAATGAGTCGTCCTCATTATTGAGATTTGTTTGTGTCATGACTTAGTTGCAGGTAGCTCCGTAACCTTATTGTATGATCAACTCTCAGGGGTTTTAGAGTTCACTCAGCTAGAAGGTCGATCTGATCCTGACTGACCCAATGGTCCATCCGATCAATATCATGATCCCAGCTGGGACTCTAAACGGGATAGCAGCCCTCAACGATTTATCGCTAGCTATTTCGAATTCATCCTTGGGTCTTATTTGGCGCGTGGAGATCGAACGGGGAACTTATGGTATTATGATAAGAGACAACACAACAGCCACAAGCACAACCTTAGGACCAAACCTTGTAGTCAATGGGATCAGAGTCTTAGGCAGCTATCTCTACTACGTGAACTCGCCCCAAAGGTCGCTCTACCGCATTCGTTTAGATAAGTCGGGTAATACGGTTGGACAGCCCGAGACCATCGCGCAAGGAGTGCTGGTTGATGATTTTGCTGCTACCTCTTCGTGGGCTTTTCCTGCTAGCTTTACGGATAATATTATAACAAACGTCTCTCATAACGGCAAAGTACATGTTGTTGCAGGAGGTAGAGACTCAACTGCAGTGATGACTGCGACGTCTGCGGCTGTTGGGAGGACTAAGCACAATGGGAATCTGCTCTATATCATGACTGGTGGAGAGACACAGGAGCCTGTTCATAACACTGACCATAAGGGGGGCAAGATTGTCGTACTCAATCCTGATGTATAGAGACTGTTTTTCATGTAGCACAGCACGTAATTGGTCACGTCAGCCTTCATAGGAGGGAAATGTACCTTGGGTCGAAGGTCTGCATGTCTGGAAAAAGTTTCTTATGTACCTACTACAACCAGCGGTGAGAGATGGAGTACGAAAAAAATCTTGTCTTTTACGAGTGATGGTTTTACATGATGCACTTTCTTCGAAATCAACATTTTCGCATAATCCGTTCTCAGGGCGCCGTAGAGGAGGTTGGACAGAGTCAAGGTTTAGGAAAAATAGAAGGTGGCAGTGATTTTCCTCCATGACTTGTGTTGTAAAATGTTATGCATGGAGTTCACCTCTACTTTAGTCCCTAAGGCACACTACTTGTCCTGCTGAAACAACTTAAGGTACGGTTTATATTACACTGGTAGAAATGAGTACTCATATTCAATGTGGAAATAAGATGCAATGAGGTGGAAATATACCGCCAAGACATCTCTACCAACTGCCGAGCGATTCTCTACCCACTGACTGCCGAGGCGTATTTGTGATTTTCCTCGTGACCCACTCAATGTCACTCTAATCTGACATATTTTGTTTCCCGAACAATACCCTTGGTTGTTGATGATAAAAGCATGGAGTATGAAGCGCGCATGGCGCAATTATCCAAAAGCCACATTGTCCCAGGCTTATATAGGACGATGGAGCCGCCCGAGCTATTCTCACTATCACATCCTATCTAATCGGAACCCCGGCACTGTCTCTGGGAAGAAAACTTGCATCACCGACTGTCGATCAAAAGAGAAGACATTCTTGTATAGATACCAACGGCCGCGGAACTTTGTCACTACAGCTATTCCCTCTCTGCTTGTGCCGCCCCTTATTTTCGTCGGCCTCTTGCTCGCTCTATGGACATGGAAATGCTTCTGGATCGTTGTTTTGCAAGACAAACTTCTATACCTTTCATGGTTGCCGCCGCTTGCACGGTCCGAGAAGATCGCAGACTACGAGGCCGAATGCAGGCCGGTCCAGTGGACGGAGAAGCAGATCCGGAGTCTGGACGGGACTAAGTTAGCGGTATGTGAAGGTCGCATCCCAGCCCACAGCCGCAGTAGTCGTGTTGCATCCGCGACACTTGGAGAAGGCTATCCGCAAAGTACGGCGACAAATAAAGGAAAATCAGTCGTCATATGTTATTTCCAGGGGAATGGTGGTTCAACCCCCCTTCGTTTGCCGCTTCTCTCTCAGGTTCTACGAACAATCAAAGAAAAGTCGAAGTCTATGCCGTTATCTACATCTTCATCAGTAGGCACTGAGTTCACCATAGTGGCCTTATCATATCGCGGCTACTGGACTTCCTCGGGTCGCGCAACGCAGTCCGGCATTGAGCTTGATGCGCAGGCGTTCCTCGACTGGGTATTGGAAACGTATACCGCACCAGACACCGATCTGGAGGTCGTCCTCTGGGGACATAGTCTCGGCGCGGCCATTGCGAGTAGTGCTACTGCCACATATCTCTCCCGTCACGGTAGCGACCAGTCACCTGTGAATGAGATGAATGAGATGGGACTCCCTCCTCCAGTAAACATCGCTGGACTGATTCTGGAAGCACCGTCCTCCAGTATCAAGGACATGCTTATAAGTCTATACCCACAGAAATGGCTTCCGTATAGATATTTGTGGCCCTTTTCGTGGAACCACTGGAGTTGTACCACCGCGATGGAGAGGATTGCTCGCTGGCGGGACCAGAATAAGGAGCAAAGCAATGCGATCATTCATGGGGGTAGGTCAGGAGTGACGATGCTGCCCGGGTCTAAGCGCCTTTGTACAAGCTCAGGGTCCTCTCGTTCGCCTCCTCCAATTCTTCTGCTTTCCGCAGGGAGTGACGAGGTGATCCCGCCCCATGTAGCGGATCAATTGGAATTAGATGGGGAAAGACTTGGACTAGAGCTTGAGAGAAAAGACGTACGGGGGGCATTGCACACGGAGGCACCTGTCAAGGTGGGTGGTAGGGAGGCGTTGGTTAACTTTATCATTCAGAATACCTCCCAAAGGCAGAGGTAGCTTGACAACTTATCGCATCACAGTGCGTACTTCGCATTCACATCCGGAAGAAACGGAAAGCATAGGAAAAGAAAGGATACCGCGATAAAAGGTGTAACGAGAATATAGACTCATTCCCTATGTTTACCCATAAGTTGTTGTGTGATTCTCCTGCGGTTATTGAAGCTGTACTGGATTTGAAATCTCTCGATAGGGCATGTTTCCCCGCCAGATTCATTTATTATATAATCTTTCTGATATATACCGCATACGTTTAGGGTCACACCTCCTCAACACTTTGTATGGATATGCCACGTATACACGGGAAGACCATCGCTGCTGAGAACTTGTTCAATCCCTCCTGCATCTTAGCCTCCAGTGCTAAATCTGTCGATGAATCGTGTGATTCGTGATCAGTCTGTACACGAGCATCCTCACTCTCGAATTCAATACGCGATCGGATGTTCTGATGTAGCTCGAGCACAGTCATAAGCTGGTCGAGAAGGAGCAGAACTGAGGACAGGATACTAATGCAGGGCTGCTTAGAAATAATCTTCGCATATTTCGACGGAGTCATCTCTGTAGATGATCCCAGAGATGTCGTGATTGTATCCTCTTTCGAAGCAAGAACAATCCTTGCGCGCAGCCTGGTTAACCGAGCTTTCGTTCCAGTCATCCTCCCAATTAACTGGCCTATGGCAGCGGGCTTAGTATTTTCTTGCGATTGGATAATAGCGCGCGTAGCTGCATAATAACCTGGACATCTGACTATCTCGTTGAAGATGAACAACACGGCATGATCGACCAGGTCATATTCATTCCCCTCATTTTCCGTACTGGAACTCTCATTGACTGTCAATGACCATTCTGGGTTCTCTAAAAAGCATGACTCTCCTTGCCTAAAAGCCTCTTTGGCCAGAAAATTTCGAAAGCAAAATAAAAGAGTCCGACCTATACCATGTTTATGCGCAGCAGGTCCACGGGCACACATAAGGTGGCGGACGCCGCCACAGTGGAGTACCCAGGAATTCTTGCAGCTCTCATCCAGCATCTCGTATGCTCCAAGCAAAATAGCAGCCGCTAGCGTCTCATCAGTGAGTGCAGCGGGTGTCTGCAGGATATACGCAAGATGCTTTATTCCTCGACCATACATGTGTCGACCGCAGGCGATAACTCCTTTGTTACCTCGCACAACTCCCATATGGAAGGTATTCAGTGCTCGGATTGCCCAAATCAACGCTTGTGGACAGGTTAGTCCCTGTTGACGTACAAAATCCATCCAATCCACCTCTAGTCGGGATGACCATATTGAATACGCTGGAAAGTAGTAATCAAGAAAGTCATTGAACCGCTCCTTTGTTTGGATGTCTAGCGCCGCAAAGGTCAAACCGGGAGCGAAGACCTCGTCGATGATCAGTTCAGATAGTTCTGTTGGCCGGGCCTGTTTCTGCTTTTGCACTCTTGGAGGGGTTCTACTGGGCCCCGGAGGCTCTCGTCGGTATCGCTGCTGCAGAGCTTGTGTCTGGTCGCGGAACTTGAAGTGACGATCATAGCCCGGACATTCGCAACCTCTCTTGATGCATCGCAGACATTGAGGCCTAGTCTCATCGCACTATAAGACCAGCTTAGTCCACCTACCCGGTACGGAGTTGTTTAGGTTTGTTTTGGCATCAACCGGAGTACCCCATGCTAGAATGGATATTATGGTGGATACGGACCTTGATTCTGCGGTTCACGCACATGCGACATCCTTTGCTGTTCGAAGCCCCTGTCATGATGATTCGGGTAACCTGGACTGGCGAATGTGGTGGCAGATACAATAGCACAGTACAACGAGAGTAGGCAATTAAGGAGTGAGAGCAGTGGCACAAGCTGAGTGAGCAAGGGTAGGAATCAGTATTTGGTAGCTGGAGGGATCCTCTTTGTTTCCATCCTTTGAGACTAGTCACCCCGTGACCTTGGGGTGCGATTCTCTTGAGGGCTGTCGTGTAACATAATCCTGACTGAGTGCATCGGCCAACAGCATCAATTTACTTATTATTCCTTTTTCTCTTCCCGCCTTTTTATTTGTTTGTTCCTTTCCCGTTTCCAAGTACCCAACAGATGTTTACTTCCCCATGGTGGATCATGGATGGAAACTAGTGACCTAAACCCAACCATAAGATTACCTGACGATATTAATACTAACTACCACTAGGCTGGAGTGGGTCTCATTGCCCAGCTAGATTTTCGTTGGCGCGTTACAGCCATACCTGCAATGATTTTCACAACATGAGTACTACTGCTGCGTTAACCGGTGAGGGAACTGCATCATAAGTGCCTCATTAAGGCATGTCGGTATTTACCTTCATTGTGCAGCGTTGGATAACATGGAGCCGGGAAGCTCTAGCCTGAGAGCACTTTACATTCCGATGTTTGGATGTAATGTGAATGGTTAGTTAGGGGTTGCAGTAAAGCTTTTAGTACTTGATGAATTTCCTCAAAGGAAGATCAAATGTAAGAGTATTTGGGGTGGGTAAGAAGAACCTTTTACAAATTACCAACCTGTATTTTGAATCCGGTGTGAGATCGATTATATATTTCGCTAATCACTATTAGAACACAGCGTTCTGCTTGAGTGGATAATAACAGTTGAGTTATATCTCTAAGACGAAGGTGTTCGTTCATTACTTATAGCATGTTTATAAATGTAATTGACATATTAATTTAAAATTAATACCTTGCACTCACAGTGGCGTGCATAATATGTCATTATATTAATAAGCAAAACTATGCACCAGATTGACATAAGGTGTGCATAAAGACCCGATTGATCACGTGGGGAGCGTTTCACCTAATCTGGTAGCCGGATTAAAGATCCACTCATGAATTACATCTGACCACGCTTCTGCCGACAGGATGCCGCGAGTGATAAATCATCCGGTTAAAGCCGCATGTCTCGCCTGGTATAATCCCGCATTGCCTTCTGCGTGTCGATAGCAGTGTGCTGACTAGCGTGCAGCCGTGCATCAAAAACACGCTGCGACGGTCAGCAGCCTTGTAAACCTGTAGGGTCACCTGATCTCAAGCTCAAATAAGACGCTCAGATCACTGATACTAGCCGTTATCATAGTGCTTTGAAAGAAACCGTGGCTGCTATTACCGTCCCAGTCGCCGTGGGGGACCGCGACGAAGCACTAAAAATGATAAGGAAGTTCAACGCATGAGCGAACCTCGCTCTTCGATATCGTCACATCCATCGACTTCCGGCACCGTGATCGACATTCCTCAATGCTCAAATGTTTCAGGTACAGGGGACACGAGTTCTGGTCAAGAGACGGATCCCAGTCTTCGGCATATCATTGGTCTCCTGACACCTTTCAGTGGAGAGCAGAGCCTCGGTGTGGACCTGGGTTTGCTTTGGGGTCCTCAGGATACAGAGCCACCTAGCGAGATAGAAAACCCCGTTTTGAGGGTTTATACCTCTGAAGAAGATATGTAAGTCCGCCATGAAAAATGCTTACTTGAATATCTTCGACAAATTTACCGCGCCGGCTAATTGGAGTTAGAGTGAACGCGTATTACATCTACATCCATCCATACTTAGCGTTGTTACCAGCTTCAGTAAGCCCACAGTATGAGGACAGGCCAGAAGTCTTCCAGCCACCGGCTGCAGAGGCCGGCACGGTGGACCAGTCCTGTTTGCCTTATTGGCCGACGACTTCATTGAGTTTAGCATTATCGGCGATACTTTCCCTCATTCCGCCTCCTCAGGATCCACAACCGTCAGGGGAGTGCCATGTTTGGATGCGACGCGCATATGCACGTCTCTATGCACAAGCCGCCCTTAGCAGTGCAGAAAAAGAGATCGATGATCTTTTGTCACGAAACAGCGCAACTCCCTATGCGGAAAAGGATCGTCTTCACATCGGACTCCCGTTGCAGCTCTATCCAGTTCTGGCTCTTGTTGCTCTGAGTATCTATGAGTATTGCCAATGTGGTAATGTATCCCGGATGCGCACCCGCGCGAACCAGGCCATAACAACAGCTATGGATCTCGGCCTCCATAGCTTGGACTCGAGCGCCTCAGAAGCACACCGACGAGCATGGTGGTCCGCGGTTAGTGTTTCCAGATCTCAATTCTGTGAGCAATGGTCACTTACTCATCACAGATTTCCATACTGTATCATACCTCAGTCGTACAAGTATCAGTAAGACTCCGGACAACGATTAAACCTCTTGACAACAGGCTAATCTACATGTATCAACAGTCACCTATCATTACTGCAAATGATCCTAGGATAACTACTCCATACCCCGAATTCAAAGCGTTTATAGATGGGCCAGAGGTAAGGATTGTCCTCACTACGTCGCTCTCGGTTTGTCTATGAGAGAACTACAGTTAACGCGTCCATCAGCCATGGCCGCTTTTGCTTAAAGCCCAGGAAGCTTACATCTCGGTCTCTGGCCTCCTGGGAGCATTGGGCCTAGTGCATAAAGCTCCTACACAATCCGTTGACTTGCGGGATCAAATATATCAACTCGACTCACGTATAATGTCTCTGGCGACAGAGTCCGAGTTCTACATGGGTCTAACATGCAAAGACGATGCCGAAGGGCTTGCCATGCAGGGTATGGGGCTGATCACATATCTCTTGCTCCATTCGTGAGTCCGTCCCGTATACGCTAACGTTACTTAAACGTCTAACTTTGCTCGTTGTTCACAGCGCATGGATCAGACTCCATCGGTTTAGAGCCTTCATGGATATTCCGATTTTTGTCGAAAAGCACTGTGACCTTACCGCTATCTATGACAAAGCTCCATATCCGGAAGTGTCCTCGAATTTCGAAGCTCTATTCCCGTTTACCGAACAACAATCCTCTGTCAGGTGCTTGAAATCATCGCTTGCTGTGGCTCGAGCATTTAAAAACCTTCCCTGTCCACAACCATCCCGGTTGACCGGGGGCTCAGGAAATGATGGCTCACCAACAGCCGCCCAGAGCTTGGATATTCCTTCTGCAGTATCACCTACCATTTTTGGGGCGCGATCACCAAGTGCCTTGCCGTACTTTAAATGCACGGCTATGCAGGCTAGCTACTCAATGTTCATGTTAGTCCATCGAATACGGGCAGCTATCACCTCCGGCCGTCTTTCAGTCTGCTATCCTCTGATGGCGAGTCCAGAACCTGCCACAGAAGTCCAAGATGCTAGGAGGCTTATTGAAGAGCTGCGACATGCAATTGAGTGCCTAAAGCATTCCATGGAGAGGGACATGGTGTTCGAAGGCATTGCTGCCATGTACCGTGGACTTACTGCTGTCTATCTCTCAGTCTTCCCAAATTGATTAATGTGAGTAAGATGTGTCCCGTTCTGCCACATGTCAGGAAAGGGATTTGCCATCGGTTGTGGAGTGTAGAAATCTGGGATGCAGCAGCTTCCATGGCCCTGGGTGATGTACCAGCTTGATCACAATTCCGATTACCTTATTGTAAAATGCGTCTTTCTCAAGTTTTTAGCGTTGCCCTAGGAAGATATCCTGATTCAATGTGGTTTCCCGCCAAAGATTTGGTGTATTTAAAGTTCAGTCTATTTTTGAAATCCTGGAACTTACTCAAGAGAACTTTCCGATAATCCCTCAATAGGTCGAGGAGCAAGAACAACAAACGAAGAAAGAGAGGACGGAGGAGAAAAAACTGCTCATTCGGGTTCCGCGGACACCAAATCCTGAACGATTCTTCGGCGTCCGAAAATGGATTAGCTTGTAGTGCAGCTTTTGGGCACGCCCTAACTCGTCAAAGAACATTTAATCATATTTATATAAACTGGGTAATTTATCAGGGCAGTGGACGAAAAACTACATATTATCATAATAAACGGAAAGAAGGCAACATGAATGATAGCTACCCGTGTAGCTCGTCGCAAAAGCCATCGATTAGCACCGTGGACGAAACCTCTAGGTCGCCTGAAGGACCGACTGAGCAGGACAGTGTTGTAGATTTTCCAGACGGCGGATGGCGAGCATGGAGTGTGGTGCTGGGTTCGTGGTGTGCAATGGTTCCCTCGTTCGGTCTTTTGAATACAATGGGTGTCCTGGAAGCTTGGTTGGCAAATGATCAGTTGAAGGAATATTCAAAAGCTTCCATCGGTTGGATATTTGGTCTGTATTCTTTCTTCCTTTACTTTGGAAGCGTGCAAGTTGGTATGCTAGGCTAAACTCTTTGTTGCACATATACCGATATTGAAGACTAACTCAGACAAGGGCCAGTCTTTGATGCCTACGGTCTCAGACCCTTACTTATTCCAGGATGTATCGGACTTGTCAGTTCTCTCATGGTGTTCAGTGTAGCCAGAGGTTCGTCTACTTCGAGGAAACATTCATTGCCTACCGTACTGATGTTAAACATTGCCTGTCGCTAGAATATTATCAGTTCATGCTCGGTTTCAGCGTCCTCGGTGGAATTTCCTCATCTATGGTCTTTACCCCTAGCATAGCCTGCATCGCGCACTGGTTTCATCGACGTCGTGCCTTGGCGACAGGAATCGCAGCCACGGCCGGTGGTTTCGGGGGCATTATCTTTCCCATCTTGATATGGAACCTCAGCGAAGTTGTCGGGTTTGCATGGGCCATAAGAATAACAGGTTTCGTATGCACCTTGTTTTGCATTCTATGCATCCTATTTCTGAAGACCAGGTTGCCACCTAAAAAGCTAGGCGGAGGCAAGATTGACATTAGAGTGCTGCGCGAAATCCCATTCTCCCTCCTCACAGTCGCCATTTTCCTAATCGACTTCGCCCTACTGATTCCCCTGACCTACCTGACTTCTTACGCTGAATCACACGACATGGAAGAAAGCCTGGCATACCAATTAGTCTCAATTCTCAACGCCGCTTCGATCCTTGGACGCGTCGTCCCTGGATACTTCGCAGACCACTACGGTCGGTTCAATGTCATGATCGTCACAACACTCGTGTGTACTGTTTTCACACTAGCGCTATGGTTACCAGCCGGGTCCAACACCGCCGCAGTCGTGGCATACGCTGTACTCTTTGGGTTCTGGAGCGGTTCCGCTATAAGTCTTGCCCCCGTTTGTGTTGCCCAAATCTCGTCCACGGAGGATTTTGGAAAGCGATATGGAACGACATATTCGTTGGTCAGTGTTGGCGCTCTGTTTGCTATACCTATTGCAGGGGAGATAATGAAAGCCCAGAGTTCGGGCAGAGAGAAAGACAATTACTCGGGGCTTATACTCTTTTGTGGTTTGGTGTATGCTTGTGCTTGTTTGTTTTTTGCTTTGGCGAGGGGGGTTAGTATAGGGTGGAGGCTGAAGACTATGTTTTAGGGCTTGTTTGGGAGGGTGGTGGGTGCGAGTGAGGATAGAGAGAATGGTGGATGTGATTTAATATAGTTCGTAATGTATACGTGACGTGTTTCGCCTACTTGTCTCGTGTCGTGAAGAGATCCGAGCATGAATACTTGCCCTTTACTCTCTATCTCTATTTGTAGTCATAGCCCTGTACCTTCATTAAAGTGTCAGCATGCCATTTCGCTCAGGGCTTTAGCGGGGATCTGTTAGTGCTAGTATCTGGAGTTCAACTACTAGAACTATTGGAGAGCTGGACTCGCCCCTCCACGGTGATACGTAAGGGGTGTCTTTTTTTGAGTCAAACACCAAGGTACCTTCAACCTCATCGACAACAAGAAAGAGAGCGAGGATCGGGGAGGTTGTACTTACACCATCATAATCGCAAATAGTATGCATAGAGCGGTAACTTTGGGCCCGGTATTGAAGGGCAAAGCAGGATGCTACACAGTCACGGAGGAGTTCCAATGTAGCGTGTGGCTAGCGTTGTAACCTTCTATATCTGCCCTACTCCCAGTTGATGGAATCTAACAGTTGAGCCATTCCAGATCACAACGCAGAGAAACTGTCGTGGTTAGAAGTGTCAGACACTTAAGTCACTGATAAAGCGTTCTCTGCGTTCAGCTCGCTCGAGCCATGTCGGATTTAAACTCGGGTAAATCCCGCGGCTATGACTTACGTGTATTCCCTTACAAGACAGATGCAGAGCAAGTCATAGCTACCATGCATGGTGAATAGCTGGGATCTCACGCAGCTACAATTCGCTGGAACAACCAGAAACCCCAGGAGAGTTCAAGCGTTTCTTAGGATTCATTTTTATACGAATCGATTCTGCAGCAGGCTCCCCCGGGCAAACAACAGTGTATATCGGGAATTCTATCCCTTATTGCATGCAGGCTGATCTGATCCAGCTTTTTCAACCTGTCGGATATATACATGCCATTGAATTGCACACCGACCATGGAAATGCTTGCGTGAGGCTAGAGACACACGAGAGGGGGCAGCTGCCATTGCCCAACTTCAGGGCCATTATTCTCATGGCCAGCCCATTAAGTGCGGTATATGTACTGACAGTGGGTACCTGCCTCTATCTGACATGCTACCTTAGTGAAGTGGAAAAGGGCGACACCATAGTGTATGGATCTCAGGAAACTTGCGCTCCAAACGCAAACCTACAGGGACCTGGGATGGCACCGTTCAGTAGGCATCTTTGTATACAACTGTAAGCCCTTTCATACCACATGACTGGCGACTAATATAATATTTAGGCACATCTGACCAAAACTACTCAAATGTTGATAATCCTAACCCATATTATACGCAGTACGGAATGGGTTACTACACTTGCCTTCATTGTTCTGGTAACTTAAACGTAAACCGGGAAAGCTTTCTGGTTATTCGTAACATCTTCATTTCCATAAGCTAGGCGTAAAGGTGTACTATCAAGTGTAGATGATCCGTCGATCATATAAGACACGATGACTTAGAGCGATGGTAGTTGTTATTGACTGAAGGGTGACAAGCATGGCTGGGTTGTGGTGGACGAATGGCTCCTGTTTTGCCAATGTTTGGAAGCCCAAGGCCGCAGTAAACCCCCAACGAAGTAAAAGAGGAATAAAGTGAATATACCACACTAGTACTCTTTAAAAGCCTTTTGGAGCCTCCCTAAATCTAACGGCGGCTTGCTCGCCCATGGCCGTCATGACGGTAATCACTACAAGCGAAATAATCAATCAACATCACTCAATATTGACAAAAGTCCTAGTATCACTTACACAGGTCCTTGCCCTCCTTAAAGCCGTGGTCAATCTGAGAACCAAGGTCGCCAGGAGGAACCTTGACATCATCTTTTGCGGTATTATCAGCACTCATCAGGTTTAGGAACCCATCATCAACATTAACCTAGATATACGTAAATCGCTATACTTTCTGGGTTTGCCCTGCATCAGTCACTTACAAGCGAGTACTCATGAAGCGCCACGCTCGGGACATCGACGAAATCGCCAGGATAAGACTTCAATTCAAGCTGCGCGCCAGTGAAAATGTCCACACCGTTCACGCGTGTCGCAGATTCACTCGCATCGATTGAAATATCATTGATTTTGCACGGCCGGCCGTTAATAACGACAAACCTATTTTTACACAGAGTGGAACACGCTACAGAGGATGTCCCGGATCCTCCGGCACTCCGTCCATCCTATGGTATGTTAACAACTGATTTCAACTCCTACAGTGTTATGTGTGCTCCGCATAATGCAGTAAGTCTGCGAAGATATAAGGGAAGAGCACGAGGGCAGGAGAGACATACGAAAACTTCATAGTTTTGCTCGTCATCCGACATTGTAATTGCCTATAGAAGAGAAGTCAGAGAGAAAGGTATAAATGGTAAGCAGTTCGGAAGTTGTGAAAAGATTGTTGGTGTTGCGGGTGTGGGGGAATTCAAATACCGCGTAGGCTGATCTGATGGTATGGTTGCCCCTCTACGAAACTCACGGGGACGATCTAGTGGAGGGAAGTGAGATCAAATCACTGTCGATCCCTGCAGGAATCGGTCTGTGATAGGATGCTACTTAGTACGTGGGTCTGAGCACGTCCCATCGATGAGCTTTAGGGCAAATATGTGAAGAAAAAGCGGCAAGGGCACCAAGGCAACAAATAAATAAAGTAATAAATAAAAATTGAAAAAAAAAAAAAAAAAAAAAAAAAAAA